GCAAGTTTCGGAACAAAATCAACATTTCGGGGGTCCAACTCCTATTTCAGAACACATCTACATACCCTTCTGTGTTCCAGGTTCATCAGTCGCCCCAGCTTAAAATGTCAAGAACCTCAAGACGATGACATTTGAGAGGATCATTTTAAGAGGTTCCAAGGTGTCCGCAAGGTTGTTTCCCCGCCGGCCTGCGGCGCCTCCTCTGATACCTGGCCAGTGCGACTTGAGGTCGCAGGAAGCGGCCGGAACGGCGCCGTGTCAAGCACCAGCCTTGCGAAACTCGGCCACGAAGCTCTGGTGGACGCAGTCCCAGGGCTCCTGGAACAGCTGGCGCTGAGATATGTCAAGCAGAAGGAACCTGCAGCTTGCCCTATGGTTCCACCTAGCAAACCAGCGGCTGGGGCATTCCTGGCCGGGATGCTGCCCTCCTTCAGACCACAGTCCAGGCATGGCAAATGGGGACGTGCCAAGGTAGATCTTCAAAAGAGAACTGCAGGAAAGCCAACCGTCTGGTCAAGAGTCCTTGGAGTTGACACGGCTGCAAACAAATGTCTTGGTACTCCCCACCAAATCTGCCGACCATGATCTAAAATGGACCATGGCTTTGGCATCAGGCCGTCGTGTTCCGTGTTGCGATGGAGCATAATAGCTGCTAGGGTATGAATTTTGATCGGTCGGAACTCCTCCCCTCCGCCCGCCGCTTTAGTCTGTCACAACAGGTACACGGAGGCAAAAGTAGCTGGCTACTTTTTGCAACTGAGGAGAATCCACCCACCCGCACCGACAATCTCAGGAATGGGGAAATCGAGGGTGGGACAGGCTGCCCCTCGGCATTGTGGGTCCGAATCCTTTAGAAAACACGCCGACGGCCCAAAGGCTCCAGGTGTTGCTGGTGTGCTGTTTAAGGAAACCACAGGTGCTGAAATGCCGTGACATGGAAGAAACCAAAAAATGAAAAGGGATCGTGCAGGCTCCGCAACCGACCCTCACGTCGCCCACAAACAGCTCCTGGGGCTGGAGAGAGAACCACATCTCATGCCTCGGCTCTGGCCACATGGGCCGTTGGGAGTGATCATGTGAGTCACAATCAAAACCCCATAGCCCATATTGAAATGGTTGACTCAGAACCATGCAAAGAATTAAGAAGGCGGCCGCGGCGATTCTTGGTTGGGATTGTCCCTTACTAACCTTCATCTACCCAGGTCTTGATTGTGGCTCATGTGCAAGATGGGCACGTGTCAAAGCTGCGGCTCCCCTTTTGTCAGCGCTCAAAGAATGCGGCCGGAGGGGTCAGGGACACGCACAAACGATCACCCGGAGAGTCGTCTAAACTGGGCGTCCAGCGGTCCCCGTGCAGTCAGACCTCGGCCCAGTGAGGCGGACAAACGGCCAAAATCCAGACCACGCCTGTGGATGGCTACAAACGCCTTGACAAGGCGCCATGTTGGGGCACCCTGAAGCTTCACCACCCTAGCAGCCAGCTCAACCCATCACTCGATTCTTTCGCCACACCTTTCCACCTGGGGTGCCGGCTCACCAACGGAGGCTCTGCTGGAATTGCCGGGGTCGCGAACTCGGCCCAGAGCGCGCGAAGGGCTCGCCCGATATTTATTCAGCGCCAAGAAGGCACCGTCCCCTCAAAGCCCAAGCTCCGGATCTTACACGAAAGACTCTCAAGGGTGACTGTCAATCGGCTGTGAATCTAAACTGGGGAATCTTGAAGAGGTACTTTCAACCATTGGCAGCGCTAAGCTCGTTTTGACACAGAGCGAATAGAGTAGACCCAAGATAAGACCCCCTTCAAACCATCCTCAGAAGTGACCAAGGCACTGGGTTTGCCTCGCGACCCACTTGTTTTTGAAAAACCCGACTTGTTGCCTGCGGGGGCCCTTTACAGTGAGCGCTTGCCCTTCCCCACGAGCTGGGTCCCCCGGCCAGCGCCCAGATTTCTGTCCAGTTGCTTTGGGCCAAAGGATCCAAGCAGTAGGCCCGCACCTCAGCTTCCGACCCCAACCCGCACTGATGGACCAGCCTGTCCTTTGGCCAAGCCCATGCTGAACTTTCAGTTGGATAAAAAAATCGCTCCGTCAATGCGCCGCGGGCATCCTGGTGGCATTTGGTGGCGCCTGCAAAGAGGTCAACAAGGAAGGTCCAGCATTTGACCAACTGCCCTAGTGCTCTGGTTAGACCTTCGGAAGATTTCATGGCGTGGTACCCTTACCCATTCCTGCACAGCCTATGCGAGCCTGGCATTCATAAAACCGTGGAACAACAGGCAACACAACTAGAGATCAAGACTTCCGTTTGTTGTTGTTCCAAAAGGAAAACCCGACGTTCGGCCAGGCTTTTTCCCCCTCAATCCCCTCCACCCACGGCTGAGGCCCACGCCCGCGCATCGTAGGTGGTCTGAGACTCAATGCCTCCCGTGCCAAGTCGACTCAGCTATCGAGGCCCAGGGGAACCACCTCCTCATGGAATCAGAGCTTCATACATGGTATAATGCTGCAGAAACGGCGGAGAATTCAGATTACCTGACTCTGTCCGCGAGACAATCAGCTTGCACCTGGGCATGAGTGTCCAATCGGATCACTAGAATCGCCATTGGCTCCCTACTCCAAGTACCCAGGTCCCTGATCGCGAGGTATACTCGGTGCGTCTAAAGTAGAGGCCCCACCTCAAATGGCAGGTGCCCCTTGAGTGTTTCCAAGTGACAGTTGATCGGTGCCCTTGTGCTCCCGGTGCCCATGTGGCGGCGATGCGCCTTCCGTGATGGTGCAGTTGACCTCATCCTTCACGGAATTGACACCTGGGAGGTGGTCGCGGCAACAGCCGCCAAGCCGCCAAGCAGAAAAAAAGCACAAACACGAGGTTTCAACATCAGGCCACACAATGTCTCTCCAATGTGTTCTCCTCTTGTGGTCCCCTCCCCCAAGAGGAGAACATGTGCAATGCACGTCATGCAAATCTTCTTTTCAGATTCCTCGCTTCCCGAACGAAAGCACGCGTCTTCCCGCCAAATCATGCTGTAGTTCGCTTGTTTACCACATTCTCCGCTCGTAGCGAAAAATCCCTCACCTTGCACATACAAAGAACGGTGGAGAAAGCAACAAGTAACATTTGAAAGGGGACCGATTTAGTGGCTACAGCCATCCCCTCTGATCGGCCACAACCAGGTTTCTTCATGTGGCTCAAGCGGAAATGGGGCGCGGGGGGCCTTCTTCATTTCCACCTGGGGGAGCATTCCGCCCCTTCAACATGGGCGATCCCCACCAATCAACCCGGTATTCAAATAGTCTACCCAGAACCACGTACAGAATCAAGGAGGCGGACGCAGCTACTTCTGGCTGGGATTATCCCTTACTAACCTTCATCTACCCGAATCGGTTTTGAGCACGTGGCTCAATTGACTATTCGAACTGAGGAATCCCAAAGCGATCTTCAGGCTGGGCCCAGGGCACTCGGGCACCTCCTGCCAGGGCCCGTCGCCGCTCCGCAGCTGCAGCTGCCAACCTCAGAATGGGGGTCCGGGGTGAGGGGTTCTGCTGGGGAGGGGTTTAGGCATGGGTTTTTGGGTGGCAGTTCAAAAGAAAGCACCAGGAAGCTGACCAATTTAAGAGGGCCGCTAGCTTGAAGACACCAAGTCAGGTGGGTGTGCATAGCCGCCCAAGCCAAACTAGTTCCAGGTGATTATTGATCAAACTTGGCATTGAATGGGTCTGTCCAACATCAAGCTAAGGAAAAAAAAGAGCGGGCGCTTCTGTCCCCATACTAACCTTCAATTACCTACGAGTTGATTGTAGCTCACGTTGGGGTTCCCCGGTTCTGCTTCTTCCTGAATGCCTACGCTTCTGCTCCCAACGCGTGTATTGGGCCAAGGCCGAGCAGGTCGTAAGAAGCGACCAGCTAAGAATCAGAAGGGCCAAAGGATGCCTCTCCCTCTCATAGTTCAAGCACAATGTCACCTTCGTTGGCGTAAGGTTTGCCGGGAAGCGGTGGCCAAGAAATCAAGAAGCAAAGATATCAGGTTTTAAAAAGGCACACGTTTCAATCCCCTCCGTTGGTGGGGGGGGGGGGATTCCCTTGAGTGTACATGCTTGTCCTGGTGCAAGTACAACCCCCGTTCATCCACGAGGTGGCAACAGCAAATTGTGCATGTTGTATGCCCTTTTATTGAACCGAGATGCCCCCTGCTGCTACATTTCCAGGCTCGCCCCAACTGGGCCCCACTGTACAGTACATTTCAGGCTCGCGACTGCCCATGTACAAAATCCAACTTGCCCCCACTGAAGACCCTCAAGCCCCCTCACCCCCCCCCCATCCCTAAACCTCCCTGCCACTCAGGGTACCTATGCTGAAGAATATCGAATTGAGGCCGGCACCCGTGAAAACGCAGTCGTTGTCTGCACCAACCTCAGCCATCAAGCCGACAAAAAACACTGTCCAGGTGGCAACTCTGAATCAACCTCTTATATCTGTATATAGACGCTGTGGAATCGAAATCATGCCTTCAGAACGCTGCAAAACACTTTGTTGTTGTTGTTGTTCTTTTATTTTTGCTTTTAATCAGAAGGGCCAGCCATCTGAGCTCATGGTTCGTAGATTGGACCGAATTGAGTGCCAGGGGGACGCATGTCCAGAAGAGATATGCCCCTATGGCATCTCGATTTGAAACCAACTGACTGGGTTTAGGCAGCTTTTTCTTAGCACTGCTTGATGTATCTCGATGTGTTCATGACTGATGGGATTCCACAAGGTTTGCGGTTGGCAGGACATGCCGAAGGGCACAAATGCTTGACGTACTGATGTTGTTTTGACCCTGCCTCCGTCTTTTCCTCCGTCTTGAGGGCGCGGCATCCCAGTCCAGCGTGGCGGACACGTTGTGCCCCATCCGCCCCGCTTCCCCCGTAAAGTTCTCCACCGGCGCCGCAGGCACGGCCAGGCCCTCGGACCGTCGGAGCTCTTGACGCTGAATTCATAGGGATGGGTGGACGAAATCCTGCACCACCTGAGAAACCACGGGAAACCATTGTTTGCTGGTAGCTACAGGAAATCATAAATTTCCAGGGCTTCTTGGGTGGTGCAGGATTTCGTCCATCCACCATAGGGATGGGTGGGTGCAAGGTGGGTTTGTGGGCTTAAGCTGGGTTATAGAGGTGATTCAGGGCGAGTTTTAGGGTGGTCGGGTAGGCTTGGAGTGGGCTGTAGACTGGTCGTGGCGTTGGTTTGATTTGGGAATGTCCATTTACGGAAAGCTATGACCGAGCTGCTTCCCGGTTTCGAAAAGACGATGTTGAATGGGTGAGCCTGTGCTGAACGAATGTGCTTTGGCCTTCGTCTGCTCAATTTTGGAGACCTGGAATTACTTCGTGTGCTGAACGCCTTGCCTAATTCCACCAGTCGCTTTGCAATCCAAAATCCGAGGGTTCAAACCGAGCGTTCCCCCTTGAAAGTCTGAGATACACGACCGCGCGAACATGCCGACCCTTGCGCCCACCAAGGCTTGCGCAGACACAACCCATATGGGCTCCACGGTGAAGGGAGAATCCGCTGTAGGATCCACGCAGTCCTCGCGCATGCCTGGCAAGCCGACTTTGAATGATCTGGCACTCCCAAGCCGTTTAAATCAAAATGGGGAAGTGCCAAAGGCCAAAGGCGCCACAAACGGTACGACGTGTCAGCTCGCATAACTCGTCACAACAGGCCGGGCGCGCGTAGCTGGTAAAGCTCGTCGCTCCATATGACGTGCAGTTCACACCTGATTGGCCGCGATGATCCACACCTTCAGAACTTCGAATTCCAATCTCCAGGTGAGTGACAGCAAGGCTTAAGTCACGCAGGACCGCGGGACCATCTCTACACCAAATCCAGGCGAGTGCAGCTCGTTTCGCTCCAAGAGCCCGGCCACTCGGTCTCGCCTGGGCGGAGAGTTATCTATGGGCCTGGCCTGGCCAGACTTCCGTGCCCAACCAAGGCTTCAGGCCTTTTGCCACAAGGAAGCGACGCTAAGCATTCTCGTCATTCACTGTCTATCATGGTTGTGGCGAATTTCAGAGAAATCCATCGCCACTTGCCAAAGCTAAGGCGAACATCAGCTGCTGGACGCTCAAAATTTGCTGAAGGCCAGCAACATGTCGGCCAACTGAATCAAAGTGGCCCTGTGTTCATTGAATCGCATCTGCCGCAATCTGCAGACTGCGTCTTGTTTCCAGAAAGCCTTTCTCAGCGACCTGACAAGGCTCTAATCAAAGGTCAAGGTGGTACTAGCCACAATGCCCCAACTCAGCAGAGCGGTTGCTATGGGGGGGGGGGGGCGGCTTTGAGGTGTGTTCCCCTAAACCAGCATGAAACCTGAGACTTGGCGACGCCCCGCAGAGTAAATTCCTTGCCTCTTCTGGGCATCGTGTTCGGAAATTGCTCCGGGCAGGAGGGAAAGGGGGTGGGGACGTGCTGACGACTTCCCGACCTAAGGCACGCCCAAGAGAGAAAACCATAAGGTTTGCACGCAGGTCGCCCATGGCTGAAACAGACCTCTGCACGAACAAGAAAATTCCTTTGGCCGAGGAGCGGAGACTGCTCGCACAGCTGCTGGGCACTGTGTGCCACACCTGGCGTGGCAGTGCCCACATGCTCCAACCATGCCCGTCATCAGCACACAGCAAGACACCAGGCACAATCTGCAACTAGAAACACTTTGCACGTGTATCGGCTTCCGGTCACCATGATCCAAAGGAGCTATCATCCCCAAGATTGCCAGACTTCTAATCCATATCAGCCAAGATCCGGTCTGTTGGCTTGACTGAAACAAACTACGGCTAGCTGCCTTGTGCCAAAGCACAAAAGCAACAGCTCTGCACCTAGGTACTTTGTCAATTTGGAATTCAATAAAACACATTGATTGAAGCCACACATTATTGCCGCAATTGAGCTGGTCAATCCTACATGTGCATGATGAAACTCATGTTCCCCCCCCTTGCGCCTCAGGATGTTGGACAAGGGGCAATCTCAAAAACAAACATGAGCACCCGATCAAATGAATGGCGATACTCCTCTCATGTGGCTGTACACTGAAATTTGGGACCTCTCCAACTTGGTGGCTGCTTTATATTTAAGACTTCTGAAATTTACGTTACAGGGGATCTCGCGATTCTATCGCATCTTCTCGTTGGGGGCATCTATCAAGAATGGCTCATGCCAAAGTCGTGGAAGAATGCGCATCCTGCAACTCCAGCATTTGAATTCAACACATGTTGGAGCTCCCGTGATTTTGAGACAAATCTGTTCCTCTTAGGATGCTGGCTATATTCACTTGCAAACGGAGCTGCTTACTTGACCTTGTCTGGCCAGCATACTTGACTTGGGATGACTCTGATAAGTGAACCACCCCTTTTCAAGCGTTCACCGGGAGCTCATCCTAAAAATCCAGTCAAAGCCGGTCAAAGCGATCAATGAGGGCGGACCCTCTTGACTTTCATCCGCTAGGCGCAAAAGGCTCCAACTGAAGGGCCACATGCACAAGGTCGCACGAAGAGACACGTTCATTTGCAATGTTGCTAAGAACAGGATTCGAATACTGTTTGGCATTGCATGGCATTGCTCTCTGTATCACAAAAAACGATGAGCTCAAGCCGCGCACAGCCAGGCATATACTCGGCTTGCAGGTCGGATTTTTGTAGAATATGCCCAAAGAAGAGTGAGCAGCCCAACAAGTGGTCACTTCCAAAATAAGCAGCTCCACAGTTCCCTGCTTGGCACATTCTGCAGTGAACCATGGCGAACACAAAGGCGATGGCTTGTTTTGGTTTAGGGGTCCATCTGCTTGTTGTTCCAGCAGAGTCACTCGACACAGAACAAATCCGAAATGCAAGTCCTGAGACGGAAATCCTATGCGAACACCATGTCCTCGGAACTTCTGAAGGTCCAGCTCCCAAAAAATGGATTGGCTTCGGGACAGTTCTCCATGCGAAAAGCTTGTCCAACTGGCTGTGGGTCAAAAACAGGTACCCAAAAACCCTGAAGACTAAAACCTGCGGCTTAATTTTGACCCACACCCAACTCGCCTTGACCCGCGCCCGCCTGGTCACAGACCATGGGGTATTGCCAGCAGGGCGCTGGACCATTCGAAGGAGCCTCCCCAGATGTGGCGCCAATAGAGCGGCCAACAGCCCTCTGAACATCTCACGGTGGCTTCAGCTTCCCACTTCCTACGAGTTCCACAATGGTGACTCGGACTGCTTTGGGCCGTCACCTTCCTTTGCCACATATGCAAAGGTCATCAAGCAGTGTGACTTTCTCTTGGCCTTCCAAACAAGATTCTACCAGCAAGCCTTCCGCTTGACACATTGCCGAATGCTTCCTGCCGCTCTTTTTGCGCAATTGGAACTAGCTTCCGCATCCTCATGCAAGCATTCATAATTTGAGATTGCGAGCTTCACAGTAACTTCTGCACAGCAGCAGACTGTCAGAAATCAGCATGCACACATGCCAATCAGTCCTTCGTAAACCCACTGAGCCTTCTGGTGGGCCAGCAAACGAATTAGGTCGAGGAGGGGCTTCTCCAGTCTGGCCTTCTCGATTTCCATGGCTGCATGTGTCCAGCGGATCATTCCGCGGACTGGGGGTTGTCTGTATTCTCTGGCTGGTCATCCTGCAGGCTTTCAAACTCTTCTTGATCCCGCGGCTGCTCTTGATCCCGCCGGGTGCCGGTTGCCGTGTCGGCAATCTTCTTCAGAATACTTTTCTTCCTGAGAGCTGTCCTGACTGTTTGGATCCAGCCAAAGCCATGGGCCATGGTGAACACAGCGTGGCTCAGGCCAGCAAATTCCACGGGCATCAAACCAGTAAGCAGCGCCGCGTCTAACCCCAGCACGATCACGCCCATTACATTTAAATTTGCGATCATCACATTAAAACGCGTCTGCCTCTGGCCCGCCAGGTGCAACTCCGATCTTCGCGCGGTGGTTTGCATCCACTTCTCCGTGAAGGCAAAGCACAGCCCACCTACGAGGGCCTTGTCTGCCTGCCCTGGCAAGAAGGCGAGGTAACACAACGATGCGCCTGCAGCTGCTGGGATCACTCCGGCAAGGCTTTCGGCCAATCCGAGCCCGGACACTTCACCAATCGTCCAGACCAGAAGCGGCAAGCTGACGATGTCCGCCAAAAAGTAGGCTGCAAAGAAATTCGGATCCAAATGCGCTTGGGAGAAAGCGAGCACCTGGGGTGCAATGATGGTGTGGCCGAAGAGGACCCCACCTGTTTCCAAGGCGGCCATGCCAAGGAATCCAAAGCCGGCCGCAATATTTGCCGAGCCCGCAAGCCTGAAGGTCTTGCGGTATTCGAGGTCCGGATGAGAGTTCCAATCGTGAACGCCGACTAAAAGCAGAACGCAGGCCGCCGCTCCGTGCCACAGCGCCGGCGGAATCGCCGGCAAGCCCATGGATGCCAGCAAGAGGCCGGGCTCGGGCCTCGTCAGCATGCAGCCGCTCGCCAGAAGCGCCAGCGGTGCCCAGCCGCTAAGCAGCCCACCTTCCGGCCAGGCCTCATCATTGCCACTGTTCAGCTAAACATAGGCGAACAAAAAAATGGCGAGGGGACATTTATCGGATTCCGCGTTGGAGCGACACCTCTGCTTCACCAACCCCCGGGAAAACCAAAACCCGCGTCGCCTCCACTTCACTCAGCTCCGCTTCTCCTTTACCCTTTCGCGAAGCTCCTTTCGTCCGCGTGAAGAAGTCGAAGATCTCCAGGGACGAACCGCCACCACTTTAGACATTGGACATGGTACATGCTGTGCAAACAACTCATTTAGATTCGTACCAAATCCGTAGTGTGCCCCAAGGTTGACCTTTCAAGGGGACACGCGCATCGGCATGCCTGGTGGCCATTCGGCAAAAATAACACTCTTTCGGCTTGTTGAACTTCCAAAAACACAGGGGAGATGGGGCAAACGGTGCCGTTGGGTTCGAAGCTAACTCTGACCTCCAGCCCCAGCTCCAAGAACGGCAGCAGCGGCGCCCTCAGCGCAGGCGTGACTTGCAGCAAGACCTCCGCGACCATCTCCTGAAAGGCTCACAGGGGGAAATCTGCTGAAACCAGTCGGGGTCAACGGCAAATGCAGTCCGACTAGTTGGAACCCAACCAACATCAACTTCATTTTCTTTGTTCAGCGCCCATGTTCATGTTCAAACGACCTTTGTTTCGCCCCGCCTCCATGCGATCCGAGCTTTTCGTCGATAACTTCGAGAGCGACATCCCTGCGACCTAAGTCCCACCGCTCGAGCCTCGGAGCCTCGGAGTCGACCGTCCAAAGCGGAAGAGCTGCAGCTCTCGTGCGGTTTTTTTGCTCCTCAAACCTACCACTCGGGCACTCAGGGGCTGGCATATTGGAATGGTATTGATAGGGGGGTAAATCACAACATATTCAACCCAGCTGCGCCAAAAAACCAATGACTTGCCCGTTCTGCTAGCATGGCTATCACCTGCGTTGATTGCCAATCGGGTTTGGGGCGCTGCTCATCCATTCACGTTGACAAGTCTGGAGCATCGGCCACAACACGATCCGTCTCCCGAGAAGCAATGAACCAAGAGCAAAAATGTGATACTCCCCAGCAAATTCACATAGAACCCAAAAAGGGAGCTCGCCAAAAGGAGATTCCCCTGAAAATGATAGTCCAAAAAGAGATTTCCCTAAAAATGATAGTTTTCCTTTCGGGGGGGTCCAATGAGAATTTGCAGGGGAGTACTAGTGATGCTGAAAAGTTTGTTCTGTCCCTGATGCCAGCAGCGATTCATGCAAAGAGGTCAGGCCAACGCAGTTGAGTCCATGCTGCAAAAACTTTGGATGCCTCGCTCTGGTTCAGCATGACTTGGAACTCCCAATGGACGAACTCCTGCGAGCCAGAGCTTGTCGCACCTCTAAAAACACGCGCACGCACGCACGCAAACACGCACCTACACGCGCGCACAAACACGTGTCTGGTTGTTTGAATGGTAACTGATATGTCTGGTATGTGTGGTATGTGTGACATGTGTGGTATGTGTGGTATGTATGGTATGTATGGTACCTGTGCAATGTATGGTATGTATGGCATGTATGGCATGTATGGCATGTATGGCATGTCTGGTGTGTATGGTATGTATGGTAGGCATGGTAGGTATGGCATGGTCTGGTCTGGTATGGTATGGTACGGTACTGTGTATGGTATGGTATGGAATGGTATGGTACTGTGTATGGTATGGTATGGTATGGTATGGTATGGTATGGTATGGTATGGTATGGTATGGTATGGTATGGTATGGTGTGGTGTGGTGTGGTATGGTGCGGTACGGTACGGTACGGTGTATGGTATGGTACGGTGTATGGTATGGTATGGCATGGTATGGTACGGTACAGTACGGTACGGTATGGTATGGTATGTATACATGTCTGCAGGAAGAGGAACTTCTTGAAGCTCTCTCGGACTCCTGGACTGAGTCTGTACACTGCTATGGTTGTGTGCCATTTCCTGCCGAGAGCAAGCACAAAAACGGAAGATCGAACACGCAAGTGCCCGGGTGTCCAAAGGCAGTTCGTAGCCATCCGAATGTGCCCACCGCCCGCCCAACCAAAAGAAGCTCCATATGGGCGAGTCCGAAAGCGGAACCTAAAAAGTGGATAGGTTACTTGAGAGCTCTCTCAAAGATTCCCATTTTGGACCCGAATTTCCAGAACAGCCCCAGGCTGCTCTCTTCCAAGTCCGCGGCGCAGTCGGTGCTGTCATCCATCTCGTACCGCAGCCCGTCCGCACGGATCTCAGCCGGGAGAAGTGCTGAAGGGATCTGACCCCAACCAGCCCGCTGGGCCCTGAAATAGGAAGTTGGCGGAAAAGGAGGCTACAACCTGTCCGGATTCCGTTGGGTTTCCCCTTAAACCCCCTCCACAACGGGAATGGGAGCGTTCTGGTCTACTCAAGGCCAAAAAGTGACTTTTGACAGCAGAGCCCTGTGATGCTTGAACAGGCAAACCCATGTTTCAGCAAGAACAACTGACATCAGGCAATGAAACAACTCAATGCGCTGTGATCTCACGACTCTAGGTGCAGCGTGAGAAGGAGTGAGGAGTGTCCTTCGAACTACCCGTGGCCGTGGCGAAACCATGGCCAAACTACGCAAGTGGGCAGCAAGGATCTTCTGAGACCACACATTTCAAATCTGCAAACCTGGTAGTATTGAAATCAGATGGCGTGGCAACATGGATTTGGACTGAGTCCCTACCAGCATGGTCATAGTGCTGCAAAGGTTTCCATTCAAATCCCCTTACCAAAAAAATCAACCCGAAAACGGACCAAATTTGGCTTTCTGAAATCCTTTGCTCAAAAACCAGCATTCTGGAACCTTTTTGGCTGCTCATGCCCACCCAGAAGTGACGAGAGTTGACAGCCCAAGCCCGGAACAAAGAACCCCTTGCAGCAGAACGCGTTTCTTCCCTGAGTAAAAATAGGTCAACCCCAAAATGGAAGCCTGGCAAATGGAAACATGGACCAAAACCTGCGCTCCCCTGGTGGTTTAATTTTGACCCATTCCCATTTGTTTTTGCTAGAACGGGGGGGTCACATTTCTTCTTCAGAGCGAATTATATGATCGCGCTACGGGTTGACCACTGGAGGAAATGTGTGAACCACAGTCCTGCTAACTATCCTCTATGTTGCGTCTCATTTGCAGGCACCGAACGTACTCACTGGGCTGCATGTGAAGATTCCAGGCTGAAGAAAGGCTTGCTCTAACCACACATGATTGTGGCCATCACTGGCAGCGAATTAGGGGTGTCCCCAATTTGGCCCTGCCGAGGTTCTTTGCTCGGCGTCCCTTTACTGGTGCCGATCCCAGCTTGCCTTTTGCCTCGGCTTGGCATCCCCACCGGCATGTAGTCCCGCAAGGCGCCAGGGGTAAAGGTAAGCCTGCGGGTTGACACAGAAGAAACAAGTCGATGGTGCTGAGAAAGAGAAGCAACCCGGTGTCCGACTTTGATACCTTCAACAGGATGTGGTTCTCAGGAAGCTGCATGGTCTGGGGGGCTGGGGGGGAGGGCTTTGGTGCGGGGAGGGGCATATCGGCGTGCATTGAAATGCAGGCGAGGCACCTGTCAATCTGAGCAAAACTGACATGTCGGCTCCAAGAGGCCAAGACTTCCGCGCAGTGCGCCGAAGTCTTACTTGACAAGTGTCTGTCCAAAATCTCAGCCATGGATGTACGCACGACATAGGAAGCGCTTTGCCTGCGCAGTTCCGTGCGGTTGCGGTCCGCAACCATGCACATGAAAACAGGAGGTCCGTGCCAGGTTTCTTCCTTTCTGTGACGTGATGAGTTGACTACATGTTTGGGCTCAAAGTTCTTTCTGGCCACCACTTCAAATAGCCCGAATGGCACGGTCTGCCGTGGCGTTGGGTGCGTTCATATTTGCAGCAGAAGGTTGGGTCAAGGATAAGAGTGAAAATTGTGACTGCCACCGACTCGGAGTGCGATGTGGTGTCTGCCTCAGGCTTACTTACAAGCTTGCAAATGTCTGGCGGTTGCAGGGGTTCTTTGCGACAAGATCCGACATTCCAAGGTCCCACAAGTTGCGTTTGCCAGGCGCCCCAATCAACTCTTGGATTTCTGACAGCCAAAATTGTGAGCCCACCAACTGGTTGGCCCTTTGCTGCAATGGCCCACAAGCCCAGAGACGGCTGTCCCTCCAAACCCAATTATTGTGGGAGGATCCAGGATACCCATCTGTGGTCTCAACCCAGGCACACACTCTGCATCCAGGGACCCTCATCCAGAGGTCAAGCCGACTGGATGCGGGCACAAGGTTGAAGTCTGTGCAGGAAATTGCATGTGTCATTGTTTTGCGCCCGGCAAAGGGTAGGGGACCCCCTTTGAACGACCAAAGTGGCAGCCTTCCAGTGCATTACCCCAAGAAATGTTGATCATTCGGCGTTGGCAAAATGTGTCGTTGGTGAAAGGGATGCAGGGTAGATGAAAAGCTGAGCATCGCTCATCCCAAATAGGTAGGTTGGGCCGTTCTATCCTGCTCCAAATCCATCTCCAAGCTTCCGTTCACCCTCCCCCAAACCCACATCCTCAGTTGGCCACAATGAACCAACTCATACAAACAGCGCCTGCTTCACACATTTGCTCACCCCAACAGGCCCTTGCCCCTCACACTGGCCTGATATTGCGGCCAGCCACGCTCTGCACCGCCACGTTCTGGCACCACATGTTCCGAATGATTTCATGGGCAGGCAATGGCACCTTTGGGTCTCAAATTCAGCCCCCTATGTTTGACCACCTGCTATCTGAGGGGAAAAAGGGTTGGAGTTCCAAGCTACCCAATGCTTGGACGCAAGCCTGAAACAAACTTCCAGTCCCTGCCAATATCCACGATCGCTTTGGGGCCGCAACCCTAGCGCATCGGTTGGAACCTAACTTAAAGCCACGAGGTGCCGCGCACGGCTATGGTGAATCTAAACGTCATGAGCCAGCAAGTAGCCCCCAAAGTGAAACCCCTTTATCGATCCCCCCATGTCGGAGTCCTTTTTGAGAGGGAATGGGACAAGTCACGGGAGAGCGAACGTCTACACCTAGCTGTCCACTGCACTCACAGGCGGTAGCAGCGCCTCTGGCTGTGTAGCAGGTGCAATGGTGGTGTGGTTCGGCCTCGCAACACGTCAGAGGTTTGGTGCCTTCGCAACATGCGGGAGCTGCCATAAGGTATATGAGTGCTTCCCACCTGCCCTATTCATGGGGGGCTCACCCTCGCTTGCCTCGAGGGCTCTCTATGCTGGGCAACACCCACATGAGTCGCTCGACTGAGGCTTGGGGATTCCCCTTTTCTCTCTCCCGCACTCCTGGCCATTGAGTCTTGAAATGATCGGAGCCAATGTCTGCGCGAGCCAGTGGTAAACCGCACTTCTCTTTCGTGAGACTCTGTCAAATCATAAACCAATTTGCGGCATTCGTTTTTGAAGCGGGTGATATTTTAATTGCATGGTCGCAGTGTTCAAGACCGCCCACCCTCTATGGGCAAAGCAAAATTATCTAAGGAGAAAGGATAGAATCCAGGAATACGATCCGGTAGGTAATAATGATGAGGTCAAAGAGAGTGAAATGATGAATGTGATTGTATGATGGATACGCCGACGGTGAAGACCATGATGCCGACGACGACGACGACGACGACGACGCGACGACGACGGTGACAGCGACGGCGACGGCGACGGCGACGACGACGACGAGGACGATGACGATGACGATGACGATGACGACGACGACGACGACGAGGACAATGACGATGACGATGACGATGACGATGACGATGACGATGACGATGACGATGACGATGATGATGATGATGATGATGATGATGATGATGATGATGATGATGATGATGATGATGATGATGATGATGATGATGATGATGATGATGATAAGTATAGTGGAAATGGTGAACGCGATAAAAACGAAGAACACAATGAATACGACCCCTTTGATAAACTCCATAATGTAGAATGCAGACTCCGAGTCCAGAGCTCTCCGAAAGCCAGACACACGCAGACACAAATGCAAGGGCTGAGGCAAGGACGCGTCACCAGCCAGCACTACTGCCCAACCTTGCTAGCGCATCCCGCGAATGCCCTTCGATTAGCACAGCAGACACCTGCTTTCCACAATCCTGTGCATGCATCGGAGAATGTCTGTCCATTGAGCTGAATGTGCCTTTTCTGATCGACGACACGCCACTCCATTCTAGATAGCTGCAACCTTCCCACATGGCCATGGGTCAAAAGCCCGTACCCCCCAATCCCCACTAAAAAACACTAAAAAACACTAAAATGGGTAGGTGCACCTGCCCCAAAATGGTACCATTGGTTTTGACCCACAGCCACATTACTCTCGAAGTCCATGTGTTGTATCTCCTCCACTCTGACTCCTCAGGCAGGCACCACTGTCCGCCTCAGGATCGGTGCACCGCTGCGCCACCTCACAAGCACCGGCTCCGTCACCTCCCCACCCCACTCATGTATTTCCTGTGCCTCAGATCCCGGTGAGCCCAAAAACACGCGCAAATTGTATGTATCCCCAAGGTGATGTGGACCTTTCGTGAGTGGATCTGCTTTTGGTGGCATGCCTCTACTCCCCTTCTCTCACTTTGTGCACAGTTATGGATCTTGCCCGAGAATCGATCCACACGAAGCGTCTGTTGGAACCATATCAGCTCTGTTGTGCTGCCTCGACAAGCCGATGTGTCAAGCAAATACTAGCTCCAAGATTCCCCACTAATATAATCCATGTTGACCCCACAGTCCCTCCAAGATTCCATGGCGGGAAGTGCGGAAACTGACGTTGCGGCTGGCTGCCAGCAGAGCAGCCAGGTAGGTTTCAGACAAACAAACAAAAACTCGCCAATTGACCCAGGCTGACCATGGGAAATCAGGACACCGGTCTTCGTCGCGCCTCGAGCTCGTACCCAGTGAGGCTCTCCAGGCCCAGGTGTCGGGCACAGCCTCCAAGCCCCGAAAAGGAATCCGATCCCACCAAAAGGCCATGGACAAAACCGTGCTGCGTACCCCAAACCCAAAAAGCCTCTCAGGATCAGAAGCAGCCCCTGGTTCTATCTATGCTTGATGTCCGGTTCTGCCCTCGCATCATATAAGTGCTAGCTTCGGCTCAAGTATCTGCAAGCTGCCGGCAAGAATTGCAGAAAGCAGCAAAGGTTTCGGTCACAGCTCCGCGATGTGCACACATGTCCAACAGTCTTGGACCCAAACAATGATCATTGCTCAAGGGGTTCACTGTTATAGGTCCGACCGTCCGACCTTCATATTTGGGTTGGAAATCCTTCAATGTAAACAAATTGAACCTTTGTAAAGCGTGAATCCCCTTCCATGGCCTCCAAATCGCGAAGAAAAATATTTCTAGCAGATCAGTGGCTCCTAAAACAGATCTACTTTGGGTTCCACACACCTCAAAATGAGGCCATTTGGCTGTCTGAAGGGTTAACCAAACCTTCCTGATGGGTGCTGTCACCCATTGTATTCAGGACGGAGAGTTTCGATGACGGAGGCTCACGGCAAGGTACTGGATATTATGTAAAAAGGAGGGGCAATCCTTGCTCAGCCGTAGTGCTGCGTGGGTGTCCGAGTAGTGTCTCCTACATCTGGGTCAAATGGCTTAGCTTCCAAATTGCACACCGACTCCATTGATGAGCTCAAGCCTGTGGCGACTTCGACAACTAATGCTTGACAATGAGTCCTGGAATTCAAAGGTGGATTCCTTCAATCAAGACCAATCTATTATTTTGGAAGGTAAGGCACACAGTAGCAATTACTGGCTTCATTGACTCGATGCGCAGCACTGGGCCTGATTTACTGAGTACGCCAAGCCAAAAAGCCCTTGCTTGAACCCTTTCCAGTATGTCAGCTATGGTCAGGAATGTGCCAGTCCGAACGGATTTAGGTTCCAGTATACGGATCACTGCTTCCCAAAAGCAAAGTCTGATTTAGGGACTGAAGAATATCCGTATCAAAACTGGGCAACCACTTTCCAGGGGGTTGACACGGGCTGTTGCAATTTCTGGTTTTGAGGCCACTAGAGAGGGATCCATCAGCAGGCAGTGCCCAAAAGCATCAGTCGAGGCAGCAACCCCCTATAGAAGCCAGAGAACCATCCTCCTGGTCAAATCAGCTTTCAATCACATGAACCACGTCGGCAAGATTACAACTCCTGATTGGCAAACATGCAACCAACCAACCAACCAAGCAAGCAAACAAGCCAGCAAGCGAGCAAGCGAGCAGGCAAGCAAGCGCGCAAGCAAGAAAGCAAGCAAGCCAGCAATCAAGCCAGCTAGCCAGCTAGCCAGCAAGCCAGCAAGCCAGCTAGCCAGCAAGCCAGCAAGCCAACGAGCCAGCGCGCCAGCGAGCCAGCCAACCACGCTGCTGAGAGACTGCCCAACCCCCAATCTTCTCGCCTCTCTCCAGTCGGGTCGCGCCTGTAGTCTCATGCAGCGGATCGTCATCCAGCTGGTTGTAGCTGCTGTCCACCAACCAGCAGTAATTGTACGCTGCCTGAACTGATGAGCTTTATGGGCAAATGTCCATCCATATAACTTTGTCACGTAGCAGGGGATGCCCTTGGTATTGCAACAATGGGCGAAGCTCTCAGTTTCCACAACCATGTCCGCCGAAGCCGTCCTTGTGAAATGCTCATGGTCAAAAGGTGTGCGGGTCTCTCGCTCATGTTCAGCACCGTACGCTTACGGGATGGATCGCTCTAGCGCGCAATCACGCTTCATAGGTGCGCACGTCAACCTCCTGCGCTCTGGGCCTTCCAGAAAGAAGGGCAACTGGCGGCAAAGATATCAACCGTGCACTGCGTGCGCGCGTAACCCTCTCTAACCTGCCAAATCATGTGAGAGGCCTGAAGGGTATGCCAGTCAGCCCTAATAGTGTTCGTCATAATTCGCTCGGTCATTGTCCATCTAGCGTGTGATGTTGGCGGTGATGCTTGCCGCTTTATACCCGTTGATTCTCAGCGCCTTCAAAAACGTGACACGAGGAAGGATGGCTGACATATTCTCAGGGGCCTGGTCGTCTGATGAGACGAGCCCAAGTCGCTTTCACAATGAGAGCTCCTTTCAAAGGCCGTGCTGCACTCAGTTCCGGTGCCTCTCGCCTCTCACGGCCCTCCTGGCACCTGCCCCCGCGCACTTCCCGGCGCCTGGAAGCGCAGGGCCCGGCAGGCGGACTGGTTGCTGCAGGCGACCTTGCAGTCATTGGCCTCAGGCTCTCTCGGGTGACGGGGGGATCAGGTCCATTTGGCTTGAGTCAGAGTGTTAATACAGTCCACCGAAAATCCGTGTCTATGGTTGCGACCCTCCCCCACTGTAAGTGAACCACCCAGGCTTTGATTGCGAGGATTCCACTTCCTGGTGAGAAATACTTGATGATCAATGCTTCCACACTGTAGTTCACGCACTGGTCCAATAAAGCTCGTTGCGTTTTGGGCAACGGGAAAGCACGGGGAAAGGCGCCATGCAAAAAAGCCCCCAAGTTCGGCATATCCTAGACGTCTCTGCTTTGGGTCTTCACATCCGTCACAGTTATATGGTCCCCCATCTCTCCCGAACGACGCTGGGCTGCAGGCAGTGGCGACGTTGGTCATGGGGCACTCCACGCCGGGAATGCACACCTCAGCACCGCCCGAGACCCAGCGAAAAGCCATTTGGCTGTGGGTCAAAAATAGGTACGCAAAATGGAACCCTGGTAAATGCTAGACTCAAACCTGCGGTCCCCTGGTGGATTAATTTTGTCCCACGCCCATCTAACTTTGGCTCGTAGGTTGAGCCGTCCCCTTTGCAAGACCATAGGGTGCCTCCCAAAGTTGGGACCGGAGGATCTTCAAGGAAACGCATGTATATGCTGTACATATCCGCTATACTAATTTCGGGGGCCCCCCATGTTCAGAGATTTGTCAGTGGATGCGGCCCCTAATCTTTGGACACGCTCACTTGCTGAGTGTTGAATTCAGCTGAATTCAGCTGCATCAGCAACTTTTGGGATGCGGGAGGTTGAGTCAGCTCAGTTGCAGTCTGCAAGATCCGCAAAAAGACAGAAAAATCAAACTCAGGCCACGAGTCCTTCAAACAGTGCCCGTTGGACAATGTTCCTGTCATCCCAGTGCCTTCCTGCGCAAACGTTGGGCAGCCGCACACTGTAGAAGCCGGTGTAGAACTTGTTCTTGTAGCAGGAGAAGGTCTCTGTGATGTTGCAGCTGGGTGTGCTCTCACTTCGCCTCAAGTATTGAGTCCTCTGCACGGATCTTGCAAAGGAGATGAACGGATTGCTGGTTTGCGACTGGGCAGGGATCTCATCTGACAGCTTGCGGAATCCCAAACCACCTGCGAGCAAGCAGATGACAGGGATTGCCTTTGGCAATGTGGCCCTCCTTGGAAAAGGCAAATCTCGAGACGGGAAAATGCCCTTCCACGGGCCTCCAGGCAGGCTCGCCATGGTTCGGCCAATCCGGCTGGGTGCGCGGCTCGGTGCAAAGTGGTGACTCCTGCCACAGCTCGGTACCTGCAAAACGCCATTCTCTTTGGCCCTACTTGAGCACACACACACACACACACACACACACACACACACGCACACGCACACGCACACCCAACCGCTCGGCAACTCATTCTTGTCTCCTCTTTAAACTGTTCCGGACCTGTGGGGTGGCATTCAGTGCCTTTGAAGGAGATCCACAAAACTAGCTCCTCATCTCAGTCTGACACCCGTCCGAATGCCCGGACTCCAGTTGATTTGCGTGGAAATGGCACCCAACTTGGTTCGATGCATGCTCGTATTCCTTGGCCCCTCTCAAGAGAAACTGCAAGACTGGGCTGAAACATGGAGCTGTCGTGCTTGAGCCTCAACTTCAAACAACTCATCACCTACAGACACCAAACCCACTGTGACACCAACTTGGCCTGGACAAGTCCTGATTCTGGCACATCCCCATTTCCCCCCTCCCCCCCCCCCCGGAAAATTCTCGGCAGTTGCGCCTGTTTTGCGAGCCTCCACATCCCAGTAGAGGAAGTCGCATTTCCCCTTCCTGTGTGGGTGAGGGCATGTGCCCCAATTTCATGCAGGACGAAACCAGAGGTGTTCTTGAGTACCGGCAGAACGATATGTCTCAAACACGAGACCAGAAAACTGATGGTGTGCATAACAAGCTCGGAAATGCCGCTACACTCGCTCAACTAACCAAACATGCCATGCTCTGGCTGCATGCCTGGATCCCCAGACTGACAATTCACCAAGATGACATGCTCAAACAAGGAAAACTCCAGCTTAACTTCACTGATTTATTGGCACGAATTGGCACTTCTGTGATACAAACTGCAAAAGCAGGCCCGAGGCTGATCGGTGCACAGTGGAGCAATCCAAGCCATCACCTCCACAGGAACACCAGGAACACTACTTTCAGTACAGCCTTTATCTTTGGATCCTCCATCCCTAAAGGGAAAGCCGGATCCCCATGCTATGTTTGGAAACAAAAACGACCGTCACCCCTTTACCTTCGTCTGAAGGGCGTCTTGCGTTAACTTGGTGCATTGAACCTGCTAGGTGCGCCGCTGGCCGGGCTGCCACTCCACGTAGAGCCAATATGGGCCAGCCTCAGCCAAGGGCCGCTCAAGAGGTGCAAGATTCATGTTGACTGAGGTAAACCACGCAGCCCGTTTTGGAAGATTCACGACCACTGATGTGTAAACAGTATCTCTTTTTGAACATGCCAAAGGCCTGACAAGGCAAAAGGAGAAGGAAGCGAACAGCAAATGGGTGCAGCCCTTGAAAATAATGTAGGGATCGAGGCTGTTCATGCCCTTCAACAGTCCATCTCAGCAAGGAGCGCGAACCCTGAGATTCTATTCAGCAGGGCCCGGAAACTGGTGACACATGGCTCTACCAAGAGGGTCATAAAGGTTGTCGCAAATCCAAACATCATGTCTAATCAACCAGAGAAACGAAGCCCTTCGATCTTCCCCAATGCAGCAGTTTGAGGCCGTCGGAGCGTCCGACCAATGAACCTTTCCCCAAAGGGAGGCCTCAAGGAAAGCCACCGTAATGGTTCCCCCAACCCCCACACACATGGCAAAATGGTGGACCCTGCTTGGTTGGCGTTGAAAGGGACATCAAGAGGAAACCAACTTTGGGGGGACCCCTATTTTGAGAAACTCCTCTGTTGAAACGCCAAATCCGCTTTGAAATTTGAGACCCCTGCCGCCATCACCAAAGGCTGCAGCGGTGTGCCCGCCGCTTCGGGTCGCGTGGAGATGCTGGCAGAGACCACCTGCGGAGATCTGATTGCGTGTGGGTTGATTCGTTTATGTGGGTCTGATGTCCAGGACACTCTGCGTGTATCTGTTTTAGGAAGGTGATCCTAACTTGTGATTAATATGTTGTAGATGTACTCGTCATGTGTCCAATGTTTGTATTATGATAATGACAATGATAATGGCAAATGATAATGGCAACTGATAATGACAATGATACGTAACTGCAATAATCGTAATAATCAAAATAGTAATACTTATAGTAATGATAATAATGGCAATAATTAGCATTGATAATAGCAATAACAATAAATCAAAAGATAAAATGAATTGAACTATGTGAGTTAAATTGGATACACTATGCACAAGTCGAATTGAGGCAACGGAAGATGGAACATCAAGAGAAGGTTCCCACTATGCTTACCGAAAGAAGCATAGGCCATTTGACTTTCCAGCGCTTCAAACAGGGCCATCTCAACCTCCCCTGAAGAAAGATGCCTAAACGCGGCATTGTGCCATGCAAAAATCGGCCTCGCTGTCGGCCAGGGTGTTTTCGCACCTCGGCATACACATCTCACCCCTTCACTTGGGTGGCCCCCCCCCTCCTTGAGGTGACATCCCCCGGCTGTATTCACTTGACACTAGGTGTCCCTTCAAACCCAACGAGCATGCAGCCCAGAAAAATCATCTTGAAAAGTGGTGCTGCCCTTCATTCATGAGACTCGATTGGAAGACAAGGTTGGGCACCAGCCAGAACATCCGCAAGGCGCTTCTGCATCTGGGCGTGGCACGTCTCCTGGACAGAGACCTCGCTTCTTGCAAGGACCGACTTCTACCGCCCAAACGCAAACGGCCTCTCCCTGAGTCAAAGAGGTCTCTTGACGGGGGGGATCTTCAAAAAGGGAACCAACGCTTCCCGGTTGAAACTTGTTCTGCAGACCTCGTTTGTGTGCTTGCTGGTTTGCAATATGCCTGCAATGCAATACGAACCGTGTATTCCCGCAAACTTCCGAATGGGGTTGTCCTTCTTTGTAACATCGTGGGGTCAGTTGCTTGAACACTGGGACGGTGCACCCCTTCACTGATCCATCAGATTTATTCATCCTGGTTGACGTCCAAGGGTGAGAGTGACACATGGCTCGAGGGAGCCGCGGTTTGCGTGTGAACCAATGAAAAGCCATGCTTGTTCGCCCACTTCCGCACTTCCGCCTGGTAGATGGTGCCATCCGTGAGTCCAGTCCTTGCAGAAACAGACGCCGGAGATGTGACCCCAAGAAGTAAGCTTTCCTCAATTTCAAAACCAGCCTGCTAACATGATCTGACAAATCCCGCATGTGCGTGTGTGAAAACCCTCTGCAGGTATCAGCTCAGCACCCCAAATAACATGAGGTGCACTTGATGCGGCAAAATCTGGGTTGCTGGCATGTTGACGAAGGAGTTCTCCCTGGCTTGGCCCTCGGTGGTGAACACGTGGGACTCTGCACCTGCCCAAAGCGAGCGGGACAATAATGGTCTAGACCCACGGCAAATGGCTTGATGTTTCCTGCATGTGATGCTTGCTGTCGATCTACGCTGCCAGGCATCCGTGTCTTACAAATTGCTGGAGCTGGCCCCTGCATGGATCCTGCAGGAAGTCTATGTGTGTGTGTGTGTGATGTATTAGGCAAAGGTCTCTAAAGCGTCCATCTGAATTTGACAATTTGTCAAGTTGACGCTTTAGTAGAGCCTGGTCGATTGGATGGCATGACCCAGCAGCAACACATTCAATCAGTGAATCCCTTCCCATCAATCCAAACTCCTACAAATATGTGACCACCTATAGGGGACCTGGAGGGCGGGCAACAGGGTGCGCGGCGTACGAACAAGACTGGAAGGTGGCTTCTAATCACTCCATGACCAAACATTATGATATGATTGATACGGAACTCACATGCATCAAGAGCCGATCATCGATATGGAGACAAACGAATTTTGGAGCCACAACATGGCTGTGGGTGAAAAATAGGTACCCAAAATGGGTGGCCGTGATAAATGGGGCCAAAAACTAAAAAACCTGCGGTCCAATTCCTGGTGGTTTCATTTGACCCATACCCACATCTTCACCCCTGCTTGTCCTCACATTCCTCGCGTCACGCTGCATCCGCCTGAAGTCGCCATTATCCGCCACGCCAAGTGAACGCAGTCGTTGAGGCTGCCCGCAGTCCACTGGACCTCGGCCACGGCGTCCTTTTTTTCGAGTAAGAAACTCTTTGGCGTGGGTACAAGGTATCCTTTGTGGATGCAAGCTTGTAGCGTTACTTGTGTGACAAGTCTCGTTTTCGTATTGTTTTGGTTTGCTGTGAAAACTCTTTCTACGCACAAAAAACTTGCGGCCTAGGCTGATGAAACACATTCAAATCCTAGGCCGATGAAACACTCAATTCCTGCATTCGAATTCATGCATCGCACATTCATCTAGGTTGAATTCGTGCATCTTGCATCCTTTCCATGCTCCAGCAACATGGCCTAGCCTGCCATCTGACGCAGCCTGTCTGTGATACTCAGGCTGAACTGACGTGAGCGCTCCTCCGCTTGGACCAGCTCCTTGTGCAGTGAGCGTGCCTGTGCCAGCGCGTCAGGCCGCGCGGGATTGCGTAATGTGGAGATCGAGCTCATGCCTTTTGCTAGCAGTCCGGTGCTGGCACGCCTTGGTCCTCGGGCAAATGCCTTCGGCTGCCGCAGCAAGCTCGCTTTGTCCACGTCGGGACGCCTTGCATCTTCGCGGCTGGTCAGCACCTCCGACTTCCGCCGCAGCTGGTCCGAGGCCTTCAAGGCCGACTGGACCTCCTCCAGCGCCTTCTGGATGCCAACCCGGTGCTCACAGTTCACCGGCGGAGCACAATTCTCGCCTCGAGGGCGACAGGGCAAGGAGAGGCGAGCCTTGTGTTGTCTCTCAGGGGCACATGTCTCGTACATCTTCGGCTCGTCTCGCACCATGGCTGGATTTGCCTGGAGCCAATTTTGAGCGAGGCAGTGTTCGTGAACTCCCCAAATCCCAAATGAGTTGGTAAAATGAATCCTGACCAAGCAGCTCCTACACTGCTCCTGGCTCTCGTCCATACCGACCACATCCCGCGAGGGAAGGCGAGAAAAGTCGGTTGCAGCCTCCAAACACGACTCCGCAACTCCCTTCGCCACCTATGGGCTCCACACCAAAAAGAAGTGCGCCAGAACAAATGAGGCAAAGTTAGGAATGCCCCCACATCGCCAACGGTTTTTGTTTTGGGTCCCCTCTGGGCCGGCTTGCTCCCAAATGCGAAGAGGAGACTCCTCCCAAGCGGAGGTGTTTGAGTTCCTTTTCAACATGCGGGGCTCCAGTCCGAGGGCGGCGCGAGCAGCCAAAACACCTCCCTTTGCGCCGTGACGTCCGAGACCTGGGCGAGCGGGGCCGTCGGAAAGCAGACACCCTAAGGCTGGGAGGCACCATGTAACACATGCAATAGTTTAACATGAAAGTGTGAATTGCTCGTCTTGCCAGCGTCCCGCTTGAGAGTACCACGAAAAGGGGCCATTCACTTGGCTGCTTCTGAATTGCTCTCGGCCTGAAAAAGGCCGGTTTGAAGACAATTCGGGCAGCACCTGCTAGAAGACCCGAAATGGCCGAGGGCACGATGGTATCGACTGTGTTTGCACCCTGCGGCAGCTGTTTTGCAGGCAGTTGGAGGGATCTGCACAGGATTTTACCCGCTAAGTAGTTTGAACATGACCCGAGGTGAGATCCACTGGTGAGGCCCCGTGCCGGACCGGCCGGCAGCGGGTTCACCTGTTCAGCCACGGGCGGAGGCAGTGGATGGAAGTTTACCTCCAAAACACCACAAGACTGCGTCGCCGAGTTTGAAGGGGCCTTCGCTGATCTGACAAATGACCTGGGGTGTGGGGGCAAAGGTATACGTCAAATCCTGTGGGTGGCATCCCAACAATGCAAGCTGATCATCAAAACTTGTGGCATGGTTGACAGGAAGACTAAAATATAAAGTATGTCGCGGGGATGAATGACGCGGACAACCCTTTCCCTTGAGGTGATGTCTGTCTGTGCGAGTAGGTGTGCGAAACATGGAACCCTTGGCGGAACCCGGAAGATTGCACATTTGTTCTGGTAGGAAGCCTTCCGACTATTACCTTTCCGTCAGACAGCTTTGAACTGGAAAACAAAGAGCATGCGAAGAATCTGGGAAACGTCAATTGCAACATGTCTGGCTCTGACTTGGGGATTCCGCAAGTCAGCGAGTTTCAAACCCAAGCATTGGCTCCTAGCGCATCAACAGGTGTTCCATTCAGACCACGCCTGTGCCAGTGTGGGGTACTGCTCGTAGTCGCCGTTGAGGGTCTCATCCTTGGACAGTGCTGCTTCCATTTGTAGGGAATATGGCTGAATGATCAAGCATCAGCTACAACTGAGCTCTCTTGTCTTGGCAATGAATGTTTGAATTGAATGGCGCAATCCGATGAAAAACCATGATGAGTCCCTTCTACGCGGAAACAATTGTTAGGATACTGTTGCTTCCATGCGCCCAAATAATTTCTTCCATAGTGAAAAGATGACCAAATACAGTCAGAAACAATTTTCAATAGTGAGTGCTTCACCTGACACAGGGCTGAGTGTGAGGCTCCCATTCATTGTCCAAGAGGCCCATTCTGTAAAACCTATCAAACATCTATTGTTTAAACAAAAAAAACACCCATTAGGAAGCACGTGTTCATGGATTCTAATTTGGTGTGTGTTGTTTTTGCCCGGCTGCCCGATTGCCGAGGCTCATCGCAAACCTCCCTGATTCGCACCTGGAACCTGGCATTGCTTGGCAGGCCTCACCAGCGGCGCACGCGAGAGTTCAAGCCACGGCAAATCCACAGTCCGCTTCGAGCTGTTTGTGTCGACTTACTGGGCCTTTTTTGAGGATAGTAGACCTGCAACCTCTCATTCAACCAGACTCGAAATTCTTAACCAAATGTGCAAAGGCTCTCGTTCTCATCCCAAGGCTTTTAGGCGGGGGTCAAAAAACAACTAGGGACTCAGCATCGAGATGAAGACAAATGCTGCCTAGCGAGACAAGCTCTGCTCTCTCCCGCCTGTCACTGTGCAGACTGTGGTCCTGCGGTCCTGCAGAGGTGCCCATCGACTCGCGCAGTGCAAGGCTTGGAAGCTCTCGTCTCGAAGACGAGGACTTGATGGTCACTAGTGCAAAAGAAAACCTCTGGAGGAATCACTGTCTTTCAAACCATGGGACAGATGTAGTGATGTGCCAAGCTAATTCAATCAATACACCATGAATGTCCAATCAAATCGCAGACATGGAGATCGTTCTCTGAAAAGAAGCAAAAGGGCCACACTCAGGGCACGAGCCCCGTCCCATCGCCCTCCGACTTCGGGTCCCCAAGGTAGCACTCGGGCGCAGCCCTCCACTCCGAACTCCTGGAGCCGACACAAGAGCCTCCGATGTTGCGAAATATGGCGCTGGCCAAAAAAAGCATGTATCGTATGTATTTATTGTCGGACACCTAAGAGAGGATAGAGAATAACCCCCCCCCCCCCCATTCCCCCCGCCCGACATCTGATACGTAGGGTATAAAGGGGGGGGGGGAGGAAGTCCCCCACGTACCGCGACTAAACGTAGTCTTCGGGGAGCCGGTGTCGCCAAACAGGGGTCCCAGGCTCGAATCCCCCTGCCGGCTCTTTCTCCTTTTGCCGAAAATCTGGAAAAACTCTGTGCTTTTGGACGTCCTCATTGCGAAAACGCTGGAAAACCGTGTTTTTGTTTGCGGGAAGGGAGGAAGTGCAAGGAAATGAGGGGAGGAAATAGGAAGTCGACATGACAGGAAAGCAACGGGAAATGAAAGGGAAACAATCGACAAGGCAACCAATCGGCACGACGGGAGATGTAGGGAACTGACTCGCAACGAAAGAACGGGACATGCATCGAAAATGAAGCGGACATATGAAGGGGCAGTGCCCGGACATCGAGGCAACTCAGGGGGGACGTGACGCTGCAATGCAGAGAGAGAGAGAGAGACAGAGAGAGAGACAGGGAGAGAGCGGGAGAGAGAGAGAGAGAGAGGGAGAGAGAGAGAGAGAGAGAGACACAGAGAGCGAGAAAGAGAGAGAGAGAGAGACAGAGCCAGAGTCAGAGAAAGAGACAGAGAAAGAGACAGACAAAGAGAGAGAGAGAGAGAGAGAGACACAGAGAGAGAGAGAGAGACACAGAAAGACAGAGAGAGAGACACAGAAAGACAGAGAGAGAGAGAGAGAGAGGGAGAGAGACAGAGAGAGAGAGACAGAGAGAAAGAGCGAGAAAGAGAGAGAGAGAGAGAGAGAGAGAGAGAGAGAGAGAGAGAGACTAGGTCCTCCAGTAGAGAGGCTAGAATAAGGGTGCCCTTTTTCTGTAGAGGGGCGTGGACAGGAAGGAGACGGGGAGACAGAAAGAGACAGACACACAGAGAGAGATAGAGAGATAGAGAAAGACAGAGACAGGGAGATTGAGGCGAGAGAGGCTTGGGGGGATGGGGAGGATGCGGAGCAGAGGGAGGGAGAGAGGACAGCGGGGGAGGAAGCCAAGGGAGAGAGGAAGGAGAAGAGGGAGAGGACAATGTCGGCGGACTGAGCCGCAGGCTCTAAAGTATAATGTATGTGTATATATATATATATATCACGACGCCCATGTCCCGACAACAAGGGATCTGAGCAAATACTACACAAATGGAAGTATTCAACCTCCTCTCCAATGGAACTTGGGCCCCCAGCCCCTCCTTGATTCTGGCGTACACGTAATGCCCGATGCCATGGAAATATATCCAAAACAATGGTTGGCAGGGTCCTCCCCTTCAAGCATCAAAGAATTGATTTCCCCTGTGCCATGCTAAGGCCAGAGTTTCCTAGACTCACACAGAAATGGGGGGGGGGGGGCGCCGGGGGCAAAAAGCCGCATGTCCAAAGGAAAACCCCCAGCAAACCAACGGGCATGCTAGGTGAGTTCCCCAGCATCGAGGCAGGCGCTCGCGAGCTTTCTTCATTCATCTGCATGTTGTTTAATGAGAGTCTCAGGGCTTTCGAGAACCCAGGAGCCCTGATTGCGAGCTGGTTCCCCGGAGCTCGCTCGCCCAAAAGTTGGCAGGCACATTCCTACCTGGACAGATGCTCTGCTTCATTCCAGGGTTGTCCTTTTGGTACTCAACTTAGGGTGGAGTATAGGGCTGTTCATCCTTACAGGAAAGTCATCTTGAAAGGACGACCTGCTGCACTGCTCCATTCCAGCCCGCTCCAGTGCTCGAAGTAGTATTCGCTCAGGTCCACTTGCCAGCGCCGAAAGGTGCAGGGATAGTAGGTGGTGTCCTCAATCACTGCAAAACGGGTGGCCAAAGGCTCCTAACCAAATATGCAGGGGTCGAACCGAAATTGCCCGAATTGCCCGAAATGCAAGTTGCAAGCTGCTGGCATATGCCGATGAGACTGCTACTTTGGATGCCCAACTGAAGGGGAATCGAAGGACCCCATGCCACCTCCCGAAGACAGCGTAGCCATGAGCGGGGTGCCCAATGATGTTTCGAACAGAAATGGCAGGCAGCCCCGCTTGGATGAACTGCGGGATGTTCTTGATCGCTCGGACTGCGGATGTCGTGTCATTCGGGTCAAACTGGTGACCACCAAAAGGCAAAGCTGCCGAGTCCCCTACAAAGCGGCTGCGAAAGAGGTTGTCGGGGTGAAAACTGCTCGCAAATGTCATCACATATCAGTTCTGGGTGGCCATCTTTGCAGCAAGATTGAGAAGAATGTGTGTATGTGTGGTCCGTCTGATTTTTTTTTGTCGGAAGGTCAAATATCCAAAGTTCGGCCAACCCTGGCGCTCCCAAGCTCCAGGAGCTCGAGTGTTCCGCTTTCCACTGAGCAGCCGGCAACGAAGTCCTGCTCCTGGGAACTAATGGGCGACATACCGAGACCCTGAATTTGCTCTCGCTCCATAGCCTTGGGAAGGAAGTTAGCAAGGCTGCAACATGCTTCTCGGAGGCAAAGGCACCTACAAATCCCGAGCCAGCACAAGGCTGAGCAAGGCATGTGAAGTAATCAAGAAAGCCCGGGATGCAGCAAAAGATCGTCTAAGGGCTACCAAACACCACACTGCAATCTAGCAACTTCGGTGACCGAAGTCACTACCGAAAGTCAGAGGCCCCATCCTTTCTAGAGATCGACCCGAACTACTAGTCAAACGAGCCCTCTCCAAAGGTTGGCATCTTTCGTGGCAGCCGTTTGAAGCCGCGGGTCCCCAAAACGGGGTCCAACTTATGGTAACCACCCTTTGCCTGTTGCACCGTTCTTGGAAAACAAAAGGCCGCCATCAAAGAGGTCCCGATACGACAAAGTGGGCCAACAGGCAACGGCAAGGAAGCCTATACCCCTGCGAGTGTCTGAACGGGTGCCATTCAACGGGCCACCCCACATGCCCCACGCGCCCAACATGGCGCCTTCCAATCGATGGTCAAGGAATCCGGCGTGCTGGAGGTCACCACAATGTCGGACTCGGGGCAAGCTCCGGCGACGAGCGTTCTCCGGCGGCGAGGCGAAGAGCTCGTTCGGTGTGTTGAAACGCCAAGGACGGCCAGCCAGATCCCCAGCTTGAGATATACCCATGTTGAGGCTCTGAAATGATGAGCCAGACTACCAGACTACCGTCGGAACCCGAAACTGATGGTTTGAAACCCATGCCAGTATAGCATCTAGGCTGGAAACTATGCAACCTGCAATGGAGTGACAGTCTTGCGATAAAGCACAATCTGGGGAGTACCTTGTGACAATGGACAGTTTCATGTTGGATAGCGGAAGAACTTGACGTCTTATCAGCCCTTGTGGAGGGAAGCCAGCCGGAAAGGCCAATCATGAGGGTGTACAGAATTGGTCCAGCCTGACAGAGAAACGACCATGACAGACTCAAAACATGCAACACGTTCGCTGGATATGAAAGCAACATATATTGCAGCCCGCACCCAACACAAACAAGCAGAACCAAACAACGAACACTACAACGCTTCCAAGAACAGTGAGGTCAATCGGCAAATAGAAACGACGGGTTCTGTTTATGCTGCTTATTTGACAAACTTGAGATTTGGCAACACGTTAGCCCAGTCGGTTTGGGAATTTAGGGGGAATAGAGCTGGGCACTGCTCTGGCATATCTGCACCTGCGTGGCTGAAACGTCGTGCATCGGGTCGCTTCGGGTTGCTGAGCCTCCCACCGGTGCCAGTGGCCGCACGATGCACTCCCGGTCACCCCCGTTCCGGGTGCCGCAGGGTTCCGACATGCAGCAGTGGTCCTGCACGCACGCGTGCGCGTGATCACACCCCGAGTGCGTGATCTTGACATAGGACTTGACAGGCCAGGGGCAAGCTTGAAGCTTGCTTCTTCCGGATGTCAATGTTGGGAAAGCCAACCTGGAAACCCAGTGACGTGGTGCCAGTGTCCCAAAAAGGGACTGCCCGGCTATTGAGACGCACCACCCCTCTCCCCCCCCGGCGGTCCGCTCGGACGCCGCCCTCAAGCGTGCTGGTCACCTTGCCCGATCGGACCGAAGGCTTGGCCGTGAACTAACATTCGAAGGGCTGATTCCCCACTCTCTTCACCCATCGTGCTCTTGGGAAACCACCCATTTTCCAGGCTTTTGGCGATTCACCAAGCATAGAGAGTCTCAGAAAGGCTTGGAAACTTTCGGAAGATGATTTTCAAAGAGAACCACCAGTCGGCGAATGGAGAGCCCCGACACATACCCAACGCGGCTTGGACTGGTGCGTTTCTTAAGGAAGCCAGCCCAAGGAAACTGATCAGCTTGGGCTTTTCTCTTTTTTGGGGGGGAGTTCCTTTTGGAGAAGCTGCAACGGTCCTATCCCAACAGGGGTGACTGTCAGTTGATGCGAGCGGTGTTCCGGTCAACACCGCCCTTCAAAGAGCTCCGCGTTTGATTCCTTGGTGCCCTCCTATGAGACTTAGCGGGTGGCACCACGTGAGCTAGTTGTCATGGAAAAACACAACGAGAAGCCGAATCATGAGCTTCCCGCCAAGAGGACATGTCACTCTGGACAAGCTCGATTCACCCAGAGGCAAGCAGGCCATGAATTCGCCCGGGCCTTTGCACAACTGTCCGGGCTTGCGCACCTCAGAATGCATGCCATGTGCTACAGAGGCAGCAAACCAGCCGCCTTGGCTGACCAATTCATCCAGTACAGCGCTTCGTACGGTCGCTTTGCTTTCCAAGAACCATCTGTGAATCTGTGAACCGAGCCCGCCATTCCCAAACCAACTCAACCGACTGACGTCATCCCAGGTTGCGAGGCCCAAGGCGCACATCAGACACTGCCAGGCTGGTGCCATGACCAGAATGAAATATCCACATCATACCCACCCCAACCGTAAAGAGCCCGCGGACTTCCTCGGTATCGCCTCGTGAACGTAATGGATAACTTCCTTGCTTATTCTAAGGGCAACTGCGCAGCAGACCAAGCATCCCCTACCAGATGGATGGCGGCGTGTCAAAGCCATTTTTGCGAATTCAACATGGAACCCCAACATCCTGACTTAAGCTAGAGGAATCTCCTTTGCCCATAGATGGACAAAATGTTGAAACCCTTGAAATAATTGCAACCACTGCACCATTAAAGTTCAATGTTGTTGAGCATTTGGAAGGATATGGCCGAGTGGGCGAAACAAATCAACCCCCGTTAGACTGGCTAGGGGGCCCTAGGAACAGCAAGTCTTCAATTCAATTTGTGACCGTCCAACATGCCCAAAATGGCAACCATGTTTCCACCTCCAAAGAGAGCAACAACGCTGCACTGCTGACATCTCAGTTTAACAGGAGTGTAGCAACTCCACAGCATTTCCAAAGACAACACCGAAAGCTTCTTTGAAGCGCATTCAGCTGCGCGCACCTGCGCAACGTTGAACTTTTGGGTAAGAGAGGTTGAAATTTGCAGTTGTAGTGGATTTGGAGGTTCCTTCATCAATGTTCAGGGGAGGTCAGGTGTCCCTTTCAACACCCAAAACGGTCCAGAATTTTCGGTTGCACCTGTTTTTGTTCGACTCCTTGGGAGCAGAGCTCGCCTCTCCGCTGTTCAGGAGCATCCCTCTGAGCCCGTGGCATGTACGGGAAGTTCTTGGCACACACGGCTCGGCCACCACCTTCCAAGGCCGAAGACACGACCCAGTTTCTTGCCCCCTTGGTTATCTAAGCCAGGCTAAGCTAGTCCTTTTGGAGCCTGCTTCAAAGTCACGATGTCATGGAGTGTCAAACTAGTTGGGATCTGAACCGGTAGACCTCCACACTTGCTGAATCATGCTTTCCGGCTGGAACCGAGCCCGAACAGGTGTGACAATCGACGCTCGGCTGGTGAAAAGAAGCCCCTGGCATTCAGCATTGGGGTGGCCCAAAACAAAAATCCGCCGACCCTCTGCCTCCCGTCCCAGCCTCCTGCAGAGGGGACCGGCGTGGGATGCAACTGGAAGTGTTTGGAATCAATGATGGTCCATGGGGGGCACGCCCGAAAGTACAAAAAGTGGATTCCCAGGACCGGTCCTGGGACCGGTCCCGGGACCGGTCCCAGTCCTGGGACCTGTGACCGCTTCGCATTAAGCCAACCGGCCGGTCCCGGGACCGGTCCCAGGACCTGGGACCAGTCCTGGGACCGGTCCTGGGACCGGTCCCAGGACGGGTCCTGGGACCTCCTGGAACTGGTCCCGGCCAGGACCGCTTTCAGGACTGGTCCGGTCCCAGCCGCTGGTATCGGATCCCACTTCAAACCGCTGCAGAAACCCGGTGCCACCTCAAACAGCTCCAGACATCTGTTTTTTCAGTGTCGCTGTTTCCGGACTGGCACCCGTGTTTCAGGACCGGGTCCCAAGTCCCAGTCCCTCCCTGCGACCGGTTGAGGGGCACCGACGGCCTTGTTTCTAGGACCAGCTCAACGTGACTTGGGCGCGAGCCGGCCCGTGCGGTCATTGACGGACGAGCTGCCGCCTGTCTGACTTTTCCGCTAATCCTTGTGGTGGTAGAGGATCCCTGCATCTACTGCCGGCGACCGGTCCAGGGCCACTAGGACCACTGTCGCCGGGGCAGTTTCGGGAGGGCCAGTTTCAGGGCGACCCGGGACAGGCGACTGCTCCCGGGCCAACTCGAAGTGACTTGGGCGCAAGCCGGCCCAAGCGGCAATTAACGGACTAGCTGCCATATTTCTGACTTTTCCGTTAATCCTTGTTTGTGGTCGTAGAAAATCTTATAAGTGGTCCCTGGGTTTGCGGACGTGTTTCAGGACCGGTCCTTCTGACTGTTCCCTTAATGCGCCGAGGGTCGGCGGCAGCAGGCGGGAGCCTGGTTAATACCGAACCCTTCCAAGCTACTAGAAAGACCCCCAAGTGGATCCCCATTGGTGGATATGTCCATTTGGGTGGGAGTTGGGGAGAAAAAAATGCGTGGACCAGGATCAGATGTTGGAACCTTACCCTTTGGGAGGTTCCTTTGACAAGAAAAAATGAATTCGGAAGTTCTTACCACAGATGTGTGTTCATCCCAAAATATCTCAGATGGAGTTTGGTACAGCCATATGAGCATCTCTTCAACGTAATCGTTCAGTTGTTTCGCAAAAAAAAGGGGACCCCCTCCTTGACCGGTACATTCCTCGTTGTGCGCTTGCACTGCTGCACCGAGTCGAGGCACGACGCCAGCAGCCGATGCCGTCGCCATCGAAGCGGCCACCCTCAAAGATGTTGCTCTCAAAGCCGTCCTGGAATCCGAGGTCTGTATTGAAACTAAGGGCTCCGGATACTGTGGATGGACGAAATCCTGCACCAAACCACGGGAAACCACTGTTTGTTGGTATTTACAGGGAATCATAATTCCAGGGCTCCTTAGGTGGTGCAGGATTTCGTCCAGCCACTGTATGTCCCACACATCACCCCACCAAAAGGAAGCTCCAAACATGTGGTGCTTGAGACAAAAGGAGAAATCTTGGGAGCCCTGAAACTCTGTGGCTGTTGCCCCTGCGTTGACACATTCAAGTTTGTTCTTCAAGGAAGAAAAGGGGCAAAATCTGCGCGCTCCCGAGACATTGTCTCAGCAGAGCATGTGGCCAAAGGGCTGAAACCGTGACGCCTGCGGATCTCGGGCTAATTGAATTGGTCGGTGTCCTTTTGGTTTCCCTTGAGCCACCATCCGAAAATGGGGGTGCCCAATTTTGGACATCCAGATTCAGATTGACCCCGCAAAGGCACCAAGACCAACTGATCTGACAGCCCACATCGTCCAACTGGCTGAGTAGAATTGAGGGTTATATCCTGCATCCATGCCCCAACCACAATCGTCCCACAAAAGACCCTGGAGAAAGAAACGGCAACGAGCATCCAAACTAGACAGGGACCCTTCAAGCAGTCATCAATTCATGGCTGGGGTCAAAACTATCCCGAAGTCAACAATCAACCAGCATGCCAAATCACTGTTTTGTATGTCACCCCTTTGCCACGTCGCTGATCTCGAGACATCAATTTCTATGACTCCACGTCATGCATGTCGGTCCGCACAAACGAAGTAGTCGTCCCTGCCGCTGTGCTGAGAGAAGGTGCAGCCGGGCAGAGTCGACACCTGGCGCGGTCCATGCGCGTGATAACAAATTCGTGGATGTCAATACGCCCGCGTCTGCCTGAACATCACTTCGAAGGGGAAGCAAGCTTGTAGAGAAAGGGGCAACGCCCCCCTGGGACTCAGCAAGCTCAGTGTGTGGAACGCCCCACGCCTCAATCTCCTCATAGGGACTGCTCAAGCGATCAAAGCCTGTCAGGCACTTCTGCGCAGCGCTTCTGTTCAAGGCCTCTCTGGTGCCCATCCTAACTTCAAGCCCGTCCTTGGAGTCTACCCATGCGGAAAGCCTCATCTACTGTTGGGAACTGTTGGCCTGGGCTCACCCGGGGATTTGGGGTCTACGACTCCCATTTAGAAGCTGGAAACAGGCGGGCCCTTGGTTCCACTCGCCACCACGCCTGCCCTCTGCCATCCTTTTACAGGCCAGCCCAACCTCTGAGGCCTTTCCAACAGACAGTTGTTCCAACTGACTGAAGATGTGCCATCTCCGCAAAAGACTGACCATGAGACAGGAATGTGCCTAAACTACGGATGAACGTTCATTCTCTTTCAAACAGTTGCAGTCCCTAACCTTACATACCTAAATGACATCCTGGAGGCATCATGCCTTAGCTCCACATGTGGACCAAACAAAATAGCGAAAGGCCTTCGGCCAAAGGGGATACACCTGCTTTCGCTAATTGGGATGCCTTTGGGGAGAAACCATGGCAACTCAGCCTGTTGGCGCGCTACCTTGCAATAAACTAACTCGCTGGTGCCGGGATCCGAGATCCGGGCTGCAAGTTTGCCGCACGCGGATCTCGTAGACGGTGTTCTTGGCAGCATGCACGGAAAGGGGTCACACATGTTGGGAGGGATGTCCATCAGTGTTATGCAGTTGATTCAGAATTGGAAGTTGGCATCCTTTCCTGAAACGAGCCTGGAAGAATGCAAGTTCTCTCCCAGAATTCATATGAGCCATGGACAATATTCTTTGAACCCAAAGGACATGGCAAAGTAATGCCCCACGTGGCTGGTTTGCAAATCGCGTGGGGGCCTTTCTCGACCTCCCAAAAAGCCAAAATGAAGCATGAACTACCATGAAGATTGATTGGCCTCGGCTCATGTGTGTTACTTGACCAAACATTGCAAATCCTGAAAAGGACCCTCCTAGGGTTGTCCTCAAATAGACCCCTTTTGCTTGGATGCCCCTCAAGCGGAGGACGCCACAAGTGTGCGCTGTTTGTGCTTGAAGTCTGCAGGGAAAGTATAAAGGTCCAATCATCAGCTCTGCATCACCAGCATCATGAATGTCACATTGCTTGTAAACGGGCCAATCGTTTCACAAACCAAAGGGTTTTCCCGGACTCCCCTTCACCCCCGGCCATCCGAAACCCGAAACCCGAAACCCGAAACCGGAAACATCGGCCGAGGGCCGCGCGGGAAACAGCCAGTTGCCCTCCAGGGTCTGCGCGGTGCAGCTGCTCTGCGCGAAGGGCATGTTGTTGCCTCCAGCTTCCGATGGGATGGGCCCGGTGAAGCGCATGGGGGGCCTGGATGCCCGACCTACGAAAAGTCAACCAGCAGGAAGCCGTAAGCCGAGCAAGAAAAAAAGAAGTGATGTTTCAGACCAACCAAAGGGGAAGTAGTGGCCTTTGGCTGAAGGCCCCTGATGCAGCGTCCTTTGTCCATGGCATACTGTTGGTATATATCCTCAACAAGTGGTAGGATGCTGCCACACAATTCCAAGGGCGCGCCCTCAGAGATATTTGCGTGACAATGATCCCTGACTCGGCCGTTGAACCATCCGATGTGCACGAATGCGTGTCTCGCTTGGGCTGCTCTCTCTTCTGGTTCTGCGCTCGGGTGCCCAGGTGCCGGGCAGTCGGGCGAAAGCAGCCACTCGGTAGTGCCTGTGCCGGACACAGCCTGAACGAGTTGGTCCTACGTGCATACCCGAATGAATATACCAGCGCCTACCGCCTACCCTCCAAACATAAAACGATGTTGAGGCCTGGCCAAAGCTTAGCCCACCAACCGCTCCCTACAAGGATCCATTGATGCTTGAAAGAGGGTTCCCCCAATACCACTGAGAGCCAAATAGTGTCCCATGCTTGAGGGAACTGGCCCTTCTAAGCCCGTGAACGGCAAGCCCGCAGCCCGGTCCTTTGCGCCGCATGAAGATGTTCCAGACAGAGCAGTAGCAGTCGCTCATGTACCTCTGGCCCGAGCTCAGTCAAAACCCCTACCTTCAAGCGCAAAGGCTTTGCGCCACATCCAGATGGTCTCTAATCTTTGGTTTGGATTGGTGGTTGGTGGTTAGGGAGGGGGGTTCCCCATTTACCCACACAAGCCACGCACCTGACGGGTTGCCAGGTCTTGAGCTGAGGTCCCGGCCCTCCTGATCCATAGGGCAGCCACACCAAGGCAAGGGACTGGCGCGCGAACGGAGTCGCGTGGCAGTGAAAACTGAGGACTTGTGAGCGGCTCCAACTGTTGGGAATCCCTGAAGACAAAAAGGAACCAGCCATAACTATAGTCTTCTTCGAACAGAAACACCCATTTATACCCATATGCTGTTTGCCCAAAGTCGCCCCAAGGCGACCTTTCTCCGGGTGCTCATTCTAAACGTGTGGCTCAGCTGAACTCATGCTAGAAGATCCGCGCGTACGAATCTCGAGGTGACAAAGCGGCGAAACTGTGTCGGCCCTCACCTCCTCTCAATCGCGAAATGACGCAGAACAAATGCCGTAAGGGGCTATCGTCCATTTTCGCAATGTAGGCTGGACGGCTAAAATCAGCCATGTCTGCCATGCCCAAGCTCTGGTCAAAGCAAGCCAGGGCCGCATTCGCAGTGCGACCCACCGCTTCCAACCTCGGAGCCAACAAGCGAGGTAACTGTCAGACAATGATGGGCATTTTGGGCTCAAGTTGGCCCGCCTTATGATCCACTGTTAGGAGCTGTCATGTTGGCAAGAAAACGCATGGCTATCAGTCCTTGATTGCCGAGTGTTCTTCGACGTTCTCTTTTGTTGCTTCTTGTGGCAACATCAATTCTCCCCACCTGCGTGCGAAGCAAGGAACTAACTGGTCAACCACCGGCCAGTAATGGGCTTCTCACACTGACGTCTGTTGACCATTCCTCATGCTGCAGGGACTGCGTATTGCCTTCACAATCTTCACGGAAGGCTATCAGCTCAATGCTTGCATGCCACCCTCTGGCCGCAGCGCTTGCCTGAAAATTGCGCCCCTCTGGCTGACCGATTTGGACCCCGGACTGTGCATTTGAAACAAATCCGCCCGTCGAAACTTCGACGCTCTCCAGGGCCAAGGGGCGTCGCCGGCGGCCGCGCCACGATTCGCTTCATCTGGTCCTGGGACACCTTGGGACCCCGAGGCGCAGACTCTGCCCAGTCTGGGTGAGAACCAAACGCGGGCCCAGTCTATTGAGATGGACAGAGTGCCATATGGCCAACAAAATCCAAGGGTGTTCAATGGACAACCAACCGCAAGCCATGATTTGGACATGGTCTCTTGAGAGGCTCGAGCCCATGCCCGATCCTTCGGCGTCACGATATAGGCCCCCCAGACCCATCCGGCCGCATGAGGCTGCGGCCGCGTCTGCTACGCAGGACAAGTACAAGTCCTGCCGCACCACGCTGCCACAAGAAAGCCCACTGCTGCGCACCAACATGAGTTGGGTTTGCAAATTTCGGGGCCTTGCAAACTGGTGGGTGTTCTGTTGATTCCCCGCATTTAGCGATCCATCCAAACGATTCTCATGTTGGCTCCCTCTGAAAGCTGTCTTTTCCAACAAAGCCCTGGTTCATGGGTTTTTGTTTTTTCCCAAGGTAACACTTGAACCGCAAGAAATGGTTGGTCCCCTTTCGAATTCATTGTTTCAACACAATCTCCAACAGAAGGGCTGAGGACAGCCCCACGGTCCTGACCCCAGCCAGCATCTGTCAAGTCTGTCCGGATCACGTCCACCTGCACGGCCAGACGTACTGTGGGTGGGCGAAATTTGCATGGAAACCATGGGAAATCATTGCTTGTTGGTATATATTTACAAGGGATTCATCATTCCAGGGTTTCTTAGGTGGTGCAGGATTGTGTCCGCCCACAGCAGAAGAGGGAAACAAGCGGAGAAACATCCGTTTCTTCTTCTTCTTCTTCGTCTTCTTCTTCTTCTTCTTCTTCTTCTTCTTCTTCTTCTTCTTCTTCTTCTTCTTCTTCTTCTTCTTCTTTTTCTTCTTCTTCTTCTTCTTCTTCTTCTTCTTCTCCTCCTTCTTCTTCTTCTTGACCATGGCGCCTTTCATCCACGATTTGTTGCAAACGCGGAGGCCTGATCCGTCGAGTAGCAAAGCGAGAACTCGTCGCGGCAGCACTTGGTGTGGTAGGCGCAGGCCTCGGGGAATTGCCCCGGGCCATGCTTCCCATTTCGAACTTCCGACTTGGTTTTGCATGCAGCCAACCCCATCAAACCGGCGCCTGGCAGAGAGAGAGAGAGAGAGAGCCGCATTGTTTCGGGAGAGTCCAGAAGTCAACCGCGAAGTGTCAAACAAACCTTCCAGCGCGTGCGAGCGATCGGAGGCTGCGGCATTCAGACCCTGGGAGCCGAAGTAGATGGCTTTGGAGTTGGTGTCCGGGTTCGTGCCCACATAGACCACCTGGCCAACCTGAACGCAACGCGACAGGCACCTGGCCGAGGGGTTTTGGATGTTCATGGGAAAGGAACAAATCCTGGAACACCACCAGCTTCGGCTGCTTGAAATGGCCTCCATAGAGTGTCCCCCACATGCGACGGACCTTTCCTTTGGTACGTCTCAACTGGGGTTCACCCCGTGGCAGGCTGCCCAACAAGAGAACCAAGCACCAAAAGGGCCGTCGGCCTTCGCCGCCCCAAGATCAAATGATTCGGGTCACGTGGTGCGAGGGCGGCCTCCGTGGTGAAGGAGTTGACGTCGAGGAGATATGGACCTAAATTCGAGCTGAAGCGCAGGCCATCGTCACGTGGTCTCTGTGCTGGCTGTCGAAAGTAGGAACGCCGGTTGGCCTATGTAAAGGAAAAGTAAAGGAACACTAGCCTGACGCCAACCCTTTGAAGGAGTCCAGCAAGTTTGACACATAGCCTGCTGAGTCGATTCGGCCAGATTGGACAGAATAGATGTTTTTTGTTCTTTCCGCTAAGCATAGTGTGCTGAGTAACGTTGTTAAGGACAAATGTGTGCCCTGGCGGTGTATCGCTGGGGTTGTACTCAAATTCACAGGAAAGTCATGCTCCCGTCTTGTGTATGGCTTGGAGCCTTGAATTGTCGTCAGGTTGGGGTGCCCAAATGGGTTCGCTCCAAGAAATTGGCTCTGCGATGCAACCTGGAAGCTGCTTGTAGCATCTGTGTAGGGTCGCCTGAAACCCATTCCGCATTGAGGAAGAGGAATGATAGTTCCAACCAACGCATGTCCAAAATTGGATGGACCCTTCCAAACAGTTGGGTTCAAGTGGGCTCCTTTTGGAGATGCCAAACCGGGCTCCAGTTTTGACATCTTCGCATATGTGTGTCTTCTTCCCAGCAAGTGTTCCCTTCCGCTTTGGGCCCTGTTGTTTTATCAAGCATTGGATTGGATACACGGGTCGCCCTGAAACGCTCCATTGATACCCTGGACTCACGCTTCTGACAGCCGAACGCTGTCCAAACCCTGGGCTCACAGACTATCGCTGGTGTTGTGAATACAAGTCTCCTGAATGCGCAGGTCGTAGCTGGTGTAACTCTGCAGCCCAACCTCAGCTGAGAAAGAATTGGGCATCTCTTTTGTGACTCTCCGGGTGGATTTGCTGCGAGAGGAAGCCAAAAGCAATCCATGGAGCAAGGCCCAGTTTCGATTGCGTTCGCCAGTCACAACAAGCTCCTAATGGCCAAAAGTGTCACGTTCGTGTCTTCACATGGACCAAGAGGCTCCAACCGGTCCAACCTCGTTGGAGAGCCGCCCAGTTTCGGTCGCTGAGCGACCGGGCAATGCTGCAGGAGGTGGCCCCGCGATCCGGCAAAGAGCACTCGGGGACCGGGATCCAGTCGTCGTCAATGATGGCCACCGGCTTGACCTGAACTCGTCGAATCTATGCGAAAGCTGACTTGTTGGCCGAACACGGGTGGTTCTCCGAATTGTATTTTTTTTTTGGGGGGAGGGGTGAGGGGGGTGACTGGGAGGGGGGGGGGGGGATTGGGCAGTTCCTGAGCACATCAAGCACAGACTGCCACATGGCTTCCTGCTGGTGTATGAGCTGCACTTGACGCGCCCGCGACCGAAGTTGTGATGCTGGACAGAAGCTGTCTAAAGCCGCTTCTTCAACCATGTATCTTAAAAATGTAAAACCTAGGGTGTCCGACTGAATAAGCGACTGTGGCAATATCCTGGCAGGGGATTGCCAATCCCCTGCCAGGATAGTGCCAATTGGGAATAAGCTGAACATGATCCACAATGAGGCGCAACAAAAAAAACAGCACAAGTTGGCCCAGCATTACAGAAGAGTGGACGCCAGGTGAGACGAATTCTTTGTCACGCTGCCCTGAACTGAAAACAAAACCCGTTGATTGTGCTGTAACCGCTGCTTACGCACCCTTGCAACCGCCGAAGCGTTCTCATTTCAAGAGCAGCCCTGCTCTTTTTTCAGTCGTCCTAACATCTTGCACACTTGGCTTATTAAAGAGCCAGTTTCATCTGTTCACGTGATGGAGTCAGTTGCACATTGTACCCTCCCAGCACTGAACACCCAGCCTGTCAGATTTTCCTCTGGTGAGGGGAGTTTCCCGCGTATGCAATACCACTAAAAGGTTGTCCTAGGGACGAATAAGGGGGATAACGGGTCCCACTTTCCTTTTGCAGAAGTGGGGTTCCGGTTGCCCAAACCCTTTGGCCCAAATTAGAACAAATTGGAACAAAGTATAAAACGCGTCCTGGTTGAGTATATGCAATGATCACAACAGCGGATATCTGAACCTATCCGCAGTTGGGGCTGTTCCCTGCTTGGCCATTGGGGTACGTGCACCAAGAAACAACCGCACTCCACCCCACAATTGTATGCCACCTGTTTTTGAGGGGTGCCAAATTCATCTGAGCTCAATCGGGCCTAGTTTCCAGAAGGATACCCCCTCAGATGCCCAGTGGCCATGGGAAAAAAAGGGCACCATTTCTTGGATTTGACTTTAAAGGGACACCCTTCCCAAAAAAAAAGGAACAAAGGGCACCACTGGGTGGGGGCAAACCTATTTCCTCTTCGTATCCATCCCGTGCCTCGACCTTCCAGGAGCTGAAGAGGCAGTCCCGGGGCTCGCTCGCCGCCTCGGTTTCGCACAGGTGCTGTGGGGAGTCAAAAGATCGGTGTGACAAATAGCTTTGAGAAATACACTTCAGAATTCAGGGAGTAAAATACATATTCTAAAGTTGTCGAGTTGCTTTTTGGGTTTCTTATTTTCGAAAGAGGAACCAAAAAGGACCTAGCAGAAAAGCCGACCTTCATGGAAGCAACAATTTCTTGCAAATTACCCGCTAGCACACTGGTGTACCGAGCGTGCTGACAGAACGTTTAGGTCCGTCCCTGTATGGCCAAACGCCGCTAAATGACTAAAGCCAAAGTGAAGCGAATAGGCCATCTATCCTCAAAAAACTAGCCCAAAAAGGACACGCTCATAGACTCATAGATTTCAGTTCGGCATCAGCCAAGATCCCCCCCCCACTCGGGAACTGAGCACAGGGCCCACTCAAGGTCCACGAAGGTGGTGGACACGTTGCTCACCTCGGCTTCGGCTTTTCGTCTTCGACTCAAGGAGTCAACGATTTCTTCCCATGGAGCAACAACTTCAGACATAGAGATGCAGAAAATTGCTGCAGCTGTGGGTCTTTGAAACGCCAAGCTGCCAACCATGTGGAGGAGCTCCCAACATATGCAGGTACTCTCAAACATTGCCCCACCCTGGCATTAACACAAACAGCAGCTGCTTCTGCCAGTGGTTGGCCTTTGACAACATCTATGCAACAAGTCAAAGGATGGGCGCAGCCAAGGGAGGGAAATCTGTGCGGAGAGCGTTGCGGGTTACACGACCCCAAACGCAAAGGGACTATCCAGCTAAATATTTGCTTGAAATTGCTGGCTCAATCCCATGAGTGCAACACACATGTTAGTCACAATTGCATTTTCGTTTAAAAGGTGAGCTGTCTACTTTGAAACCACGGCATGCTTGCCCAAGCCTTGCTGCATCCGATTTCATTGGCGGGCTCCCCGCGTTATTTTTGCCCAGGTGCGTCGCAGGTCAGCCTGAGGTCCCTCAGCGTGAGACAAACTGGGCGCCTCACGTTGGGCCCCAGGGGCGTTTCAGCCCAGGCAGGGATCGTGGCTTGCAAGCGCTTCACCTGGGATCGAGAAGCCGAGAAGCCGAGAAGCCGTGAGGGTTGGCAAAAGGTGACCCATATCCACATGAGTGGCATGCAGGTCTTCACACATCCACAATTTTCACGGCTGACACCGTTCCATTGTGACCACGGATCCCAGGAAAAGAACACGATCCCACTGCATTCGGAGGTCAAAACATACGGCCCCTCTTTGGGCGTTGAAGCTGGGACGACATGAAAGCATCCCCAAAGAGCCCGTTTCTGACAAATAGAGCCTTGGGCTGTGCACAAACTCAAGTGGGTCCAGCTCCGAATTTGAGGGCCCTCCAGGCACGTGGTCAGTTGAGTGAATCAACAAAAGCTGTTGGACAGAAGCCGCGACTCCGCAAAAGTCGCGTTTAGGACGAACATGAAAGATGTGAAAGTAAAAACTGTTATAAGGCCTTTCTCTGCTCGATACGAGACCAGCCCGACATGGAGCTGACAGCAACTGTGGTCTCCTGCCACGGTCCCCACTGGGGCTCTTGTGGCGTTTCGGCTAGCTCTCCCCATGTTTTCGCGACCGTTCTGAGCCCCTGAAAGCAGCTTCGACCTGTTGTCAACTGCAGAACCAACTTCAATTCTGAAGGCAAAACCAAAGAGCCAAACGCCCCAATGGCGAAGTGCGCGCCAGCTCTCGATCTCAACATGCTGAGTACCCGGCCAGCCAGTAGCTATCTGCCCGCGAGTCCACGCAGCGCTCGGCAATGCGAACGTCATATAGAGCGTTGCTGACCTTAGGTGCAGGCAAGGCCTATCCAAACAGCGCCCCATCAGAGGATTCCGCAAATCGAGTGAACCAGCCACATCCAACCACCTCCTGGTGAATGCCGTTAAATCACAACCCTAGTTGTCCTACTTGCAATATTTAGAACATCCACCGCACCCGGTCGCAAATCTTGCCAATCTCATTCTAACCCAAGCAGACTCGCTTTGTGCCGCTTGGATCTACTCCAATACCGTGTCATCTGCAGATCTGCGGGCTAAACTCGTGCCCACGTCGCCCAACGCTGAACAACAAGTGGTGCACCGTGGCTCGGAATTATGTGTAACAACTGATAGTTCAAACATGATGTTGGGATGGCCAAAGCAAAAAACGAATATCAGATCTGAAATGGATTGGCCTCAATTTGTGATCCATCGCATCACAAGCAATAGAGCCTGCGTACCATAAAGGGGGGATTCCGTGCTGCTTCCGCGTGAGGAACTTTAAATCGGCACAGACACCAACATTTGAGAACGATCCTCTGGGCACTGCAACCACTTCTACAATTTCCAGACTCAGTATGGCATGCACTTGACCCACATCTGACTTTGTTCAAAATTAGTGCTTGAACGCCCAAAAAACAGAGCTTGCAAAGTTGCTCTAGCTGATGCCCATGGAAGTACAAAGGCCCCTTTTGGAAAACGTTTTCTTTTTTTCTGTGGGAAACCCACCTTTCCATGTGTGTTTTTCTACATCTTTGATGCGCCGGCTTCAGCCTCCGAAGAGATACTCGAGTACATCAATCTCGCCACGGAGGATCTTTGAAAGCCCCGGGCCTGTCCGCTTGATCTGCAACAGGGTGAACTCAAGCTCGGGATACTTCGCAACGAGCGGCTCATAGTCCAGCGCGTCGCTGAGATCATCACCTGTCTGATAATAGTAGTCCTCCAAATACAGGAGGTATCGCTCAAAGGTCCTCTTCTGGTGCTTGTGCTTGACATTGTCGATGTTTGCATCCAGTTCCTTCACAGCCTCCTTGACGAACAGGAGGAAGGTCCGGTTGAGTTCCATGCCAATGACAGTCTCTGGCCGCATAAATTTGAAGGCTGGATGCGGTTTGTAGGAGACTCGAATCGGGTAAGACGAAGAGCTTGAGAGCATTTTTGCAATGTCCTTCTTGTTTCCCATGGCTTCTTCTCCTTGACTGCTTGTAAACTTCAAACACCTGTTGTCTAGCGACTGTGGCAAAATCCCTGCAGCCAGCACATGCCACGACAGCATCTCCCCGAACAAATCCTTCTCTGAGGCTGCCAGGGTAAACTCAAACTCACCGCTCATCGTGATTCCCTCTTCTACTCCTTGGCCCCACGCCTTTCGAACTGAATGTGGAACTGTCGTGCCTTCAGACCCATTCAGCTCACATGGAGCAATCCTCTCCGTATTCAAACCTTCCTCCAAGCCCAATGATGCGTTTGAGGGGCCATTGCCCTCCAAGGGCAACTGGAACGGCAAGCTGCCATCTCGCAGCCGTAGCTCCATGCAGCGTTTGCTGGCCACGTTCGTTCGGATCATGTTCCGGAAGTCGGTGTCGAATCTCAGATTCCCGATCTTGCACTGCACAAGCGCCTGTCCACCTTTCCTCAAACCACAGTAGGCATCTTTGAGCTGGCGATCCTCCTCCGTGCTGACGTCCACCCAGGCCTTCCGAAAGGGGCATTTGTACTGCCAGCGGCTGCTCCCAGCAAAGGCCATGGCTTCAGGCTGGTGACACAAGCAGCAAACTTTGCAGCCCACCTGTCCATGTGTCTGACAGTACCAAGGTACTAGGGAATCGTACAAACTCAGAACGACAAACATCGGAAATCTGGAAGGATATTCTAGGATTTGAGTCATGTTACCCTCCAAATACCAGAAACTTAAATTTGAGCAGAACGCGCTGAGGCAGAGTGAGCGCGGGGAACCCAGGATTGTCTGAAGATGACACATATTTTTCAAGCCAGTCGTTTCAACAGTCAGCAGCAAACCAGTTTCGTCTTGAGAGGCCATCTTCTTCACACATCAACCAAGAAAGGTCTCGCGCAGGAGTCTGCAGCCATGGCCAGCCCTGCCGGTCGAGGTCCCCGGCGAGGCTGCTGATGTTGCACTCCGCCACCTCCCGCTGGCCCTCCAAGCGGCAGGAGGCCACGGTCGAGCCTCAGGCAAGCGTCGAAAACTCCGGTGGGTCATGGCACGGAACCCATAGCCTCAAAAAGGAAGCTCTATGGTGTAATTACACATGCCTATAGGCATCTAAGCCTGGCAACCCGGAAGCACCCCTTCCTACTTGCGCTCTGGCACACTGCCTCGAGCGAGCCTTTGGCCCTTTCCTGTGCTTCTCTCGAGCATCCTTGGTTTTCTTGAGTAGGGGCCGCCCTGGCTTCGTTTACGGTCACGTGGGCCAACAGCCTGCGACCCCAGAGGACAAAGCTGCAAAGGATGGCTCACGAGCAAAGCAACAGGAAGCATCGGGCTTGGCCTTACGGCTGGGGTACGGACTGGTCGCGTGTGAAGCGAACTCAAATTGGAGATAGGAAAGCTCCCAGATCCAACCCCATCCGCAAGGTAAGCCGATCGAACTTTGGAGGCATTGCGGTGCAAATTCTGCACAAAGGCAAGGCAGGCGGTTTTCCTCTTGAAAAGCCTTTGATTCCATGCGTTTCCGCCGGGCTCCGTGCTCCAATTCAAGTATGCCGAATCGTTCACCAGGTCCAGTATCTCGCCGTACCTGAGGCAATTACGTAACTGCCCCCTGCTCCTTGCGAAGTATACAACCAAGCAAGGACTATATGTTTGTCTACTCCATAATGAATGGGGTACAGTACAATTCCCCATCACCCATCGCTGGTAAAGGGTGCAGCCCGGAACCTCTGAAAGGAGGTTCCGAGTTCCTCTACCTCTGAAGTTCCTCTGTGAGAACATTGCAAGTTGTACGTGTCAGCTCTCTTTTGGGGCAAGCCAAATCCCTACCAAAATTATCAAGAAAACCTGCTAAACCTTGCAAATTGCATTGGATGTTGCAAGTGAACCCAGCCGCATCCATTGACAACATCCTAGCGAATTGCCGTAAATGTCCGGGCTCCACTTGTTGCTTCAAAAAAACGTGGCCTGAGTATCCATATGTGTATGAATTCTGATTGGGGACAACTAGATGGACATCATTCATTGGGGAGTTCTGCCCACCACCCATTTGGAGGGCGGGCGTTCCAGCCGTTGGGTTTCATAGCCAGCAGGGGAACTTCCAGTTCATGCTCATAGTAGAGTTACCTTGTCACCATTGCCATGTATGAAAATGCATTACCAGATAACACCATGTGGCAATATGGGTGTGTGTTTTTGGATTTTGTACCCCAAAATGGTGGTTGTCCTTTTGGCTTCCCTCCAAAAACCATGCAAAAGGGGTACCCTCGAAAAAGACACACCCATATGGCCGTGGGTCAAAACCGTTTTGGGATCCCAGTTTGGGGTAGGTGAATTCACCACCCATTCTAGTCTATTTTAGTCACTGGGGGTACGATTTGGATTTTGACCCATTGCCGTATATTCCCGTGTATTCCCACTGCCTATACATCTGTCTCGCCTTGAGCCGCCGGCCACTTCTCAGAGACCGAGGCCCGTGAGAACCGGTCTTCGAGGTCCCCAAATCGCCGCACCTGGCGATGGTTCGAGACGGGTTGCCGGGTTGGCGGGCTCAAGTTGCTTCCTAAACTTCCGAAGCAAACCAAAAGGCAACGCACAGGGCATTTTCCTGAAGTTTGTTGGATGCTCCGAAACACAGAAGCAAAGGGGGCCGCCAAGAAAGTGATGCGCGCCCGAGCCCGCTCGAAAGACACTGCTGTCCGTAAAAGTGTCTTCACGCGTTGCTCCGGTGTGCGTGCATAAGTTCCTTGCATGCTGCGCATATGACCAATGCAAGTTGTCCTACCTGTGTGTGTGTGTGTGTGGCATCCTGTCTTAGTAAATTCACGGTGTGGCAGTTGTGTTGCGTAAGTTATCTCTTCGCGGATAGGTTGTTACCGTGTTGTTCAGTGGGTAGATGTTCTCTCGGCTAATGCGCTCTGTGCAAGCAACTTGCTCCATGTATGTTGCACCTGCATAGCAGGGCTGCCTCGCCAGTTGTTTGGGGATATAAAATGAGAACAACAAAGCCGGGCAGCAGGTTGCCAGGGGCTATTGCGAAAGAGGTCGCCTCTTTCTCGCGCACTGTTGGAGGCTTGCGATACAAGGGATAGGCAGGCTTCCTGACATCCGTGCCTCCGGCTCGTGGCTAGATTTGGGTCGGGAGGGGACTGCTTGGGCTGACACCAACCTTGCGCAGATGTGGTGCCAACAATGGGCGACGGTTCATGACAGGAATCCATCGCCTTGTCGGGACATCGAGCAAACCTGGGGTCATTGCGCAATAGACCTCCTCCACACCGGCAACTCCCCAGAAACAACACCTTCGCCAACATGGGGGACCCATACTTCAGAGATTGGCTTGCCTTTGGCTTCCCTTTGAATCGAATACCAACCAACAGCGGTCCAGCTTGATTTGCACACCCGTGCATCCTGAGGAAAAAAAGAGAGAGAAAAAACCGGCGGTACCCGACGCCGCGAGCCCACGCCTGAACCTGCACATCCCAGTGGCTGAAGACGCACTCCTCACCCCAAAAACAGGCCGCGTCCGATACCTGGAAGGAAGCCACCTACCTGGAAGGAAGCCACCTACCTGGAAGGAAGCCACCTACCTGGAAGGAAGCCACCTACCTGGAAGGAAGCCACCTACCTGGAAGGAAGCCACCTACCTGGAAGGAAGCCACCTACCTGGAAGGAAGCCACCTACCTGGAAGGAAGCCACCTACCTGGAAGGAAGCCACCTACCTGGAAGGAAGCCACCTACCTGGAAGGAAGCCACCTACCTGGAAGGAAGCCACCTACCTGGAAGGAAGCCACCTACCTGGAAGGAAGCCACCTTGCTTTCCAAGAAGGTGGCTGTCAAAGTACCAATGAAAGGTTCGGGGCCCCGATGCTTTGGAGGTGGTCCGGGAGCAGTCCAACTGACTTTACGCGGGGTTCCATCATCAGGGGTCAGGTTCTTCACCGGACTGGCCATGGCGCAATCTCGGAAGCATTCCCCTCCCTCTGTTAGAAGCCCATAGTCACGGCTTTCATCTAGACGCACGGCACTGAGCCAGGCAGAACAAAAAAGACACTGCAAACAGAGACTTGAAACAGTTCAAGGAGTGCTAAAAGAAACCACCAAAAACACACAAAAGATGCTGTCGCTCCTCCGCTAGTCCGGGGTCCCACTTCACGTTCAACGTGAAAGGTCCCGGGGAGGTGACGGTCCTGGCACAAGCCGCTAGTCATTCCTCTGGCAGACTTGGGTCATGGTACTGGTAACATACTTCAATGCAACAATTGTGCAGTGTGTACATAGTCACATAGTCATTGTACGGGAGGTAGGCGTGTCAGGAAACAAGGTAGGTGGGATATGTGCCCCTGTATGTTGTGTGTGTACGTGCATCTGTCAATATGTATGTGAGAAAGGTATATTGTATATGCATCTGCATGTTGCATTATATGTGCATGACTTTGTGTACGTATGTATATGTATTGGCATGTATGTCTGTGTGTGTATGTGCATGTGTATGGGCATGTGCATGTGTACGTGTATGATGCTGTGCACGGGTACACGTATGTGCATGTGGATGTGCATGTGTATATGAATGTGTGCGTGTGAATGATGTGCATGTGTATGCATATGTGTCAAATACGTACAGGCCGTACATGTCAGATGTGCTCGCATAGATATGGAGGAAGAGCGAGAGAGAGAGAGAGAAGAGGAAAAGAGAAGCCATGTTGGACGCTTTTACCGTCGGCCGGACCGACAACAAGTTGGAAAGAACAGCCCAAGGCTTTTTGGCGCCGAACCAAAGCCCTAAACAGGGCAGGTCCACATGTTCTCCGGGGTGTCTGCCAGGAAGGGCCAAATTTCCGCCTACAGTACGGCGCCAGAAGCTGCCAAATCTCACCATCAGAGCGCTTCGGTTGCTGGGAATCACTTTGGCTGAGGGCAACCCCGTTTGATTGTCCCCAAGTCGTTTTGCTTGCCCTCTTGTTCACTTTTGTTGCAGGGGTCCAAACCAGCCAACAAGAGGGCAGCCCAAAAAGCAGCTGACGTTTCAATCATCTCAAACTTGAACACCTTCCAAACTGGCAATTGAAAAGGTCAATGCTGATGATGCATGTGTTCAGTGTCCCTGTTCCAAGCGAAGTCTTTTAGACCCAAAAAGGGTCGAATCCCCCGTTTGTCCACCCAGCTCCAGAGCACAGGTCCCACCCACGAAGTTCAAGCGCTGCAAACCAACTCCGAAATGGGCCGAATCAAAAGTCGGGATGTCTCGACAGCTGCTCCGCTTGCTGCTGAGAAAATGCAGTGTCATGTTGGTTGCCTCAGTTTCACTTTAGTTTGAGACTCCGCATTGGGTTCAAAGGCAGTAGACCAGGTTCATATGAAAGGAAACGCTGATTACTTTGGATGTTCAAATCAGCTTCTCGGTGACTTGCGGAGGTCTAATTTTGAAGTTCCAAACAAGTTAGCAAGTCAGCAATCTCCGGCTGTCCCGACTTCAAACTGAGGATGCCGCCACCAGGGAAGCGTCGCCACTCTCCGCAGTGGCATCGCTGCCTGGCACTCCAAACCCCTGTTCATGGCTGCTTTTGGACCTCTCCATGTTTCATTTGAACAGGGTCAGACTATGAGTGCGCTTTGGCCAAGAGGAGGGTCTTCCAATGGAGCAGGAATCGTGGCACCTCGCGGCCTCTTGAGCATTGGCCCAACTGTGATTGGCGGGAAAACTCCTTTATCTCCGAGCCTGAAACGACTGCCTTCACCTTGTCATGACCGCATTTCACTGCCAACAGCATGACTAGATCTGAAGCAGCACCTCACCTCCCCTCTGGTCCACACAAACCCTTGTGAAAACTTGTGCACAATCAAATATGTAAACCAATGCAAAGAAGGATTGACTTGAGGGCGGACAATGAAAGAAGGTTGAAAGCAATGTGCAAGCCCGGGGACCCGGGCAGCGTTCGCGCATCCGAACGTCATAGAAGGCATAGCTCATGACATCATGCACCTGGTACATGCGTGTAAAGCTGGCAATGCAATTGGGCAGGTTCGTGTTCAGTCGGTTTTCAAGTCCGGAGCCATGCAAGCCCATGGTTGGCCCGGGGAAATCAGACGCGTCCTCGCTGATCAACGGAGATTTCATGTCCCAATGCGTGCCGCAAACAGATTTGTTTGCATTTGACACCCATCCACCTGGGTTTATGGCTGGCGCCCAAACGGAGGATCTCTGCATTTCAATCAAGGGATCCAAAGGCCGCCACAATTTGTGGAACAACCCCGGGCGAAACGCCTGCGCGACACAAAGAGAAAAACCATCGCCAAGCCCAGGCCCAGTGTGGGCCCCCAAGCCTCCAAGCCGCAAGCCCAATCCTCAAGCTTCTCCGAGAAACGACAGCAGTGCCCGCCTGGCAAGTAGTGATGGAGCGGTCCTGCATAGCGCTCCATTAGGTTTGTGCCACTTGGAGCAACCTCCTCCATATCTTCATGCGCCAAGCAACTGGGGGTCAACACGGGTCGAACAGAGGGAACAGAGGGAAATGCTCCCAGGTTGGGCAAACGCTTCGCCATCGCTCCTCGATGACGCAGCTGGAGGGCACTGTCCAAGGCTGGTCTTCCACCTCACCAGCGATTAGGAGCGCAGAGGCATGTGGGGTGCATCTTCAACTTTTGCTTCAAGGTGCACCCTCCCAGCAAACCCACGTAAGAAAGCTTCTTCAACGTGTTTAAGCATACGGACTGGGAACCGTCCCGCTTTTCGGATTGGAGTAGGGTGGGGGGGGGGGGGGTGCAATGATCATCTTCGTGTTGGCGTGAGCAACCTTCTTGAGGCATTTATCATGGATTCCTCGGGAGCTCAGGGGGTGAGAAAGCGACTGTAGCCGACGAAAGGGCGCAAAAAAGCGTGCTGCATTGAACTTGACTGGGAAGAGAACCAAGCAACATGTATCAATTACATATCAGGAAATGATTGATGGTGTCCAGTGAATACGACAGGATGAAGGGGCGGACCGGGGAGACCACTCAAAGTCTCTGCAAAAATCGAGGCGACGCACGCCAAGGAATCTCCTATCTGTCCGGCTCTTGGAGGGACACGGAAGTTGGAGACGTCACATGCGGCGTGATTAAAGGGAACACACGAGTGCAGAAGTCGCCCTTAAACACCCGTACAAACTGTTTGCCGGCCGGGGCAAAGCTACCTGCTGAATCTCACTCAAAAGTGGACTCTGTCGATGGCAAAACCGTCAACAGTGTTCTGTCATCCCCCTCGAGCTGTTCTTGCATATACCAGCTTTTGATATTACATGTTCTTGAAGAATTTCTGAGATCCCGGCCGCCGTGCAATTGGTGTACCCGTTGCCGGACACGCAGTGAATGATGAGCCGGATCTGCCATGCCAAATGTGGCCCATCAGTACAACTCCCCGGCGGCAATGAAGAGCTTTGAACCCCAAGCGACTGTTGTTGATTGAGACATGGAACAAGCCAGGTTGGCAGGCATGGAACCAGCTCGCCGCATACACTTCCCACTGACAGTCAAATCTGGCCATGGGTCAAAATCCAAATCGTACCCCCAGTGAACATCCCAATCCAACCACTGAAATAGGTTCTAAAATGGGTGGTGAATTCACCTACCAACCAAACTGGGATCCCAAAACGGTTTTGACCACCACAGCCATCTAGGGACCCCCTCCAGAGCTTTTCTCGCTCGTTTTTTTCAGCCTCTCTCCAAATCGGCTCGAAGCGTTCTTCCGAGCCTCCACGGTCCAGTTCCGGAAGCGGCAGTCGTTGGAGACCGGCGCCTCCCAGCTCAGCCGGAAGGTCCTGAGATCGAACACATACACTTCACTCTTCTGAAGTGCTCTGGGCATGGTGATCGAACACTTCCCTAAGCACGCATTGGCGGGGGGAATATGGATGGCGTTGCATCCTGTCATGTCTTTTGGCCACCTTGCATGCTTCTGTTGGAGGGCATGCAGTTCACTCCAGCACGGGATGTCCAAACATTTGGAGGGCCGCATCTTTTCAACCAAATCTCAGCGAAAACTAAAACGGGCAAAATTCATCATCAAGAGTTTCAAGGATTCCCTTTCCAGTTAGCGACTCGCCGTTGATCAACTTACCCCAACGTGGAATCTGACAAATGGAAAATGGTCCAAAGGGGATTCTCAGTTTCCTTGTCACAGAGGAAGCTACACATATATATATATATATATGCATTACAAACCCCGGTTGCCCTTGCGAGTCGTAGTGGGTTTAGGTGAGCAGAAAGAAAAAAAGGAAATAAGAAGGAGAAAAAAAAAACATCTTCGAACCTCTGAGCGGGCGACTGGTGATCGATGTCGAAGACTTGGAAGTTCGTCGGTGTCAAAGTCGGCACCGGCACCAGGGTCCTGCATCCAACACGTCCGCTTGGTCAAAGCTCTGAGGGGTGGCGGGTGCTGATGATTCCTTTCATAGGCCGCATATCTCCTATCAATCTGTGTCGAGCTTCAGCTACCTGGTTGTTCATCTTTCTTGTTTGCTTCGTTTCTCGATGTCTCACCCCCCCCCCCCCGATGCGGCCTGGGCAAAGAATCTGTGGGAAGGTAGTAGATGGGACTGTCCAGGTACGCCGCACCTCCGGCCAGCCGACGTATTACGAACATCCGGTCTATGTTCGCGGGTAATACAGGTCCTTTAAGGCCCAAACTCTCTGGCAAAGGTCTTTGGGGAGATGATTTGGGCCCTTGACAAACATGCCTCGGCTTGGCAATATCGATCCCTATTCTTTCTCTAGTTGCCCATCCATCCTGGGAAACAGTTTCCATTGCTGATGACGAGACAAACTGATCTGAGCCCAATGCGTTCGCGAGAGCCGCCCCAGGGCTCGTAGATGGAAGTGTAGGTCTCGCCTGAGGACATGGCCGTCGAGACATCTTGGCGTTTGCTTGGGGCTCAGCGGCTCGCGGGCGTCATCAAACTTGGGCCGACCACGTGTTTCAGTGATCAGAAGTTGAGCTTTTCCGCCTTTGAGGACACAGAGTCGACTGCAACATGCCTCTTCAGTAGTCATGCTTGCACTATGCCCACAAAGAGGAGGTGAGAATAGTGAATGCAGAAAAATCGCAAAATCGCGGAAGCGCATGCCAAGGGCACACGAGAAGGCATGGCAAAAACTACCAAAATAAACCTCAAAATATGTGGAAAGCACATCCTGAGTATCGGGTACGGCACATGTCATAGTCTTACTGTTCCATGCCTGCTTCACTGTCAACCTTCCAAAGAGCCCGCAAACGTCAGGGGCTCAGAATGAGGGTGGTTGCCCATAGTCGGCGGCAAACCACTCGGCTTTTGCGAGATGCAGTTTGGCCACCCGGATGGCAAGATTGCCAAGGCCCCGGCAGAACTCCGTGACCCTCACTCCGTACTCGGTGTCGCTGCGCAGGTGTGCCTGAGAAAGCCCGAACGGCATTGGCGACCGGGGGCCGGGGGGGGGGGGGAGGGTCTGACAATTCTTATTTGCTCCCAACAAGAATCGCCACGAGAATCCCACTGGCACCGGTGCCTTCATAGGTGCCTTCAAAGAAAACTGATCGAGTACTCACGAGTTTGGTCAACGTGCAGAGTTCCGGAACGCACTCGAAAGCAAGACTCCCTGCATTTTCAACATCAGCCCCACTCGGTGGAAGCTCCCTTCAAACAAACAAGCAAAGGGTAATGCTTCAAATCGCCCCAAATGGGCAGGCAAAAACAGAAAAAGCAGTTCAACCGGCAAGTGAGGAGCGACCTCCATCAAACGCCAACCCATCCAGTTGCCGAAAGCCGTCTTGACCTCAGGATCGCAATGGTAAGCGCCGCGATGGGTCCTCGCGCCTCTTCCCCCAAGTAGCCCTCGTGGAGCATGGTGATGGTGCAGCCTATCAGTGCATGGCACGAGACACTTGTGGTGAAAGATGCTCGGAGCACGATTTTGCCCGTGCTTCCCCTTTCGCCTAACTGAGCAGCGAACCAGAACCCACTAGTGCCCATCATTTTGTGACCCCTGGGCATTGGCAAAAACTCGGAAGGCTTGGTTATTGCCATGGAATCAAAGAGTGAAGACTTGGGTTTTCCGCTATGACAACCTGAGGCAAGGCCCACAGCCCGCCTGCAAACGAATCAAACCAGGGATCCCTCCAACAAAAGTGTCCTCAAATAAGGAGCAACTCCTCGAAATGGTCAAATGGTCAGCTTCAGGTTGTTTTTTTTGAAATCAAGCAAACCAGCGCTTGCCATCGCGCGTGGTCAAAAAAAAGTTGAGACCTCCTGCTCGTCAAGCCCCCCGGCTGGTGGTCTCGCGGGGCTCCCGCCCGCATTCGATGGCCTCAAGCCACTGGCCACCTGCTGAGGGCATCTGCCGGGCCCCTGGGTACCCCGGCACCCAGGTGAATGTGAAACCCATATGGCGGTGTGCGGACTTACTTGGACATCCCCTATGTTGCTCAGCGCTGATAGCATGCCAGGTGTGTGTGTGTGTGTGTGTGAATGTGCATAATGTGCATGTGTGTATGGGTATGTGCATTTGTATGTGCATGTGTACGTGCATGTTTGTGTGTGTGTGTCTATATATTTGCATATGGAGAAACGTGACCTTGAAGCCACTCAAGGTAAACGAGATCCAATTCAAAATTCTCCAAACATCGGTGTTTCATCATCTTGACTGTTGAATACCAAGCACTTGTAGTAAGCACAGTATGCTTTGGCAGTTCCTCCCGCTATGCGGGGGGGGGGGGGGGAAACAGTTCGGGGGAAACTCGAAAGTCTTCTGAATGGATCCAAGGTCCAAAATGTTCACCGAAAAGCTGAAAGCATTTGGGAAAAGCCGCAACATTCCCACAGACCCGCTCTGGACTAAAACAACAACAAACCAAAAAGACTAATTCTTGCCCCGCACCATGGCGAAAAGGTAGGTTTTGAACTTGCAGCAACCATGCATTTAAATCTATGGTCTTCTAAAGAATTTTGAAGCGGCATCTGCTACCATGGTAGCCCAAAAATCGCACAGAGCGATTCAAGCCCGTTTCCGGCTGCATGAATGCAAACATGTGCAGTCCGATTGCCTGAGAAACAAGGAAACCGACGATAAATGGAAAAACTACTCGCGGAAGAATCGGGACTGTGAGATTCCTCAGTTCCGCTTTGGCGACGGAGCCAAAGGCTTGTTTGCATTTGGACTAACGGTTGCTCCCTTTTGTCCACGAAATCCGTGAACGTTCCTTACACCTTGCCCCTCAACGCCTGTGTAGTTCTCGTCCTTGATCTCCACCAGCCACTTCTCGTAAAGGCAGTCCTCGCACAGCGGCCCGAGCTGAAATTGAGCACTGACGCTTGCAGTCATCTCGGACAGACACAATAATGAGCCCTGAGCCACGCAGTTCCTCTGGAAGAGACACCATAGAGAGCAATCTGTCCACAAAAACAAACTAAGAGAAGGTCCAATCAAAATAGACTCCAGGTGTCCGCCCTGTCCGCCCTGTCCGCGCCTTGGGGTCGCCCGCAGACCAGTGCAAGCTGAAGCCGTAGGGGCCAGGCGAAGACGCAGCAAGGCCTGCGGCATGTGGAGGAAATCTTGCAGGAATGGTGCACTTGGGGCTCCATATTGGGAATCATCTATTCGGTTGCACGAAAAGTCCACCAACCAGATTTCGCCCCAGAATCATCTTGAGGGTGCCGTGGGATATTCACAATGCGCACGATGGCCACTCAGGTCCGCCCCGAGCATAAGTAAGTTGCCTGTCTCGCCGGATGGGCGGTGGGGCGGTGGGGCCTTGTTGGTGTTGTTTGCGTTGCTAGTCGGAAAGCAAGCAACCCGATCATTTGCAACATTTGGAAAATCAACCGCCGGCCCGCATGTCCCTTGTATGTCCTTCTTTGGTCCCCAGTCCCAATGCTGTCCGCTCGTGTGATCCAGCAAGAGCAAGGAAAAGGCACACCGGCTCACGAGTCCAAGCTTCGGAAAGGAGGCTATGTGCATCACACCGAGCAAGCAAGCTCAAATCTAGACCTGCGGTTGAAGCTCCTGGGAGGCAGTCAGGGGCCTGGTGGCCCTGCGATTTGTCGTTTGCGAGTCTTTCGAGCAGTAAAAGAAACCGGTCACGTGTACCCCTTCTGGTCAGCAAGGTCCCGGGGTTGTATTCCTAAGGCGGCTTTCGTAGGGCACGGGCATGACACCTGCCTTCACTGACTAGAACAACGGTGCTTAGAGCCCTCCCAAAACAAGTTGGTAGGAGGGCGAATCTAGCAGAGATGCCCATTCGCTGAGACCCTGGCTTAACCAAAGTATGAATTTAGGGCAGGGGAAACAGGGTGTGAGATCCCCCTGGCTGTTGAGGGCATCAGAAAGAAAGGGATACTCATTATTGGCCCAAAGCGTCCCCAACAGGGACAAAATTCACCCAGCCAGGAAAGTTGGCAACCCCTTTCACTCTGGGTCAGCCAGCCTCTGAAAGGGAAATCCTTCCAAACCAGACCAAACGGATGTGTCATTCGAGTCGGACCCCCAGACCCCGCGCACCGAAGGGCGTGGTAGCAGCTTCAGGCACCTGCGTCTCCGCCTGCACGGCTTAAGCAAGTTGCCGGGTCTGAAAACGTCTCATGCAATGTTGGTTTGCTGGGAGGCGAACATGTGCTCGAAAGGATCGTACGTGGGACAAAATATCCAAAATCCAAATGTCCCCATGTTCCTCGCATAGTGACCGTGCTGCACTGGATATTTTGGCCGAATCACTTCGGGTAAGAGAGCATAGGGTGGTGGTTCGACAAGAAGGTCGTCTTAGGAATGAAGCTAAAAAGCCTGCCTGTGCGAGTATCCCATAGATTGTGTTTGTTGGAAGGATATTGAGTGCCTCAAAATGAGTTGAATCCCTTCAGTTGGTTACCTCTGTAAACCATCCAACAGAGTTCTACCCCATTTTGAGACACAATCTGGCTGGCTCACAATAACTGGGTCATTTCTCAATCGACGATCCAAACTTCCTTGCCTCTGATATGCGTCATGGTTCAACGTCATAGTCATGGCAGTCTGGTGCATTGACCAACTTTTTTGATACCGAGCTTTCCAGATTTGGCAACATGCGGAGGCACGGGATCCCAGTGACCCCAAAGATGACCAGCTCTTTTGCCTCGGGTCCCAAAGCAGCAGCACATGTCAGGCTCCAGCGCTTTGGCTCGTCCAGAGACAGCGTGTCACGTGTCAGCTGCTTCCGGAGCCGCCCGTGTACGCGAGCAGGGCCCAGCTCCGCACCCGGCGAACATCAGAGAAGGCCATGGTGGCGTAAATGTCTGAGGGGCTCTGCCAAGAACTCGTACCAAGAAGCCCAACCGGATAAGAAGAAAAAGACAGGATTTGTCAGCTTTGCTGGAGAAAGCCCAAGCTTGGGTGAATCCACGTAAAGACAGAAACGACGGTTGTTTCAAGACAATGGTAGAACAAATGTATCGCCATTTGGCACATTGATCATAAGGTGTTAAATATATATATATATATATATATGAGTTCATCTGGTTTGTTTGTTCAAACTCGGCAAAAGGAAATCATTTGGTGTGATAAACATGGGTTTCCTTCCCTGGGACCTGCCCAACTTTGACTTCTCGCCTTGGTGCAGGAGGCTCGCCTCCCACCAGACTTCCTCGTAGCCCAGCGCTCGCAGGCGATCCCTGATCCAGGCGCCGTGATTCGGCAGGGAGAGGTTCAAGAGCAGCACCAAACCGGGGGCGCAGGCCCGTTCGATGGCGAGCCATTCCGTGAGCCACCCGTCGGCGGCGGAGCCGTCGGAGTCGAAGAAGACCAAGTCGACGCCGTGCAAGGCCTCGCACGCCGCTTCCACCACGCCGTATTGGTACGCGCACCGCTCTGGGCAGTCCACCTTCCAACTGCTCGCGCACTGCTGGCATTCGGTGGAGTTGGGCCGCACTCCGCCATTCAACAGCCACACGGCCGGGCTGTCTTTCAGGCCGCCGGATCTGATCCGTGCGCTCACCGAGCGCAGATCTCGCACGCGCCGGGGGCGCCAGGCGCCGAGCGCTCGCCGGGCGGCCGCTGCGCGCCCGGCGTCCACATCCTCGAAGCCCACCACGGCCGAGGGCCGCTTGGAGTCTGCGAGCGCGGTCGCGGCGGTGGCGCCACTGCACCCAGAGCCCAGGAACACGTCCAGCACCTCTGGGGGGGCCGGAAGAAAAAATCACATTCGATTTCCTGCATGGTTGCACTGTGCATTCGTCGTGAAAGAAATTATGATATTTACCTGTCAGTGTATTATACATATACATATACATATACATATGCATATACGTGTAAAAATGTTATATATACATATACATATATATATATATAGATATATATAGATATATATGTATACATATACATATACATATACATATACATATGTGTATACATATGTGTATACATATGTGTATAAATATAAATATATATATATATATGTACGCGCTAGTGGATTCTCAGCACCCGGGCCTTGGAAACCGGTGCAACCTGGATGGAGCACCACAACAGACGGCCCACCGGAGCGCCCGCTGCAGCAGCATACGCAGACTCCCCGCAGGGGTCGTCTCTGGTCATGGGGGCAGGGTGCCCCATGCACGCGCCCAGCGCGCGCCGCAGCTCCTGGGCGTCCGCCGGGGCCGGAAGCGGCCGTGGGTGCAACCAGCGAGTGCAGCAGAGATCGAAGAGGCCGACATCGCCCCAGCAGCTGGGATTGCCCAAAGGCGGATCCCTGCAGCAGTGCTCCGGCGACAAGCCATGCCCCCAGCACAGTTGCGTTATCTCCGCACTTCCTTGAGTTGATCGCTCAGAGAAAGGATGGCGGCACACATGCAAGATATGTGATTTTCGGTCTAGAATGTGTTGCACTGTTACTATTGGTGTGTTTGCCTGACGGGCTTCCTATTACACTCAAAAGCGCAATGGCCCTCTTGCACCAGTCCGTTTTAAACACGTTGGTTGGTTTCCTTTTTGCCATCCCTGTGAACTCCGTCCAGTGTGCCCCAGATGTTGGGGCACCCCCACAGGAAATACCGTTCTGGCATGTCCACCAAGCGACGTCCAGAGGCGAAGCAAAGGAGCCACAGGGGGAGCCATGGCATGTCGGATCACTAATCCAGCTGCTTCAGAGTTCGATGTGGGTATTTCAGCTCGGTGTTTCTATATCTCCAGTTTGGAGAAACCTCAAGGTGTTTCGAGAAACCTCAAGGTGCTTGGAGAAATCTCAAGGTGCTTGAAAAGGAAGCCTGCTGTTTGCCAGGGAGTTCTCTTTGAAGGAAACCAAGGAAACCAGGATTCGTGGTGATGCACACCCATAATACGAATCACTGACCTACACAAGCTTACCTGACCTGCTACGAACATTGATGACGTATCACAAAAAGTGTTTTACACGGACATCCAATGTCTGAGCCAACCGACTGAACACTGCTTCACCCTTTCACCACACTCCGACTGCCCGTGCATCCCTGCGGAACCTGCGCTCAAGCCCCTGGACTGCCGACGGCAAACCGCTCAACGCTCATCCCCAAGGCCCACGCCTCTCTAGTCCCACTCGCGCACGCAACCCAAACGCCCCAGCAGGCGCCCGCACCACAAACACTTCAAGGTCGACTCAGAGCCTCAAACTCAACAGCGCCAAAAATGGACTCGGAGTCAAATGTCTACCAAGAAGAAGAAGAAGAAGTTCGCCAAACCAACACTGGCTCGTGTCCACCCCCCGTAGCTCGCGCCTGCCGGTCAGGCAAGTCGGGGCTGAAGCCGCTGTCCAGCGCCTCCGTGTAGCCCTCGTAGCAGGTCTCCCGCACCTGTCCCAGCAGCGCGGACGCCAAGTGGTGAGTCAATATGTTGGAAGCTTGGTTAAAGGCCAAAGGGTGGGAGGTCAGATGTTTAGGAGGGCTAGGGGGGGGGGGGGGTTCGGTGATGGTCAGGAGGTTGGGAGGCAATTCATGTTGAGTTGAATGCAGCAAGCGGGAAATCAGTGTTGTTGACCCTGAAATACAGATATTTCCGACCAGCTGCCCCGATCGGACTTCTTGCTCTTCCTGATTCGCTTAATCTTCCACAATGCGCCAGCTGGAAACATTCCCTTAATGGAGGTCCTTCTTGTTCTGATCCTTAATGATAGGGAACCTGCGACAGTCCGAATTAGCGGTTTTAGGAAGCTAAGAAAAACATGGTTGCCTATAGATAGCTCACTCCAACTGCTCAAACTCCGCACAACCCGCCTTCGCATCGTACAGAGAGTGCTTGCGCAGTCGGGGCACGATACAGCCTGAAGCAGTGCCCCGCCCCGGGCCCCACGGGCTCCACACAAGAAACCTCCCTTTCGACATCACCCGCAAATGGATGCAGCCTGAAATTTGGGGACTGCTTTGTTGCGGAGGATGTCAAAAATAGACAATGGCCAACTCACCATTTCCGCATTAGAACACAGCTATGTGGAGCTCAATCAAGCATAGCTCGAAAAATATGGTTAAAAAGATCCATAGTTGGCATCTGTATCTTGTTCATCCCAGCTCCCGGGTCTAGAGGCGAGAGAGAAGCATGCAATGTCCAAGAAAAGCGCGAGGATGGGCAGGAGAGGTTTCCCTCAGGATCCGCCGAGGCACGGTATCAAACCCTCGTTGGGTTGGGATCAACCCGCTCCCACTAGCCCCCTCCCCGGCAGGGCTCAAACGCATTCGATCGCGCGGGAATATGTCCTGGTCGCTTCTTGTGCAAACAAAGAAGCGCGGACTGGGCGGATTGCCCCCAGTCTTTCACATGCCTGCCTTGCCCCTCTATGTTGTTTCCGGGGGCCCACGACATTCAGGTCACCCTCAGTGGTTTGGCGCCGTGATTTCCTGTTGAACCCTTGCTCACCGCAAATGGAACAGCAGCTTTGAAGGGAACGAAAGATCGCGAAGGATTCTGAGGCATGGCCGACCAATGACACGTCAGGCAACTCGTGCACAAAATGTCACCGGAAGTCGGGCCCGCAAAGGGCCGAGCAAGTTTTATGACAATCCTGCAGTGATGTCCCACGCGTCCATTGAAGCAGCCTCATTCAGGGGTCCGCTATTTTGTCCCAATTCTTGTCACACAGCCACTCGCCGAGACTCTCTGCAACCTGAAGGACTTGTTGGACTTCCCGGCGGGTGGTGGAACAAATACGTCCATGTCCCATCACCAAGTTCGAGCAACAACAAAAAAGTGCACGAAATTCTGCTCTACACTTTGCTCCAACCTCAGCCAACACATTTAGCGCAGTCCTCCTCCTTACATTCTTCTCGAGGCACCCACAGGGAATAATTCAGCTCCTCGGCGAATTCAGCATCATACTAGCAGAAGCACAAATCTCACAAAACCCAGCTTGCATCGCTGAACATGGTGTTTGACTTCGATGGGTTTGCCAATACCGCAAAAAATGGACGTGCAGCTTCGCCAGAAGTTCACTTGGCTGTGGGTCCCCTGGTGAACATCAAAATAGGTGGTACATGAGTGTCCACTCGTCACATCGACTGAGCCAGGGCGCCGTGAAGTTGGTTTCGTTGCTGTAGTTCCCCTCCGTCCAGTTCTCTCGGATCTGGCAGAAACCGAGAGGTGAAGCGTCAAGGGGCCCTTGGGACCAAGACTTCACATCGCCATTGGGTCCAAAAGGGGACCTTGACAAAAAACTGACAAAAAGACAAGTTGCCAGGACCCTCGTACATAAGAATGTGGCATGGGACCCTCGAAAAGTACGCATGAAGGAATCCTAGCGAATCGAGGGGCCAACCCTTCACCCTTCTGCCAAAGCCCTTGGCAACCGTGCTCATCCTCATCCCCCGATAGGTGGCATGATCATAAAGTGTCAGATGACTTAAGCAAGCTGCTTCGAACGCATGTTGCTGCCTCTCTTTGTTGAGACAATCAAACAGTTCACAGGTCTTCCCTGACCAAAAAAATTGAAGGTTGGCAACGGTGGCTCAAACCCGCCCAGTGGTAGGGACATGTGACTATATGACTGGTTGCAGAATCCTAGCCCTCAAGGGAAACAGGAGGATGAAAGGATAAACCCCACAAAATGATGCCTGCTTAGTTGTGTTCGAGTCATGGTAGATCTCACATCTCAAGGATCCTTTTCAATGAACAAAGGCAGTTTGAACCCGAAGGGGCGCATGTTGCTCTCTCCCGCAGGCACGCTCTCTCGCTGTTCCCCCGCCTCCACGTGCCAGCCCGTAAAGTAGCAATCCTGGCGGTTCAACTCACGGAGCCCGGCAGGTTCATGCGTTGAGCAGCGCCAACAAATTATACAAATCTATATATATATATATATATGTATATATGTATACATATACATATACAGTAATATATATATATATATATATATATATATATATATCTATTATAGGCATATATACAGTATATACATTGTATATGGGTTTGTATTTTTTAGGGTGGCCGGGCAGGAAGGTTTGAGTACGGGATATGATTCGCAGGTATGATTCGCGGGTATGATTCGGGGTATGATTCGGGGGTATGATTCGCGGAAGCAGCAGCAGCAGCAGCAGTAGTAGTAGTAGCAGTAGTCGCCGAAGTAGTAGTACTAGTAGTAATATTGTAGTAACAATAGTAGTAGTAGTAGTAGTAGTAGTAGGTAGTAGTAGTAGTAGTAGTAGTAGTAGTAGTAGTAGTAGTAGTAGTAGTAGTAGTAGTAGTAGTAGTAGTAGTAGTAGTAGTAGTAGTAGTAGTAGTAGTAGTAGTAGTAGTAGTAGTAGTAGTAGTAGTAGTAGTAGTAGTAGTAGTAGTAGTAGTAGTAGTAGTAGTAGTAGTAGTAGTAGTAGTAGTAGTAGTAGTAGTAGTAGTAGTAGTAGTAGTAGTAGTAGTAGTAGTAGTAGTAGTAGTAGTAGTAGTAGTAGTAGTAGTAGTAGTAGTAGTAGTAGTAGTAGTAGTAGTAGTAGTAGTAGTAGTAGTAGTAGTAGTAGTAGTAGTAGTAGTAGTAGTAGTAGTAGTAGTAGTAGTAGTAGTAGTTGTTGTTGTCGTAGTAGTAGTAGGAGTAGTAGTAAATAGTAGTAGCAGTAGTCCTAGTAGTAGTAGTAGTAGTAGTAGCAGCAGTACTAGTAGTCGTAGTAGTAGTAGCAGCAGTATTAGTAGTCGTAGTAGTAGTAGCAGCGACTGTAGTGGCGCGGAAGCTTTGAAAAGACTTGGCGCTGGCCTTGGCAAGGCAAGTTCATTGCGCGGGTATGATTCGGGTATGATTCGCGGGTATGATTCGGCTAGGTGCAAAACGGCACTGATTACAAACTCGTAGTAGCTGTGGTAGTAGTAGTAGTAGCAGTAGTAGTGGTAGTAGTAGTAGTAGCAGTTGCAGAAGTAGTGGTAGCAGCTGTAGCATAAGCAGCAGCGGCTGTAGTGGTGCGGACGCTGTGAAAAAGACTTAGCACTAGCCTTGGCAGGGGAAGCTCATTGTCCGGGTATGATTCGGGTATGATTCGCGGGTATGATTCGGCTAGGTGCAAAACGGCACTGATTACAGACTCAGAATGATGTATGTGGTAGTAGTGAGTAGTAGCAGCAGCAGCAGCAGAAGCAGGAATAGTAGTAGTAGAAGTAGTAGTAGTAGTAGTAGTAGTAGTAGTAGTAGTAGTGGTGGTAGTAGTAGTAGTGGTAGTCAAGGTTGTAGTCGAAGTAGTAGTAGTAGTAGTAGTAGTAGTAGTAGTAGTAGTAGTAGTAGTGGCAGAAGTAGTGGCAGAAGTAGTGGTAGTAATAAAGGTAGTAGTCGTAGTAGTAGTAGTAGTAAAAGTTGTAGTCGTAGTAGTTAGTAGTAAGGGTAGCAGAAGCAGAAGTAGAAGCAGTAAAGTAGTAGTAGCAGCGGTAGTAGCGGTGGTAGTGGTAGCAATACTCGTAGTCGCGGTAGTAGCAGTAGTAGTAGTAGTGGTAGTAGCAGTAGTAGTAGTCGTAATTGGAGTAGTAGTGGTAGTAGTAGTAGTAGTAGTAGTAGTAGTAGTAGTAGTAGTAGTAGTGGCAGTGGCAGTGGTAGTGGTAGTATTGGGTAGCGCTGGTGGTGGTTGTTGTGGAGACAGTGAACAACACAAAACGGTAGAAGAACAGTAGCATCTTGCAGCATACGTTTTAAGGGGTATGATTCGGGGGTATGATTCGGGGTATGATTCGGGGGTATGATTCGGGGGTATGATTCGGGGAGGTCCCACCTTCTGCCTTCTGAAGCAACTCAACACACCAAAAAAAGCAGTATATACATTGTATATACCTGATATATACATAGGTTCTTGCAGTCCTCTCCCACAAACTTAAGGGGTGCACTATACACTCAACATCAAACCCTGCAAGGCCATTCTGGGGACTCTCCGGGGACTCAGCCTGAATCCACCGGTGAGCCGCACGCAAGCGGCGCGTCACATGGCGGTGACGCATGTGGAGCGCCAGCATCAAACTCGAGCAGGAAGGTGTAGGCCTCAGCAGCGGTCGCAGCGAACTTTCAGAACGACACACACTGGGTTTCGATAGGACAAAGCAACCGAACTGTTTCTCTCATGGTCACTGAAGATCTGGAACCTTTTCCCAAAATGCGGCCCAATTTCCCTGGGTCAATCCAGGCTGCCACGTTTTGGCTGGGTCAAGCTGCCGCTTTTTTTTGGCTGGGTCCGGGACGGTCTCATTGCTGATGGTGAGGTTGTCCGGTGCTTCCGCCGGCTCCAGGGCGATGGAGGTAGTCACCTCAGCGCGATCCCTTTGTTGCGGAAAGTAGTGCTTCAGACGGATTTCAGTGCGGGGGCGCACAAACGCTCTCGACTGCGGTTGCCTATGCCGCATATGGCTGTGGCTCAAAAACATGTACCAAAATGGTGCCTTGGTAAATGGAACCAGAAACTAAAACCTGCGGAACCCTGGCACTTTGATGTTCTGAGCCGCAGCCATATGTTCTGAGAGTCCCCTAGCCCAGCAAAAAACTGAACCGAGGCCCTCGCATTGAAATCGAGCATTACGAAGTCGCCATCCGCATTGGGGTCAGTGCAGCTTTCCTGGCAGCTTGACAGTTCCCCAGGGCAGGCCGACCAACCGCGGGGCTCAAAAGGTCTTCTCCCCCCCCCCACCACAAATGTTGCAACCGCCTTGACACGCACTGCGTAGGTGGAGTTTTGCTTCAGCCTCAGCAAGCGAGAGAGAGAGAGAGAGAGATGCAAATCAGCTGACCCATGACTCCTCACTGAGTCAGTTTTAACATGGCAGGCTGGGGCAAAACATCTGTTAGGCATGCCACGGTCATGGCCCTCTTGGGAGAAATTACTGCAATGGGTTGACGAAGACTCCCTAGGTGTGGGTTGCTAACGGGCCACACACACACACACATCTAAAGATATGACTCACCTCACTGGAGATAAACGGCTGAAGCCGGTCCAAGCGTCAAACCTCCAAGAGCTATCGGGCTTGTGCAATCCGGTGGTCCAGTCAGAAGGTCAGGCTGCCTTCCTTGCTCCCAGCGGATGCTGGTGAGTTGGTATTTGGGTTTGACCAATGCTCGTCGTACTCTCAGGATGCCGGCGTCTCGTGCAAAACATACTTGGGATTCAACCAGAAAAAGACTCTATGACTACAAGCAATTAATTCTCACCAGAGCAAGCAGCGAATGATCTTGCTGGTCTAAAGGGAATCAGAAAGCATGCCATTGCCAATCATGAGATTGGGTGTCAAAGAAAAAGGCGAAAAAACCGGGGCGTCAGTTGAGCCACTTGGGGCGATCTGGTTGGAAAAGCGGAAAATCGCCAGCCAGCTCCTTCCTGAGGCCCCCGGCGACCGGGGCAGGTCCCCAGGCCGGCACAGAGGGGCCGCCCGGCTGGCCAGGCACTTGTGCTCCACCTGAGAAGGAGTCCCCTCAGGTGGTTCACATTTGGTCACATTGGTTGGGTCTTCGGCGCAAAAACCGCCGGCCGCCAATCGGAAGCTCACAAATCCAACTGCTGTTTCAAAGCACCAAATGCCAAAGGGCGCAATGTCGGAGGGGGGAACGGTGGAGAGAGAGAGAGAGAGAGAGAGAGAGAGAGAGAGAGAGAGAGAGAGAGAGAAACAAAGAGAGAGAGAGAGAGAGACAGAAAGAAAGAAAGAAAGAAAGAAAGAAAGAAAGAACCAAAGAAAGAAAGAAAGAAAGAACGAAAGAAAGAAAGAAAGAAAGAAAGAACGAGACAACTTAGAGTCAAGTTTGCATGGAAAAGCAGACTCATGAATGAAAATGGATCAGGTAGATGAACCCGGGGCAAACCCGAAGAAAACAAGCAAAGCGCGACGTCTCCCGACAGAGCACTGCTAAACCCAACACCGAACGCAAAACCATTTGAAAGAACAATCATCACACCTTCGTCTTACATCCTCCCCAAACGCCCCCTCCAAATTCGGAGCTTTTGTTTGGCTTTTCAGCTTCCAGGCGTTCCGGCCCATGTCTGGCTGTCATCCAGCAGCTGGACCAAGGGCGGCAGGGCCCAGTCCCCCATCTCAGGGGAGCTCTGGTAGACCTCCATGACCTGGTGTCACTCGCTATCGAGATGGGGCACTTCCAAAACTTGAGGACACCTGGCAGTTCCTCCAAACTGGGATCTGGCTTTGTGTGGCCCCTGGGAACCCACTCAAAAGGAACCTTCTGGTGGGAAGGAGCTGCCGGTCCAGAGGGGATGAACGGCTTGGGGGCTGGAAAACAAGGGATGCTCCCTTCGTTGCAAAGGAACACCGGCGAAGCCACCATTTGGATGGGGCCCTATCTTGGGAAGTACCATAGAAGCCACGCATGGGATTCGGTCTGAGGTCAACTGAGGCGCCGGCCCACTCTTTGAACACGCACTGCCCTGCCGGCCCAGCCTTGCCGCCAAGGGCCAAGGGACAGCTGCAGAGTTCCACATGTCTTCGATGGCTTGCGCAAGAAATTGGCTCCAGAGCCTTTTCAACCGGCGCCCCTGACACATTCACCCCATTTCGGAAATAGTGTAAGATACAGACATTTCCCATGAGCCCCAAACTTCTGGCTTCCAACTAACATGTTGGAGTTGGAAACCCCTGTTCAAAGAGGATCTGAGACCTCACTTCCCTGCTTGCTTCAGAAAATACACGGAATTTGGGGAATTTGGGGGAGGGGGGTCGCAAAATGAGCTGGACACCTAGGCGTTTCTGCTTCCCAAGACGCAGATCTTAGGCGCCGCGCCACCCAGGTCACGTCGAAGAAGAAGGCAGTCACCGAGTTCTCCACCACAGCGAAGGCCTAGCAAGACAGAACTCGAAGCCCAAAGGCCCAAAAATTACGAAATTCCAAAAGAACCCCCCACCAAAATTGGGGGGGCCCGTGGTTTCTTGTGCTCATTTGAAATGTGTTTTTTGTGCCTCCCTACCGGCATGGGGACACCAGCCGTGGCCGGGCGAACTCCAAGTCATCACGAGCAACATTCGACCGCATTTCGCGGTGATTGCCTTCAAACGACTCACAGCTCGTCCAAAACGGTTCTTGCCACAAATGACACAACACAGCATCACTCAGTAGGCTGCAGGTGTAGTGAGCAGGATCAAGATACCAAGGATCCACCAGCAAAACCAGGGATTATCATGCCGCCAAAGTCCCTGCCACTTGTCCCTAGCCTGGAAGGTGAATCAAAAGAATGTACGCAACGGCTTGTGTTGAAATTTGACGTATGATGGCTCTGGAATGTGCAAACATGCTGCGAAAACCCCACAGTCACCGATCTGCACGGCGTGAACCCTTTGTTTGGCGGAACTGATTAGAAATTTATTGATTTGAGAACTACAAGTAAGATGGCTTGAAACATGTGTGGTTGGAATTTGCAAAATAAAGAGCCGTTGCTTGCGCTCCCACAGTGAGTTGACGTCATATTTCAGCTGGCGGTCCCACCATAGAGGCTGCGGGCCATCGCCGATCCAGTCCAGTGGTTTGTGGACCCTCCAGTGTCCTGTTGAGTTTTTTGAGGAGCATGTTCTCCCCGTCCATGTTCCGACAACAGTGGCCACTGGTCCTGCTTCTGTCTGCATGTCCCATTTCAGGGTTTGAGTCCTCATGGCCAGGTCCAAGGCCGGCACCTGTGGCAGCCCCGCTTGCACGGGCATGGAGGAGTAGAACTGGGGCGAGTAGCCCCAGCCGCTGTCGTAGATGTAGTTCGTGCAGGTCTCCCTGACCCTCACCTCGTCACGGAAGGCCCGGCTGCGCAGAAATGAGCCGAGATATCCAGCGATTAGGGGAAGTCCTTCGAAGAAAGGGGCATTCACAAAGACTTTAAGATGGGACTCCCATCTTAAACATCGAACTGAAGTTAGTCTCCGGCTCGAACGGGGTGTCCGGCATCCCCCGCTTGGGTAACCCAAGTAATTACGGAGTTTGAACAGCCCGGCTCACGAGCCTGGACAGCTGAGTGTCAATGGGCCCGTACTGAAGGCCGACCCACAAACGCGCCTCCACACATATTGTTTCTTCCTAGGGCCATCGAATCGTGCAACGCTTATACCCATCCAAGCTATGAGAAATCGAGAGGCGCGTCATGTATCCACGCTCCGCAACCACCGACACACGTGCCTGGTACGGAGTGTTGCTCAGGAGGCCCGTCACGGTGCAGGTCAACTAGCGAGAGGCGAGCTGCACGGCAGAATTTGCAAATGCTGAACAAGAAACCGATCTGCAAATGCGAATGTCTGTTGAAATGCCGAGAAACGTGCTCACGCAGAACCACCCTCGCTCCAACCCTAGGCTTGGCACGTTCTCCCGGAACTGCATCTCATTCTCACACTCCGTGAGGTCTGTCCAATGCTCCGACGTCCTCAGCAAAGAGCTCAGGGCGCGGAGGCCCAGGTGCCTTGGTGTCCCTTAACCATGATACCCGAAGTTGCTTAGTTAAAGAGGCCCAAAAGCAAATAAATGTGCAGTCATGACAAGGTATATCTACAAGCAAATCTATATCCTTAGCAAATAGAAAAGTACCCTCCCACACACAAACTTGGAGCTTGAGCGCAGAACCTTGAGGCATCGAATTCCCGGATGCAGCAGGCGCTCTTTTCTCGCGGATGAAAGCTGGTCCGCTGAACGCGGAGCTGTTGTTTGAAGATCTACCGAGCTGTTTTGGGAAAACTTCCTGAGGAATTCAAGCAGACCTCTGCACGTGACCCTGGACATCTACAGTACGGGAATTGTGCTGTTTTGTCTGGCCCCATGACACAACATCATTTGCCAAATTCGACTCTGTCCCATCCGCTTCAATGTCGAGTTCCACGAACAAGGAGTCTTTGACTGGTCCAAGCTTACTGTGCCGAGGCTATTTCCTACCACATCTCTTCTGGTGCCTTGGGCTATGGCTATGTACACGAAGACTCAGAGCTTTGAGGCATGCAGCAAGTTCTCCACCGCTGCCTTCGCCACCTCAGATGGAATCAGACAAGCTGGACCTCTGAACGTGAGGGGGGGGACGCAACCAAACGGCGAGAGTCCCTCTGGCTTCCCTGAAGACCAACGAAGAACCCCTAGTGTCAACTCCCAGAAAAAAGAAAAAAAAAGCACATCCCGGCCATCGGTTCACGTTCAGGGCCATGCTATAAAAATTAAGAATTCCAGAGAACCAACATGCGCCACACAAGAGCTTGGCCTGGATCCAATGCAATCCATTGGCAAACTGAAGCTGCTATCATGTACCCCATAATTAGGGGTTATTCATCACTCAGAAAGTGAAGCTCCCATGAATTATCCTTTTTGGCAGCGTCTGGAGCGGTGTCCCTCGCTCAAGGACCGGTGGCAACTCAAGCCAGAGCCATTTCAGTTGTTGCTCCGCATTCAGCTGGGGCGGTCAAGCCTAGTCTTTACTTGCTTGCCTTGCGTGCTAGATTAGAAGTCCGAATGATGAAATTCCCTATCAGCTTGCTGTACTTGCAAGTTGAAAAGCTTCACATGCATCTAGCTCTCAGGCCTGACTCAAAGAAGCCCCAAGATCAAGCGAATGTCCCACCAAAAACGCACCACGAGGTTCCCACCGCTTCCAACTTGCCCGCCTGGGCATCCTCGTCAGGCTTCACCCCGGACACGCCGCAGGCGCCGATGATGCGCCCGTGGGCCGGGTCGACAATGGGCACGCCGCCCTCCATCCTCGGTGGGAAGCTCTCGTGCAGCGGTACGGCGGTGCGCTTCGGGTTGGTCGGGATGCCGGTTGAAAAGGGCGTGGCAAATGGACATGTTACACACCATGGTTAGCTAAAAGAGAAGAAGACCCCGTGCAGATCACCACGCTAATCCCAGATTGAAGGAAATGTCCTGGCTCATTCATTTGCAGGCTGCACCAAGAATGAAACAACTGCGAAAATGCCCTCGCCAAACCAAAAAAAAACAAGATGTCCAATTGTGGTGTGTGAACTAGCCATCTGAACTATGCATGGCATTAATAAAAACCGCCCAAAGCCGCCTCAATTCGATGCCAGTCAAAAAGCCAAGAGCTGAAATCATTCCTGTGACAATGCCATCTCCAAATTCCACCTGGGCGCCACGTGCTTTTGCCCATCCTTTCCACCACTTAGGGTGTCTTAAGGTATCGCATTCCCTACACCTGAGGCACGGGGCAGAGTTTCTCGTCGGTAGCAATATTTACGTCTCCAGGTGGAGGTATGAGGCAGACGCACCCATGGGCACACATTTGGAAATCCGAGAAAAGAAGAAAACAAAAGCTGCGTTGGATTGCATTCTGTTTCCACATCGCTTGTTTCTGCCCTGCTCGTGATCCTACTTCGCCTTGCAGGGCTCCAGGCTGCCTGCACTGGTTTCGAAGCTCCAGTTCAGTGGACAGGCTTTGTTGTTTTCTACCTATCCCCGGCTTTGTCTTTTTCTTTGAAGGGTTGCCCAAGTGACTACTTCGCTGAGGCAAAACTAAGTTGTCTAACAAATCTTGTCTTTTCTGTGGGCCATTGAAAAACGACATGAAACATGCTCTGACATTGTGAATGGACCCTCTCAGTGACGGTTAGAAGCGGCGAACGTGCTTTTGGCAATATGACATAAACCCTTTAGAACTTCAGGACTTCAAATATACCACAAACGCAGTCGGCAATAGGATATTGTTGCCTGTTTGGGGACAAGGCTACAAACCTCCCACGGTTTTGGGAACCCTGATAGAAGAAAGCTAAAATCCAAGGACTCTGCGAAGCATCTGGGGCAACTGGGGATATTGGAGGTCGGGGGTGCAACCCAAGTTTTAACTTGATTCCTGAATGTTACATGTTGATTCTCTCTCCGACATGGGCAAATATGTCACTTAAAGCTACTTGTTCATTCAAGTTTCTCTTTATATATATAAGCCTATGTCTTAAGACCCGGGAACCTCCCCAAAGCCACATCCCAGTCCACGTGTTTCCGTGTTTCCCGAACGCCACGTCTCCCCCCCCCCAACCCAACCCACACCCCGTCCCCCCCCCGCCCCCCCGCCCTCGGCCGGGCAGCAGCACCCGGCCCGAGGTGAGCAGCGCCGCGCGCCCGGCGCCGTTGGACTTCTCCGCGTTCACGGCGCCCTCTAAGAGCTTCGTCTCCTCGGCGTGGCTCGGCACACCGGGGGCGTGATCGCCGAAAAAAAGGGGAGGCAAATATATAGAACCTATGCAGCAAAAGGAAAACTGAGTAAGAAAAAGGGGGAATACATTTTGTGGTGCACCAAAATGCAAGGGTCCCTTACAAACATGGAATGAGGCTGAAAGCTGGTTTTGTCAGCCCTGCCACGTGTTTGTAAACATGATGTGATGATTTGCTACGTCGTATAATTTTGCAAACGCCCCCTCGCTTTCGCATACCTGAAGCGACGCATGTTTTGGCGTGCGCAACACATGAGGAGGTTTCGCTGGGAGATGTCAAAGCCCAAACTGCCAAGCGGTTCGCTTGAGAATGGGAAGACATCGCTCTGCACAGCAATAGCTTTCACGTGCCATCTGGGCAAGAGCTGATATCATGCAGACTTGACATGCGTACCCGTGTAGCCCTCCAACTCGCAAAGAACCTGCCTCTGGTTTTGGCCTTGGAAGGGAAGGCAAAATGTAACTCCGACCATCTGTCAAAAGAAGTGGATAGTTGTTTCTACGGATGAACTCTTCAACCAATTAAGAGAAGTGGATAGGGAACCATCATGCGAACAATCGGTAGGAGGGTTCTCCAGGGATGACAATGTCCATCGAACCGCTGGCGGTCTATCAAAAAGGGCACGGGCATCTCAGGTATCTGCTGCTTGGCACAGAATTATGCGGCGTGTCCAGACACCACATCGATAGCCACCCCACGTTCGATCTCGTACCAGGAACACCAAGAATGCCCGAGCTTGGCTTTGCCACTTGAGCTCACTTCTATCGGTGGAGGGCGGATTTAAGCCCTTGCTCTTTCGTCTCGAGCCGGGCGTTGACCGTGGGCTGCGGGAAGGCAAATCCGATTACGAGGGCAGCCCCTGTGATCTCCATGGATTGTTTTTGTACAATAAACCGGGGCTCGGTTTCTCCGCACTGGTCCAATACACAAATCAAACCATGGAATTGCAAAAAAAGCACGATACGATGGAAGCAAAGCGACAAAGCGAGGAGTTTGGATCTGCAGTTGCATCCAAGGCACCCGGGCGAAGAGGATGGCGGACCTGGCCTTCTCGGTGGCGATCTCGGCGCCGATGGGCATGCACCCGTCCTGAGGCTTCCGGGGACGGACACCCAATGTTGCCCAACTGGCCATGGGTCAAAATCCCGTACCCCCACTGAACATCCCAATCCCCACCAAAATCGACTAAAATGGGTGGTGCACCTACCCCAAAAAACCAATCACCAGACGGGGGCATACTCTTGATGGAGACACGCCAAAGCCATGTGCCGGCCCTCAGTGTGGGGTGAGGGTTGCAAGTCATGACAATAGCAATCAAGAGGGTGTTCACAACTGGTGGATCCGCCGGAAGCAGCCATGTTGAAGGTCCCTGAAAGAAGAAAGCACCCTTGGAGACAAGGTAGGGCACTTGGTGCGCCCAAAAGAGATACTGCGAGTTTGGTTTAGTCAAACGTTCACTGCTCATACTTGTCTTTTTGGACAGGTCACCTGTCCACTTCTATGATTGCTGCAATGCGGGTAAATGGTCAATGACAACGGCCATGATGTCAACCATGGGCTTGGTTTGTGGACGACATATGTCTGGATGCACGCCGTCTAAAGTGATCCGGATCCCGCGCTCCCCCCATCTCCATGCGCCAGCACAAAGCTCCATTGCGCCTTTCACAACAGTCTTTGGGAGAGGCCCCGGCATGGTCTCTGCACTCAAATCCACCCCAATGTATCAATGACTCGCGTAAACCAAGCTTCCCCCTGAACATTCATTTGTGAATGAATCAGTTGGGAAGGTCGAAGGGTCGAGCCTCATTGTCCTCTTCGGGTAGACCCCCCTACAAGGGGCATATGTTTGAGGCTCGGCAAGAAGTGTTCCTTCCTGAACAGTGCCCAGAATCTCCATGACTCGCTGAATGGCATGTGGAAAGACTCGTGGAGAGCCAGGAGTCACTTGGGTTTGGACCAGGGAGCGGGGAGGTGTACGTGCAGCGAAGGAGGCCAGCTATTTCCAGGTCGAGTGGTTAAGTATGTGCCATGCCCAAGCTTCGACCATGCCGCACAAGGTTGTGCCGGTTATGCCTCCCTTGCCAGGTAGTCCTGGGCACTTCTTGATCACAGTTTTGGGGTTGACACTGAGAATCACCCGCTTCGGGCTGCCAAGATTCCATGCGCTGCAGGGCGATGAGATTCCCCCCGGCGTCGCAAACAGCCACCGCCACCTTCCAGCCTGAAAGTGGCTGGGGGCTTGGGGGGTGGGTGTGGCAAACTCAGAGTTCCAAGAACTTTGATCCTCTCTTCCAGCAGATTCACCGCGTATCGCGCATGAGTGTGTTTTGTGTTTTCTGAGTGTACCTTTTGGGACCACCCGTTTAGGGGGTGCTTTAAGTGGAGACAGAGCCGCATACTGGCGCACACACACACGCGCCACATGCGTACTTATATCATCTAGAAGTGTGGGGGCCCTGAACGTTGGGCCCCCAAAAGCCTGACACAAGAGGCCCTCCAGCTCTGAAGTCTAAGTTACGACACAAGCACGCGAAAACAGCTACTGCTTTTGCTAAAGGCCGTGGCCAAGCTATGGTGTCTTCAAATGGAATTCCCCACCGAAGCCCGCGTCGCAGCATCCTGACTTGAGTTCCTTCTCCTTGATTGAATGTTCACGAGGCGTGCTGAGTACCTCTCAGAAATGTGTTGTTTGCCGGGCGACAAGCCACCTACCAAAAGAACAGCAGCACACACGCTCGTTTCAGCAGCCGCTGCGCGAGTAACCCGCCGCACTCGCTTTCGCAACCCGCTGTCTCCCGCCGAGCCTCCCTTGCGGCTCACGCGCCGGCCCTGTGCTTCTGGAAATGTTGCCAAAAAGCTCAGGAGGCGGGAGTGATGGCGGACAGGAGGGTGAGCCGGAGAGGGCGGCCAGGCAGCGTGGAGCAAGGGTGGCCCTTCTAGAAAGAGCACCAGCATGATTGGGAGATGACATAGTCAAGCAGGAAAGAGTTGGCAACGTCAAGTTGCCCGTGGCTGGCAATGACCATGCAGAGCAGTCCAGATAAGAGGGTCTGGCTTGGGTCAAATGCAGTGTGGAGCAAGCACAAGTAGAAGTGGACCCGCCAAGAAGGAGCGCCAGCATGATCGGCAAGCATCATAGTTTGTGAAGCAAGAAAGCGTGCGGAATGCATCGTTGTCGGCCAAAATGGCCATGGGGAGCAAACCAGCAAAGAGAGAGGGGTCTAGCTTGTGCCAAATGCAGTGAGGAGCCAGTACAGGTAGAAGCTGATCAGCCCAGGAGAAAAACAATCAAGCAAAGGGACAATGGGCAAATGCCTCTCAAGAATGTTTGCTGCACATGAATAATAAATGAATCTGCCTGCTTGCAACTGAGGTCTCCAGAATCCCCAAGTGCTGTAAAATCACACCCATTTGGAACCCCCAAACCCAGTGGCCTGACTTCTGTGCCGCGCTGATGGCGGCGCGCACCGCCTGGTCCGCGCCGGCCAAGGTCACTGCGGAGCTCGGGGCGATGGCCATGGCTCGAGGAAGCTCGGGGGATGCTGCGAGGCCGGCTGGAAAGGCGGAGCAACGGCCGAAACGGTCGCGCGACCGGACGACCGAACGACCGGCACGCGGAAGTCACAGGTTTTGGCCCAGCGTCGAGCTAGATTCTCGATGCAAATGCTGCTTCCTGCAGTGAAACTGCCAACCTCCGTTGGGTCAATGACAACTCTTAGCGCGCCGGTCACCCACGCTGAGAACCAGGCGGATCGGAAATGCCCTGCAGGATCTGGACCTGCCGGCTGAGGAAGCAGCGGGCAACAACCCTTCGACGAGAAAAATGCTGCAAGAACGCAACAGGAAGCGTTCGGTTGACTTTTGAGCGCATGAAGCAAAGACCGGACATGTTGCGCAAGAATGTGTGCATACTCCAAGAGGTTGGTAAATCTTTAGGTTGACGACAACTGCCTTCTTGTTGGCCACCCCATTGTTTCAAAGTCTGTCGCTCATCCGTTGGGTGACTGCAATGCTGAACATGGCCAGGTGCGCAGTATCCGCCAACCTCCACTTGATCTTCCCTTGCCGACTGGTACATTGGCGTTACAAGGCTGGGGTCGGGGCCTTCCATGAGGCCCAGGTGCAGTCCAGCCCCAGCCCGGGCTCGAAGGTGAAGGTCCTGCGAATCAACCAATCCACCCTGGGCTGCTTGGGTGGGAGTTCTACTTCTGCCTTGGGCGGCTTTGCTTTCTGCTTTGCAAAGGGCAAATGACTGACACCTTCAAACCTCCCCAACGTGGCCGCTTCACCCGCGCTGCGCTGCGCTGGGAAGCCGGGCACGTTGTAGGCCGTGAGCTCCACCAAGGTGAAGTTGGTGGGCGCCTGCGCCGGCTCCGGCCAGGTCTGCACGAAGTCCGGCCTCCGGCGCGCGCAAGCCACGGAGCCTTCGGGAAGACCCATTTGGACCACGGCCTTCACAAAACCCGATGCACAAACATGGACAAACCAAGGCTGGAAAAGGGCGCTGGAGCTGTCTGCAAGGCGAACCGCTTCACATATGAGCGGCAGCAGCAGAGCAAACCACTTCATGAGTGGGACGAACAGACTCGCAAAACCAGGAGCCCCTGCAAGAATTCCACAACAGCGTCCTTCTCTTATTGAGGTTGGAAATGCCCTTGCAAGCTCGAATTGCCAAGATTATGGCACCTGGTTGCACCCCAACAAATGAGCGAGCCACTAGGCTCAAAGCACAATGCGGAGCCGTTTTGCGCATTTCGGCGCTGGTTGCAATGGATAAGGCTGAATTCGAGCTGGCATGGCACTTGACGGCCGCACTGGTACAAGTGCTCTGTTTTGTTGCGTGGACTCCCTCAGAAAAGGATTTGTACTCCACGATGATCGAACCGTGTTGACCACCTCTGTTCGGCGGCTGTCTCACCCATCCATAGTGCAAAGAAAGATACTGTCCCCTTCTCTCATCAGATCTCATCAGGCTCAGTCGGAGCTCCTGGCAAGGCCAAATGGAACCGAGCTCCCAGCCACTCCACCCACGGACTGTCAGCCAGGGAATCTTCGCAGGAGACCATCATTCGGACCTCGAGAAAGGGGCGATCGCGCGTTCCCCCAAAATAAGCCGTTCACCAGGGAGGAAGGAGGAGGGGGTCTCATCCAGCGACTTTCAAACGCTACAAGCACTGACTGGTGGTGCTTCTGCGCACAGCAGATCCGATGAGCCTTGGGGTGTGCGTGAGTTTTGCCTCTGGGATGCAGCTGACTTTGACAGGTCGAAACGCTTTGGGATTCCGCATCCAAACCAGTACGCCAACTTGGGAGCCCAACCTGCAAGACTCACAAGGAAGGCATCCCCCCAAATGGGCAAATCAGAAGGAGGCCAACCGTTTGTGCGGGTCCAACTCATCCCAAATACAGCGCAGCCGCTCAAGCCCCCATAGTGCAACAATGGCTGACTGAAATGGGCCGTGCGTGCCGGGTGACAGGGACAATTGTCTGACAAGGAGTAGGGAAACTCCTGCCTTATCAAATCAGCAGGCGCACATGGGCGTTGTCTCCAGATTGAAGGACCCCGCATATGCTCAGTTTCCCAGTGACTCCACCTGAAAAGTAACAACGGAGGCTTCTCCCTGACTTCCATTCACGAGCCAGGGCAACCACGGGCCCTACAGGCCCCTGGCCGTGTAGTAGCTCTGGCTTGCGGGGAAGTTCCCCACTGAGCACAGGGAGGTCCGAGTGCAGTCGTCGTACGGCCTCTGCGAGAGGAGAGTCCACCCGTTTCTTCACAAAGCTTCCGCGCTTTGGCCTTCTTTCGGGAAAACTCAGGACCCTCTCCCGGCCTTGCGCACTTTAAGAGAGATTCGTTCAAAAGGTTAACCTGTACTCCTCAGCAGTTGGGTGCGGAGTTCCATAGGCGCTCCAAGGACGGGAGCTACCGAAGTGTGCCAGCGAAATTCTGAAAGGAGCCAAGCTTTGCATGAAAGGGAAGTGTCTTTTTCAAGGACACCGGCACAAAAAGGTCCCGCTTCCTGTGGGTTCCCTTGAAACACCATCAAGGGGCCACCTGATTGTCAAAAAGCCTGCTGTGCTCCCTGCAACCAGTAGTCCCAGCCCTGCATCATCCACTCCATCTTGTAGGCCTGCAAGGCGCAGGTAATCGTGCGGCCGGTCAGTCCACAACTCCTTGTATGACTCCTTATCAATTTGCATCCTCTCAAAGGCCCAGCAGAATCCTTGCTGGAGCCTGAACAGCTCACGACATTGCCCCACCCACAAATATCCAAGTACATTCTTTTGTGAATGCCTGTTGAAATCACGGGCCCCTGCGATAATCCTTGCACGCCCCCCAGGCCTTGAAGACACACTGCCCCATGGATGGCGCGATGAAGTTAACCCCCTGAAAGCGGGAAACGAAAACGAAAAGAAACGCGCCAACTCCCCCACTCGCTCACTCACTTGGCCCCTTTAGCGACCCTTGGGTCTTTGAAAGAACCCGACCAACCATGGCCAACCGAGGAAGAGAGCAACCCACAAACCAGCTCACGGACGGGAAGATTGCCGTACTGCGCATGTTTCGTCTGTTCCAGCTGACAAGCAACACGCATTGAATCAGATCGGAGACGTAAAGCAGTCGGAAACCTTGGGTTTCGCATGTTTCTGTGCCAAGGAGTTGACGAGAAACGTGCGGAGAATCCACCCGTTTCGCTTCGTGACCAAGTCTTGGCCGCTGGCCAGCGAGCGCGCGCTGGTGGCAGACACGGAGACCAGCACCGGCGCCACCTCGAGCAGCGAGCTGCAACCGGTCCGAAGCGATTTTCCAGGGAATCCGCTGGGAAGATAACCAGGGGAAGCCATGAAGAACCCGGAGAAAAAGCCTAATAGCTGCACTAGTGGCACTAATGGTTACTGACTCCTGGGTGCTTCAGGGGATAGGCCAACACGTGGTAAGGAAGGTGTTGTATTCCGCTCTGCCTCGGCAACTGCTCAGTAGCGAGGTGAGGCAAGGTGGAAATTTTGGGAAGCTCCAAGAAGGCCTCTGTAAATGGATGGATCCAAGTCTTTCAAACGGGTTCTGAGAGCTTCCATGTCAGCCTAGAAGATGGTCTACATTTCAGGAATCCACGTTTCCGCTGCGCCAAATGCCCCTCGGCTCGAGACCCCGGCCGCTGGCACCGGGCGCGTGCGCGCGATGTTGGAGATGGCGAGCGTCGGGCCCTCCGCGTTCGGATCCACCTGACGGGTGGTCCAAAGAGCGCTCCCAAGGCCATGGCTTCCACAACCTGGTTAGGTGATGCGGTTTGTCGACGCGTGCGCGGGTAACAAACTGATTGTCATTTGGATCACAAGATGCCACAAACAAGAAATGAGTCACAGTTGCGAGATGAACACGAGGATCAGATTCATCACGGAATCCGAATCCTAAAGAAATAGGTAAACTACTTGAATAAGACATGCCTAACGGTGACAAACCAAGAGACATATTCAAGACACGTACAATGCAAATAAGAAGGAAGATGTTCAGATGATCCTTTCCTGTGAGAGAATAGTAATGATGTGGACCTGTCACTTGCTCTTTCAAAATCAACCAAAGCTGCTACTCAGAACCTAGACTGTCAAAAAACAAGAATGTATGTAATCAATTAAAGAAGTTACACAATGCTCATGTCGAGACAAATGAACGACGTGACACTAATAAAAGGCCTCCGGAGCAGCAGAAAATGAGCAACATTGGTTCTTCCTTCCACTATATGTTCCAAGCCTTATGGACCGGCTAGCATTTGTTAAGAATACAGTAGTTAGTGATAAGTCAGTTGATTTAAAAAGCGAATGGCGAGGAAACAACAAAAAATGGCCTCCAAAGGAAAATGCTCTCACGTGGCATGACACATAGCCTTCTCATTCGCGAACTACCCGGGCTGAGCTGCGTGCGCAGGTCTCGGAAATCTGCATGTCGTAGTAGACGTTGCTGAACCTGGTGGCGCGAAAGGCGTCGCCCACGGTCCAACATGCGCCACCTTCCCCCCGCCCCAAAAAAGCTCTCAACTTCGAATTCTCGCAAGAAGCACTGGCCTCGTTATTCTACCATGATCAAAGTCACCCCCTAAGTGGTGGGTTAAAGGGAAACAACCCCGTTCTCTGACTGTGATAACCCGCAGAAACCGCTAAAAGGATGACCCCAGAAGCATCTCCTCCAAATCGCGACACGTCGCAAGTTGAAGTGGGCAATTCTCGACATCGCCGTTCACTTCCTTGGGGGCCCTGCAAGCCCGTGGTGATAATGCACTCGAAGGGCTCCCGGGAATTGGCACGGCACTCGGCAGACTCCTTGCATCAACGCCAAGCAGCTAGTGGTATTGACTGCTTCTAGATCTTGGAAGGAACAAACACGGAACATGACGCATCAGCAGCTTGTATAAAGCTTGGTGCAAATGTTTGCCCTCAAACGCCTCTCCTGCCAGATAGCTTGACCGAGGATGCTGGTCTCCACCTGGCAACGCGCATCAAAGCCAGAAGCCAGCGGCAAAGGCCCTTTGATCCTCTGAGAAGACTTCCCTTCGGCAGCTGAGCGGCATTGCGTAGCTGGCTGAATGTGATTTCGTGGCATTGCCCCTGAATCTATCTGAATATGTCGACACAACTTGGACGGGGATGAAATCAACCGCAAACCAAAGGGAATCCAAACATTTTGCCGGAAAAGCTTCGCCACTCCTATTGGCCTAGGCCTGCGGCATGCAACCCAAACAAACCCCGCCCGGCCTTCCAACCGGTGAAGATGCACTCTCCAGGAGGAAGAGCGTCCTGGGATCGAGCCATGGTATTGCGGGAACCCAAGTGAAAGGCGGACCAGCCCCCCGTCAGAGCTATCCCTTTTGCTTTTTGGACGGTTCGAAAAGGTGCTAAGATTGCATTGAAGCATGGCTCGACACACGGCCCAGTGTCCCATAGCCTGAGTTTGGCCAACCTCCACAATCCGACCTCTGAAATCCTGACTCAGTGAATGCCGATTGCTCGCCAAGGCTCCCATGACACATCCAGCGAGGTGTAGGCGACATCGTGGCTTGGGGAGTTTGAAATTGCCGTCAGATTCGCCGGCTGAGATGCAGGAACCTCGGAAGTCGGCTTCAGTTCTAGCGCTTTTGGATTTAGGGTTGCAAATGTTGCAGTAAATCCTGAGTTCGATCCACCGAACTGTCAAGTAGAACCCCTTTCTGGAATGGCCAAAGGTGTTGGGCGCTGCTCCATTGCAAATACTATGGTCTGTATCATAAAATCTTGCCCAAGTAGGATGACTCACAACACTTGGGAGGCAGGTCCTCCGGAAGGTGCGTTGCAGGAGGTCAGAGTGCTGTTCAGCCTCTCTTGCAAGCCTGGGCAGCCCGGGCAGGCAGCCGCGTGCCCGCAACGCCCGGGTAATAGACCTGGGGCCGTTTCAATGAACACCTGGGACTGGCCAAAACCAGGATCTTGCAATCCAGAAATGGCCATGGTCAAAATCTCGTACCCCCAGTGAACATCCCAATCCCCACTAAAATAGACTAAAATGGGCGGCGCACCTACCCCAAAATGGTGCAATTGGTTTTGACCCACAGCAAAACGGTCGGAACTCACTTCGCAACGCAGGCAGAGTCGTCCTTCTCTCGGCCCCGCGCCCAGTTGCTGAACAGCCGTCGAACCGTGCACGCCTCACCTGGCCGGAAAACCTACAACTCGTGCCACGAGGCAAACCGCCTACCCCGCCACCCCTCCTTGGTGCCCACTCTGTTGCAACCACCTTGTGGAGCGTATTGTTCTAAGGCTTCGTGCAGCAAAACAGCCTCCAAGCGTCCACGGCAAGCCCCACGGCCCTGGTATCTTTGGCTTTTGAGGCAGCTGCGGATGCGCCACTCGAAAGACTCCCCGCTGTTGAGCCCGACATGAACCTCAGGCGCTCGTGACGGCAGTCGCTCTGATCAAGCGGCACCATTGCGCGCTTCAGTCACAGTCTGAGTGCTAAAACCTGGCCAATGTTCAAAACCCGTCGACGACTTTAGTTCCATCGCTAAAGCAGACTGCCCATTGGCCCATTGACCGCACGCGCACGTTGGGCTGGGCAGCCTGCCGTGCAGTTGGTGGTGCCTCGATCCAAGAGGCGGCACCCGAAGACAGGCGGGTCATCACCTGGGCAGCTTTGCTGAGACGCGCAGCGCATCCAGCGCCGCGCATCTGAGACTCCACTTTGGGTTCCAAGGCAGGCCCGCTGCGAAACCAAATCAAAAGCTGATAAATTTGCTGGTGGCTATGAAGCGATTTCACCTGGGACTCGGAAGAGGCAAGCTGGGGAGCCCACCCTCCGGCCAGGCGGTCCCATTCACCTGACAGGCTGCACATAAGCACGTGCCTTCTGGTTGCTTTCCATTGGACTGATTTACAACGCTCCAAGTCACCCCTTTCTGACTGAGAGTTCAAACGAACCACGAAACAAACACTGGTCTCTCAAATAGAATCCTGAAGCGCCGCCTTCACCTGCACGTCCCAGTACTGGAAAATACACGCCTCGCGAAGTGTGGCGAAAGGGTCCGAAGCTCATGATCAGCAAATGGGTTGCACAAATTTGAGCTCATGATTAGCTTCGAAAAGGGCTCAAACGAGAACCTGACCACAAGCGCGGATCCCCAGTCCACTCCCAGTCCGTAAAACCAGACGTGCAACCCTGAGAACATCCAGGCCCTTTGCTCTCTGTCCCTCAGCCACAGCCTTCGGGTCATTGGGAAGCCAGCTCACCTTCGTGCAAGCGTCCAGGGTGCAGTTTGCCGCAAGAGTGAGCAGCTCACAAGCTCTCTGTTACAGAGGACCCCTCCAGATGGTGGGGTCCTTTCGTTTTCTGCTTGAAACCATCCAAGGTGGAGATCCCAATTTCGAGACAGACCATACACGCCACATATTTGCGGGGCAATGATACCTGGGAGCTGCTCATTCCCACTCCTTGGATCCCATTTCCTGCTCTGGGATGCAAGTGAGAATCTCTTCAAATAGGGACGCCGTTGGGAAAGGGACACCTTTCGGAATGGATCAACCACGGAAAGCTGAAGCAACCACCAGAAAGCCAAGACAACTCAAACCAGAAGCCAAGCGAAGCGAAGGAACGCCAACGGACAACCAAAAGGAAGCCACGAGGAAAGCATGATGAAGCAGCGGAAACCTGAAAGAAACAATGCGGAGAAAAACAAAAAGAGATCAGAAAACGAAAAGGACGCCGAACGAAAGCCAAGACAAAACCAGAAGAAGCCAAAGAAACACCCAAGAGGAACCCAGGAAAAGCCACCAGAGTATGCTTATTAAATCAAACAACAACCAAAAGACATCTAGAAAAAGACCACAACACCCATGGTTTTGTCCATCCCCGCCCTGCTGACCGTTTCAAGAAGCTATATTTCTGTCTCTGTGTGTTTCTGAAATTGCATGGACAAACTCCACCTTCCCACCATGCCCTCTTCCATTCTTCCGTGTGTTTGATTTCTTGAAAAAAGAAAAAAAAAAAAAACATCTGGGGCGAATCCCCGAAAAAAGGTTGTGGCCATGACTTCCCCCGACCATTCGATCGCATGATGCCTCGAAGGTGTAGAGGCCCATGTTGTAGGCCGCCAGGTCGAAAGGCTCGAAGGCCGGCATCGTCAGCGTGGTGCACTCTTGGTACCTGGCGGCGCCAAGAATTGTTTCGCTTCGCCTCTTCTTTTTTACCAAGGGAACCGGAATCACACCCTTTTTTTGGAGGGGGGGGGAGGAGGGGGGGAGGGGGGGGGGTATACCCTCGTGAAAAAGGTTGATGGCCGCGAGGGCCCCAGTATGAGTCGATTGCATCGCAAATTTTCACGAGCAGTTCCCCGACCATTAAATAGCGCTTGTTTAGAGCTTGTGGGCAAGCCACCACTAGAAGGGCTTGTGACAATTGAACTAGTGTTCCAATGGACTTGCTTTCTTGAATGTAAACTTCTTCAAATCAAGATGCCTCGCATCACGACACACAAAGTTTGACTTTAGCGTGAATTTGTGAACCAGTTCTGATGTTTGATTACCCGTACATTTTCCCTCCCTGCATAAGGATTTGGTGAGTCACCCCAGTACCAAAGAGAACGGTCATTTGGCGAGTGTGCCCATATCAATGCCCCCCGTGCTAGCAGTGAGTATTGATGTGCTCATTGCCCTCCCGTACCCACAAAGGTGGCATGTTTGTTGCCACAACAAACCTGACATGGAGGTGCACTCATTCTGGCTGAACCATGCTTTTCAAACCGCGCGATTCTCCTGTTGCCAAGAACTTAACCGGCCGCCTCACAGTGCCGTGGGGTGCCCCAAGCACGAGCCACACACACACACACATGCACACATTAAAAGGGCTTCAGGCGGCTCTTTGAGGACAAGGTTGGCCCTCACACACGCCTCTGGAAGAAGGGGCTGTTGGCCAAGGGGTTCGTGCAGGTCTCCCGCACCTGCCGCACAAGAGCCCGTGAGCTCGTCACAGAAGCCCCTTCGGCAAGGGGGCGTTGCCCTCTGTGCTGCACAATTCCATGGGGAAAGCTGGGGAGAGTTGCGGATTCTACTATGTCTGTTGAAGTCCAAGAATTGGATTCTCGTCAAACAAGACCAATTCTCTTTGCACGGTGCTGGCGAAAGGGGGACAGCTCAGCCCTCAGCCACTCTTTGACCAACCGCGGCCCTGACTACCACAAACTCTTGCCAACCCTTGCATGGACAAGCGGGAATTTCTACTCGACGGCGGTTCCACCAAAGCAATTAGCTACCGGTCAATCGATCCCTCGTTCAGCACGCCCCTTGACCAACCAAACACTTTGAGGTGTTGTTGATTTGCTACCTTTGTGGGGGCAAACAAACAGCCAAAAAAAGTTGGCTGTGGCTCAAAATTAAACAGGAGGGGTTACGCAGGTTTTGGTCCATGTTTCCACCTGCCAGGGCAACCCATTTTGGTACCTTTTTGTTTTTTGAGCCACAGCATGGCTGTAAGGACCCCTCTGACCTCTCTCCGGCCCCGCGCCCTGATTTTGTACTCACGGTTGGCGAGCAAATCCTCCACCCAGCAGTCCTTTGCAACGAGAGGCTCGAAAAGGGGCCCAGTGGGTCCGGCGCTTTGACAATGCCTTGGAGACAATTCGCATGGGCCCCAACAACACCCATGGTAGAGGAATCTCTGGGGATCAAATGCAACCGTCAGGAGAGTACGGCTCGGCCAAGGAAGTAACACTCCTCGCAGTTGATGGAAGGGGAACAACACATCTTGCAGCTGCTGGATCTCACCGATCCCATCTACCAAGTCATCCCTCAGATGCATCGCACCTCACGACATTCCAGAAAAGGGGTTTGTGTCCATTTGGCCGGCAGATCATGACTTTGGGCCTCCAGGATGCAATTTTTCCCAAAGTCTGCCTAACTGAGGCCACACCCAGAGGGTACAAATTCTGCGCAGGCCGAGGAGCGAGATGCCAACAGAAACTCACACGGATCCACCGAAAATCCCCCACTGAGCGCTGCTCCAGTCCAGTCCGGTCGTACCTCAAAGCTAAGACTGGTTGGTGGCCAGTTGCAGGTTGTAGTAGATTCTGGAGGCGGCTTTGTGTCTACTAGGGCCGGTTGTTTGCTAGCGCTTGCTTTTCTTGGGCACTGGAGCCTTCTGTATTGAAACATGAGGCGGCCAGCGGGCCCAGCGCTCCAGCAGCCTGGATATCAGCTCTGCGCAGCGCTTAAATGCAGCCCGAACCAACCCCAGACCCGCCATGATTTCCATTGGCATGACGAAACATATGCACCCGCAAAAGATCCTAACAGCATGCCGGGACAACACCAAGCACGGTGCAAATTCTTGAATGGCCCTGAACTGACTGACTTCTCGTAGCTATCCCTGGGCATTGCTACGCATGCAGGCCCGAATCTCCAAAGAACGCATACATATAGCGAATGCGTGCATTGCCGGCACATGTTCCGTTGCCCCAGCTCCCTCACCAACTGGAGGCCAAATGGCCAATGAGTTTCAGCGCTGGATATGCCCCGAAGCACCTATGCTGAACCCCCAAAAATATCTTTCGCTGTACGCCCTCAGCCTCGGCCAAGGCCCCAAGGCCCCAAGGCCCTAAGGCCCGGGCAGCGTGCACTTGGTGACCCAGTCTCCTCCAGGCGCCGCCTCTTCATAGAGGCCATCCGCAGTAAAGCCCGCAGTCCTCGCGCCGGATCGACGCATTTTCGGCAGAGCCGAAGTCAGAACAGCAAGCGACCGTGTCTCGACATAGCTTGCTGGGTTTTACAGGGAAACCACCGAAACGCTAATGACCGTGAGGGTCCCCTGAGTTTTCAGAGAGAAAGGAAAAGTTGCTGGAGACTGACGTGCACGCTTCCAAGGCATCCAAACTTCATATTCTCAAGTGATCTTGGAAGCTTCAGTGTGAGTGTCAAAGGTCTTTTTCTGGCTTTGATTCCACAATTTGGTAGGTGCCCACACTTGTAAACCCTTGTTGGTCGAGTTGAGAGGGAAAAACATAAAATCGGCCATCAAGAGGGGTGGGGGAAGATGTCTCATGTCTCAGCCATTACCATCACCACCGTTGCCTTCTTGTGAACAAGCACAATCGCCTTTATCATGACCGCCTCGAACATCACCAGCATCACCGGCCCACCATCAAGGCTCTTCATTGGTGTATATATATAATATATACATGAACCACATGTTCCCATTCCTGCCCGTTGACCAGAAAAGGACAGACGACTCCCTCCCAAACGCGACATCCCCACCATAAGTCCCCACCCCCACCCCCCGGCACACTCCTGGGCAGCAGCTGCGCGTCCAGCTCCCAGCTCACGAACTCGCAGTCCTCGCTGGCGCTGGCCCACCAATCCGCCTGGCCAAAGCGGAAGACGCACAACGCGCAAACCCAAAAGCCAGGCACCGAGCGGTTTGAGAGGTGGGGGAGGTGGGGATCAAAAAAGGTGGCAAAAGGGGCCTTCGGCGGGCATCATGTAATTACATGGAGGGAGAAAGATGTGCACCACCAACCATTTGGACGCAATCCGTTCTATAGCCAGGTGATCGTTTTTTGGGGGCAAACGGATGGAATCCAATCGGCCCAAAAGAAGCTGGTGTCTTTGATGGTGATACCGTCAACTTGATGCTGCATGGTCTAAAGGAACTAGGCAAAAATTGGGAAGCCCATGCTGATGAGAAGCAACTAGCTGGAAGATCCCATAAGTCTTGACGCACTCACGCGCGGACCAACCCAGATCCATACAAAACGGCAAACTGCCCCCAACAAAAGCACAAAGCTTGCCGGTGGTGTCTGGCGTCTTTGAGCAATGTGTGTGTGAGTGTGCCCGCGCGCACGCAGAGTGAGTGACGCCTTTGTTGTGCTGCATTTGCATTGCATCACATCATTCAATGTGAGTTTCATGTCTGAAGATGGTTAACATCTATAGTATACTAAGTATACTACCTGCGACAGCCTTTGGCAGCAACAACCACACACTTTTGACTCGGATCAACAGCTCCCAGCTGTTCTAAAGAGATGGACTTCCTCGCCCTGCTGCTAAGCAGCTCGACATCCACCCTCGTGTAATCGTGTTGTCTCGACCTAGAAACCACTGCAATCCAAAAGCTGTGCAGTTAAAAGCCATCGGAGAAGAAAGCACCCATCCTTACATGCACTTGGTATTCTTCTCACTTGCTCTAGAACAACAAGCAATCTACTCCAAACATGTAAGCCAAAGGTAAAACATCTATCACCAGAAACCCCGGGGTCATGGCTCACGGCGCTGGTTTCCAAAGCATGCCCCTGAACACAATCAGCATGAGCACAAGCCTAGCATCCTCTTGGTTTTGGCAGTTGGGGTCCTCACACAGCCCAGGCTTAAGCACAATCTGCCGGGTGCACGTAGAAGCGAAGAGGCTCCATTTCTCGGCGGCGGGTTCTGTGTTGCCCAGTAAAAAATAAAAGAGAGAGAGAGAGAGAAAAAAAGAGAGAGAGAGAGAGAGGAAAAAAAAGGAGAAAAAAAAGCGCGGGGAAGGTGTGTCCAGGAGTCCAAAGCGAGACTGTGAGACTCATGCTATGCGAGTGCTTTGCTCCGGGAAGCAAGTGGACACAGAACAAGCCACACTTGCGCAACCCTCATTCCAGCTGGTGGTCTCTTTGGTGCAGGCTTCCTTAATGAACCAAAAGACAGGTCCCACCAGTTCCCCAACAACAATTTACCCACCCCAAGTTCCACCCCCACGCTATCACTCGACTCGCCACTTGGCTTCCCGGCGAGTGCAGAACAAGGCCGATGGAGCTACTGCGGGAATCGGCCGCGTACCCACCTGGAGCGCATTCAGCCTGGATTTACTATTTACGTTCAGAGTCCCCCCCCACCTTCCCCAAAAATGGCGGCTTCCCAAGGACCAAAATCAAGGGGCACCCGTCCAAAACTGCACATTCACATCTTTGACCCAAGTTGGCCAGGGGTGTAAACGGCAAGGCCGGGCCCCGGACGGGCGTGGAGGTGCTGGCCGGGTAAGAGTTGAGCTCGTCATTGGTGCAGTGCTGCCAAACCTGGCAAACAAGATGAAGCTTTTAGATGGAATCCCAAAAAGAGACTGGGGAGGGATCCGGGAGAAACAAAAGGTGACCTACGATTGATGCCGCTGACTTCACTACATTCGAGGAGTACAAAATGCCGGCGCATGGCATCCGCCTACCCTTCTACCACCCTTTCTTTCGACTTGTACTTTTCTCTTTCGCATCTAGGGATAACGGCCAAAAAAGCTAAACCAAATCTAGGTGCTTGGATACGCTAAGTTTGCCGAAGCTGCTCCTGCCTCTTGCGCATTCCTAATTCCGACAATCTTCCATGATCACTGCAAAATGAATGGCTTGGATTCGCCAGACATGGGTAGGTGGCTTCATGACCTACCAGCACCGGCGAAGTCGTGGGGAAACGAACGCGGTTTCTGTGAACTGCCAGTCACCCAATGAACACGCTATTGGCCGAGCGAATTCATTGGCTGGTGGGCTGGTTGGGTAGGCCAGGTTGAAAGCTTGGAGAAGCAAGAAGTTGGAGAGTTAGCTCAATTTTCGCTAGCTTGCGAAACATTGGAGGCTGAATCCTTGGCTTCTCGGCTAGTGCAACATGGAGTCAACCAACTTTGAGGTGTTTTGGGCTGCTGTGAGGCTCCTTGTCCTGATCGCAGCTTTGACTCTTTCATGTAGTGTCCCACACCACGTTCAACCCAAGTGTAGCAGGGACTTCCGTAATACTTGGACTACTCGAGCTCTGCTTCCGAGGAATATCACAGAAGTGTAGCTGCATTATGCATGAGCCCTCGTGAAACCGGCTCTCCGGCAAGTGCGGAGTGCGCGCGCGAGAGCTGGGGAAGGGCCGGAGATTGAAATGGGCGCGGGCATGAAATCGGCCGTCCGACAGCTTCGCAAACCAAGTCGGTCGCGAGGTTCTCGGAGTGTTCGGATCGGGCGACGTCGGGCCATGGGCGGCCTGGACGTTGTAGTCTGTCAAGCTCTCAAGATTCTCGATGGTGCAGCTCCTCAAATGTCGCATGTGCAGCTCCCCTTCTCCGGTTCTGGAAGCTTCCAAACTCGTTAGACGACTTCTCGGTCTCAAAATGAGGAAAGAAAATTGAGAGGAGTTAAACTGGTTTTGACACATTCCATGCGTGATTTACTTCAAAGTGTCAAAATATCCAGTTCCCTCTCCGTCCTCACCCCCGCCCCCCGGACAACCCCAGAAGACTGGGACTTGTCAAACAGTTCACACTAAACTGAGGCTAGAGCCCTTCTGCGCAGACATGCTCATGCAAAAAGCAAGGCCAGGTCAGTCAAAGCAGACCCTGCGAGCAAAAGCAAGTCAAGTCAGTACCACGCAAACATGATCACTTTCTCCGATCGGGGAACCAGTAGCTGACATCAACACACACACACACACACACAACGAGAGACACACGCAAACATTCCCACGTTGTCAAAAGGAAGATCCTCGAAATCCCCGTGACATGTGTATGGCACACAGCGCAACCCTGGCTGATCTTTGGGCTGATCCCTGGCTCCCTCACATCCAGACTCCAGACATCCATTGCAAGCGAGCCACTGCTGGTCGAAGTTCTTGGCATTGCATTCATGCATCCAAGTCCTGCGCGAGCAGGGATCACCAACCCCCAGGACTGAAGCGCAAAGATCGGCTCGCTTCAAAAGCGAACCCTGCTCCGACAGTGGCCATTGTCGCATGGGGTTCACAATACCAAAGCATGGTTGCATGGGCCGCGGAGCGGTACCCCAAACCACTGCAAGTAAACCAGCACACAGCTATCAGCTTCCCTTACATGTGGTGAATCCTGTGGCTTGCAAGAGTTGTTCCAACCAGGGGGGTGCACAAGCCCCAATCCAACACCACGCTTGCGGAAGTCTGAAACTGTTGCCAACAAGCAACAGAGTGCTCGGAGCCCTGCAGAGAATTCGTGCAAACAACTGCATCACGCGAGCGGTCCATACTCCAGATCCATATATGTGAACCTTGCCGCGTAGCGTTGTTTCTCTCCACCAGAATCGGAACCTAGGATGATTTATAGGTTGTCCCAGTTCAAAAAGGATTTTCCTCTGTTAGGCAATCCCCCCCAATAATCCGCAAGGGTGCTTATGTGATTAATCCAGGGTCGACAGTATGCCCCAACACACTTCAACCTGAATGCAGGATTGGGGAGTTCATGTTCCGGACGCCTCTTTAGCTCTGACTCAGGACAAATGAATCTTCCGGCTGAAGAGGGCAACTCCCTATCACAGGGTGAGCGTGTGTACCATCACAACTCGTGTGGTGGTGCCCTCCATTCGACCCTTTCAGAAGGAACTCCCTAACGATGCTGATCAAAAACGAAGGGGTGTCAACAATCAAACTGGTCCCCCGGGGTTTGGGGTTTAGGATTTTTCTGAACCTGAATCCCTGTGGTCTAACGCCGTCAAAGGTCCGGAGCCAGGAGGAGGGTTACCATGTTGACGCGCGCGTCGGTGACGTTGCAAAAACCCCTCAAATCAATGCACGCAACAGAAACCCCAATGCGAGCACAAGGCTACGTGTTGCTTTGTGCTCATGCTTCAGGCCAGCCCTCCTGAAAAATACCAAGGGTGGAGATTTTCTGAAACGAACCGTCGGCTCTCAGCGTGTCTGCGCCACTACCCTGGTGTATCTCAGAATTGCAACCCCTCAAAATGGAGAGTCTCCTCTTGGCCTCCCTTTCAAACCATCCAAAAGGGAGCTCCGCACGTTGACTGTCGACTTGGAGCCCAGGGTGAGTCACATTCAAAACGGACCGGCAGGGGTCCTTTAAAGGAAGCGCCTCTCAAAGGTTTTAGGAGGTCCCCCAAAGGAGGGAAATTGATCACTGAACCTTTGGAGGCGTTTGAAGTTGAAGCCTCTCACAGGTTTTGAGAGGGTTAGGTTTCACCCCGCGATGCCTTCACTCGATCTCAGCCCTTGGCTTGGGAAATCGCCACCCTCCACTCCAGGAAGGTGCAGCTCGAGAACCCGATCTGTCGAGTCCGCGGCGCGGGTGATTGACTGGCCCCTCGCTTCAGCGGGGTCCCATGGCAAAACAAGACTCCTCTACAAACAAGTCTTTTTGGGCAAAATCCAAGTGAATTTGCAGGGGAGCACCCAGTGTGCAGGTGAGGAAGAAGCCAAGTTGGCTGTGCGTTGGTGGTCCTTTGCAAAAGGCCGGCTTGGAAATTTGAACCAAATCTGCTCAACTGGATGGGGTCCCTCGTTTCGGCACATACCTGCATCTTACTCAGTCAGCTTGGGAAGCAACAAAGGCCAGCTCAATTTGTCCACAGCACATGTCTGAGTGCCCGGCCAAGTACCTGCCATCTTGCCAATGAGAAAACATATCCCAAAGTTCAAGGGAAGTGCTGGACCAAACTGCTAGCCCGGTTGTGTCCAAACCTTTAGATGGCTGCGGGTCAAAATTCGGTATCCATTTTGGAACCCTAGTAAATGGAACCAAGGACTAAAACCTGCGGTCCTCTGGTGCTTTAATTTTTAACCCATCCCCAAACGGGGAGTTGTCAAAGTGCGTCCACGCCCACAAAAGCTTTGGACCCCGGTCGGTCCTCGGGACCGACGGCCGACCCTGGGGCACTCTTGCGGCTGCCAGGAGACCGTGATGGAGGCTGGCCTCATGGCGTCATCCTTCCCACGTATTCTTGGGAAATATGTGGTTTGAAACTCAACGATGGCAAGGATCATATCATGCATAATGTGTGTTTACATTTCATGCATAATGTGCATGATATATATATATATATGTATATATATATATAGACTGTATAGCATTGTATAAGCATGTCTGAGCAGGCAAGGGGAAAACCAAGTCTGCGCCGGCAAGGAAAAAAACATGTCTGCCAAAACACCTAATGTTTCTCAACTGTGGGGAGATGTTGATAATGGCTTGACATTGCAACGGGGACAACAATGCCACACCTCTTTTGGTGATGGTCTGGTTAGACTTCCTCATGAGTGCAATTCCCACAGCAAGCTTTTATGAAGTGAGCCAGGTTTTCAAGTGCGCGGCTTGTTCGGCCACGCTGACAACAAATGGCAAGACAAGACCCTTTTTGTCCAAAGGCCCCCCCAAGCCCGCTTTGCAGGAAACGCGCGAAAACCTGTGCGGCGCTTCCCCACGTGCCCGAGGGCATCTCATTCAAGGTGGCCTTTGGTTGCAGGTCCCTGGGATTTTGACGGGTGGAGGCGGATGCGGATGGGGATATGTTGCGGCAACGCGAAAGGTGACCTTGAGGCCTGGTTGCCTAAAATCGCCAAATGGTGCCTCCAACCTGGGGCCACCGGCCCCAGCGACTCCACTTGGGTCATCAGCGGGCTCTTCGCTGGCACCTCTCGAAAGCGTTGGCAGGGCGGGGCCACTAAAGCCCACTGCCAGGGAACTCCCGTTGGGCCACGTGCCGTCCCGCTCTGCCTTGGGCTTTGACTGTCTTAGTCAGGGCTTGCTTTGCTTTGGTCAGCTTGCTGCTTGCTGCTCAGTCTTTCTGTATACGTTTCGCGCCGTCTCGCTTTGTCGTGCTGGCATCTTGCACGCCTTTGCATCTTCTAGAGGGCGCTACAAGGATTGCTGCGGCCATCCACGGTGCGTGGACCGGGTAGGTACCATGTTGTGTTTCCGCTGAGGTAGTGGCTGGATTGTGATAAGAATCTCCGCTGCATGGCTGTCAGTTTCTGACCCACCATTCGTCGGTGCTGGGCTGGTGGCACAATCTACATTCCAAGAATTCAGTGATTGAGGCTATGACTCCACAAGAGTAGCATCCACCAGTCAATACTTGAATCCACCACGAAAACAGGGGCAGGAACTCTCACAATCCTAATCTAAGTTGGGTGGTGTTGCTCCACTTTGCTCCTTCTCAGGAAGCAAGAAGGATGCTCAGAAGAAGTGTCGAATTTAACATCAGCCGTTTGTAAGCTTTGGGACGGTTCTTTTGAAAAGGGTTTACAGGCCTTGCACTCGAGTGAATATCTTTACATTCATCGCTTCAAGAGAATCATGAGACAATATTGCCCCATCTGCAATAAACTCGATATGTGTTGCAGCAAATGATAAAGTCAAAGGTATCACAGCATACAAAAAAAAAAAGAAACAAACATAGTTGAAATATAAAAAAGATGCAATTAAAAAAAAAAAAAAGAAGGGGAAAAACAACGTACAAATGATCCAAACGGTTTCCTTCGTCACGCGCCACATGCGCCTCACAGGACCGCAGGCCACCGTGGCCCTGGCACTCCTCAGGCCGACTGGCCAAGACCGGTTTCACATGGCGCCGAAAGTTGAAAGCTGAAGGCTGTGGCTTTGAACAGGTCAGAAGCCCCCGTTTTAGGGGGGGATCGTTGGCGGGGAGCTTTCTCTCTATCTCTCTCTCTCTCTCTCGCTCTCTCACTTTCCCAACAGGAAGGCTGCCAAAGTCATTACGACACAGGGCCAGGTGCCAACTGGCATGCCAAACGCACACGCCTGCCCCGTCAACCACAGACTCGCAGCAAGGTGCTGTTCTTTCTGGCGAACAGAAGGGAGGACACCTAGACCCGCGAGTTGCTCAAGGTTTTTGAAAGCTCAAGTTTCAAGAGGCTTCTGGCGATGGGAACGATTCATGTTTGGGTGTATCCCGAGCGATACTGACGTTTTCTGGCCTGGGTTGGAAACGCTGCCATGTTCAAAAAGCCTTGCTGCTGGCGGGGATGGCATCGTTTCTGTGACTTCGCGCCAACAGTTTCACCCACAGCGCCAAGCGCAGCGCCCCGCGCCATCCGCTGCCCTCCCCTTGCATCGGTCCTCCTCCGATGCCATGCAGCAGCGCTCCTCGCCGGTGACTCTCGCGAACATCCTTTGGTTTTTGACCACATGAGAGGTCCTGAAAGGACCGGGTGCTTGTCCAAAGCAGCCGGAAACAAAGGTGTCACCGTTCCGCAGCCCGCACCCAAATTCGTCATATGTGCGCTTTGCTTTTGGCACTGTCTCTGAACCCTGACCATTTGTGCTGAAACTTGTCGAGTCGAATGCGCAAAGTTCGAAGGACCGAGTAACCAACCATCTTGGGACCCTGGCACCTTTTACATGTTGGGAAAATTCCGCGGCTCGCCTCGCAAACACCCGAACCCGGCACTGAAAACCTCACGCAAGCGCCTGGGAGTCGGCGCAGTCGTTGGTGTTGTGGCACATGAAGGGCGTGCTCGCTGGACACCTAAGCGAGGAAGCCGCACTTGAGCGAGGAAGCCGGACGCGACTTCTTGCCAGCACCCCCAAGCCACCAAGCCACCAAAGTGCATGATACTAAGTCATATCGGTCATGTCCCACGTCGAATGAGCCGAGATGAATGCGGCGCAAAAATGGCCAGCTCAGCTCACTGCAAGGTTGGATGGTGCGGTTGTTTGAAACAGCGTTGCACAAGCCTGCACATTTCTGCCCGGAATCTTGAGACTCCAGCCGAATTCTACCGCCATGAGCTATGCAGCAGGAGGGGTCGCTCTCGCTGCAGAAGGTTCCTGCAGCGTTTCTGACATGTGGCATGCTGGCCCCGCCCAAAGCCTCTGCGGATCAGGGGAACCAATTTGTCCGCCCTCGGCCACGGTGGCCATGAGCTCCAGGCATTGTCAAGACAAGCTGGGGAGCTCTGACAACCAGGGTTCCGTCCGAAAGGGCTTCTCAGTTTTTGACACATGTGCTGATTTACTTGGCTGTGGCGCTTGGCTGCCAAAGTAGAAGACTATGCCGGAATTCCCATGTGTTCCAACTCCCAAGGCCTGTGTAAGCCTCTAAAGTTCACTGTTCGCTACCAGAGTCATACCACGTTGTTTGCCGCACGTTGCACGGAAACAGACGCCCTGAAGGTGGGCCACTACAAGAGTTGCAAATCGGCTGAAAGCTTTTCAACCCATCCCCAAACATCCGCCGAAAGTTTCAGTGCTCCCCGTCCGTCGACGCACTCGAACATTGTGCCCTGGCCCCACTGGCCCGTGTGGGTCGACCTGAGAGGGAGAGACTCGTCCGCATGGATGCATCTCTTGACCCGTCTCCGAGGACAAATTGCCCCAGGCCGTTGTCACAAATGACCCTCCTTCTCTGAAAAGGTCCAATGTCCAAAGTAGGCTATGGCTACGGCCATCAGTTTTGGTCGCTGCTACGCTAGAAAACACATCGGCGGCAACTTGGTCCCTTGGATTGACACCCTCTCTCTGGATGCATGCCACTCCGCGTGGCTCATTCTGTCGTTCTCAAGGCCGAAAAGAAAGCGGAGCACCGAGCACCGGGCCATGTGCAGCCAGGCGGAGTGATGATGTAGTCCTGATACAAAGAAGTCAGAAAGCAGCCCAATCTCCCCTTGCACATCTCACTTCCATGTTGTCGTCGGGGCATCTCAACATGAGGCGTCCGAACATCCTAGGATAAAACACAAGGAACCCACAATGAAAACAACCATTGGGCTGGTGCAACTGGATGGTGCTTGCTGGCTTGGTATATGGCTCGCATTTCAGAGCATCCCTGCTGGACCGCCGAACTCCTACTCGCTGATACTGCCTGAAGCAAGGCACCACAACTTGCAAACTTTGGAAGTCACTTCAGATCTGGATGTTCCTTTCGGTCTCCGTTTTGGAACAATCGAGAAGAGGTGTTGCACTCAAATCCCCAACCGGAGTGCTGGTCCTGCGTGTACGTGTACTCGCTGTCCACTGACGCATTCTCACAGGACCTGGCCGAGTCCTTGATGCCTCAGCCCTCGCCTCTTCAGGTCGGTCCCGCGAAACGTAGGACCCATCGGACCCATCTCACTGGGAAAGAGAGGTGGCACTTCCAAGACAAGTGGCAAACCTCCGGAAAAATTTGCCCAGCTTCGGGCCAATCCGCCAATCCGCCGGGCACACATCTTCATTCGTCCCAAGTACTTGGTGTCTGGCATCGCCTCAAAGTGATCTGCGAGGAATTATTGATTCACTGCAAGCGGCATTTGGAGGCAGCTGCATTTGACTTTTTGCCTGGGGTTCGGAACGGACCTCGTTGCAGTTTCCATTTGCAGGGAGGTCAGGTTGAGCAAATTAAATTATGCCTGTGGCCAACTCAAGAAGGCTCCGGCACGCCAATGCTTAAGCCAACTCAGTCAAGGACATCGATGAGGTAGCACTCCCTAGTACCTGGAGACGCTTCATCGATGCATTTTGGCTTTCTCACCAACACGCTATGGGCAATTTATGGTAAATAACAGTATATCTAGTATCTAGCTTTCGTTTCCACAAGGTCCATTGTCTCACTCTCGAAGTCAGTCCCTGCATGTGAAACCCAAAACAGTGACCTAGCCACTGCCGCAAGTAACTTCATGCTGTGATATCACAGCCTCTGCGGTCGTTTCATTGTTTCATCACTCGCTTTCGTCTCACGTCGCTACTCCTCAGTGGTAACAGACTTGATTGACATAACAACTCCAAACTCAGGTCTGGCGTTGGCTGCACAGCTCGCAATGTACTTGTGTCGAAATGCGCCGAGGCGTAGAATAAACCTCGCACCACCACGCGCCCTTGCATCTGTTTGCCCGGCCCTCCTTGACCCGAAGCCTGGCGAGCGCCAAAACGCTCAACAAGTTGCGCCCTTCGGTCGCCTTTCAGAGTACAGCTGTCGTCCTTGCCGCGGAACTGGTCCCACACGCCCGAGCCGTCAGCGCTGAGCTCCAAAGACCTCACTCCAAAGGCTACAGGCGCTGTGCCACACTGCAGTTGTCAGTACCAATCAAGCAGGCAGGCAAACAGGTGTTTGGAACCATGCGACATATTCGCAAGGCCCTATGCCAAAGGACCATGATGCATATCACACACCCTCATGTTGCTTCCCGTGAAGCCATGAGCGGTGAACAGCCGCTTCAACCCTTGGTTGGCCGCAGGGTGCGGGCCTCGTCACCTCAGGTGCCCTCGATACCCTCTGCGGTGACGTTCTCTTCGGGACACCTTCCCTACCAAAGCAGGGTTTTCTTTCAGGGGATCCTTCAGATATCGTTCCTAGTTACAGGACACTGTCAATTTGGATCTTGAGGGTTTCCTGTCAGAGCCCCTGCCCTGCCCGCCGAGGACGTCACAAAGTGGCACAGTCACAAGTGGAGCTCTCGTCGATGATGTAGCCTGGCTTGAGAGCAAGGAGTCGCCTTACCTTGGCTTCATAGTCTTGCTCTGGCGTCTTCCCAAAGTCTGCTGGAATTCTTGCCTTTTTACGATGACGTGTGATTTTAATACATCAAAACCCGCTTGTAAAAAAACTCCTACTGCATGCGTTGCTCCCTCCGACATCTTGCGCCTATTTTTCCCAACCATCCGAAAGGTGATCCTTCTCATCCCGGCCACGCCCCCGGAACACCATCGCAAGCTGACAGCGCCTAGGCGGTACTTGGCCAGCATGGTCGTCCTGGTGGCCTCGTGGAACTCCAGCCACAGGGGTGCCGGCGCTTGCACCTGACGGGTGTTGGTGAGGCGGGACGGGGGTGGGGGGAGGGGGTGTTTGGTTTTATCCACTGATCACCACGCAACATTCTGGCTCAAGGCCCTTTTTGTAGAATAGCACATCCATTGGGATTGCAGCAAAATGCAGACCGCTTGCAGCAGCACAGTACAAGATAGACCACCAGGGACTATCCATTCTCTTATCATCCATATTGACATATTGGACTCTCTTGCGGAAAAGACTCTCTACCGCAAGGTACCAGTTCCCTTCTGGGATAAGGTGCCCCCGGCAGTGGGACTCAATTGTGGTAGCGGAGCAAGTTTTCCGCAGAAATCCAGAAGACGATCCTCTACTACCACAAGGTACCAGTTCCCTGCTGGGATAAGGTGCCCCCGGCAGTGGGACTCAATTGTGGTAGCGGAGCAGGTTTTCCGCAGAAATCCAGAAGAAATGTCATCCGATGGAGAAGGTTTCATGGAGGCCTATTCAAGTATAGCCCGATCATCCGGCTATACTGAAGAGACACTCAATTTATCGATGACCGCCAAGCAGCCGCCATCGTACGACAGAAAAGTCAGCTGCTTTACACATGAAGAACTTGTGGACGACTGGGTGACCATCACACAGGTGGAAGCATCCAAGCGAGGACCTCTCCTGAAGAGCAGACTCATGGGAGATGCACACATGTACAAGGCAGTCCTCCAAAATGACCTTTTGCAAGATCCTGAAGAAGGAGTTAACTACTTCAAGAATACGCTGAAGAAGTACTTCCTGAAGGGGAGCATCAACGTGTATCTTTCCAGGCTCCTCAGTTTCTTCAATCACAGAAGACAGGGAGCCCTGCGATACAGGCTATCAGTGAGCCATTGAAGACACGAGTCGTTGAGCACATCGTGCAGCATGGCATACAATTGTGTGGCAACAACATGGCGTTGATTCCTGGACAAGTTGGTTACAGCGACCAACAACTGCGAGAAGTGGACAGTGCAGCTATCCTTGCGCAACAGGAAAGATACAGGTTGCTGAACAAGAAAAAGCTTACAGGCGAAGGCGCTTGATGAGTACATCAAAGTACATGCCTACGAAAGCACCCACATTTCATGGTACATTAGAACCGACAGCTAGGGACATCGTTGTAGAGAAGGTCTGCATACTGGAGATCAGTTTTACATGCAGCTATTCTTACACCATCCCGATCCACAAGGTCACCTGTACATTTTGCAAAGTGTGCTGACCCTAGCACAATTTGAGAGGGGGTGTCAAGATACACCATCTATGTACAGCTTGCAGTACATGTGGCAACCGCTACATGTCTGGTACAAGGCCTTGAGCCTAGCCCATGCCTGAGATACAAGAGGTTACAACTGTGCCAAGTCGTTCACATCACAGGTTAACTCATTCACACCACAACACGGTTACACAGTGCAGTCTGACTTTAACAAATATATATATATATATGTATATATATATATGTGTATATATATATATATATGTAGAGCACAATCACCCAACTCGGGTTGTCCCACAAACCTCCTCCCACAAGAAACACGAAACACGAGCCAAACGGAACAAGTACCAAAAATCTGCGGATGACCGGGAACTCCCCTCTCGGAGGGTTCGCCTCCGCAAAGGAGGTGAAGCTGGCCACCGACAGCGCTGTGCACTGCAGCCTAAGGCTCCGTTTGGGAAAACAACATTTGAGCCTACTGGCAAACCTACTGTTGCTGGAAAGAAACAATGGACCGATTTTGGATTGGCAGATTTGCTGATCTTTGGTTTCTGTGACGCTCATGGGCCCCAACACGTGGGTGCGGCTCAAAATTAACCGGGAGGGGCAAACCACAGGTTTTGGTCCATGAATTAAATTACCAGGGTTCCATTTTGGGTACCGGTTTTTTGAGCCACAGCCGTTTGAGTGTGTTTTTTTTCAGCGACTCCCAAAACGGAGGTTTTCCTTTTGGTTTCCCTGCACATCCAACAAACAAGGGACACCTCGCAAAGACAAACCCATTTCTAAAAAAAGAGAAAAAGGAACGCCGAAAATGGCTGGCTTCCTTGCTGATTGTTCTTTAAGCACCAACCAGAAGGGGTCCGAGATTTTGAGAAACCCTGTCTCCTTTATGGGAAGCCCCCAACTTGGTTTGCCTCAGGCTTCCCGTAAACACAGCCCAAGAATCGGGTTGCCCCATTCTGTACTACCAATCAAGGGATTGCTCCATCACTCTGCAAAGGAGCTGTTTTGGGATCGCGGAAAGTGGCCCTAAACCCGTTTTTCAGCAACCAACGGCAACGGAATGCTAGCCACGCTGCGAGTTAGTAGACCCCGAACAGATTTCCAGGTGCATACACCGTATCCCGATTTTCCTTGGAGGAAGCGGTTTGGGAAGCGAAACCCTCCTGAGCTCAGGATGAACAAGCGGCTTCGGCCTGGCGATGTCATCAAGCAGATCTCTCACTTAGGAACCTATACAAAAGTTTCTCAAAAAGGTGGGGGTCAATCACGTTTAGGCTGAGGCCCAGGCCAGACCTGCTGGCCCCAACCACCGGTCACTTCCATGCGGCTCAAGGTCACCTGAGACGAGCCCTTTGGGTTCGTCTCGGGGCAAATGGCCACAGCATGGGGTCACCACTTCTCGTTTGGGTTTGTAAAAACCAACCAAGGACGCGCCAGGTAGCAACTACGGCGAGAACAGGGACATTGTCTGTCTTATATTGGATGTCCTTTCTTTGCTTTTCAGGATGGATTTACTTTCAGGTGTTGGTTGGGGCACAGAGTGTGCTTTGAACGCTATATCCAACTTCAGATTGATGGGCTTGGTTGGCACGTGACTGTGCGCGTCCAAAGCAAGGCCGCCTTCAAAAGCTTCGTTGCCGTTTTGTGGCCCTGGCATTTCCGAGGCCGCCTACTTCCCCGTGATCAAATGCACAAAGAGCTGCCCAGAGCAAAGACCCATGTCCCTCCAGAGCCCCAGCCAGGTGACAATCACACTGGCCAGCGGTCTGGCGCCGGAAAACTGGGCCCTTTCCTCACCCCTCTGATGAATACCGCCCAAAGACAATCGCCGCCTCCGGCCAGCGACAATGCACATTTCGGAGTGACTTTCAAGGGGTGTGACAAGCAAAACGCATGGAACGTCAGGATGGCTCATGAAGCTATGCAGAACTGGTGCAGTTCGAAGAAGCTCCCCGGCCCTTCCTTGACTTCAGCTGTGGGAGGTTCCCATGGCGAAATGCAGCCCAGCGTCTGTCTTTCTGTCGTCGCCACTGTGGCAAACCTGAATGACTCAAAACACGGCTACATTGTCTGAAAACAAGACATAAGCCCAATTTTCCTTCGGATTTCAAGCCTTGCTCAGTACAATTCTGAGAAAATGCGTGAATAGGCAAATGTGCAGCCTTCGTGATGTGCGAGGTGTGTACTGCAATTCGCAAGGACTGAAAACTGTCAAAGCATTCAATAAGCAGGGCACCCAAGCGAGCTGCCAGCAAACCCGTCACAATGCTTCTTAAGGCTAGCAAAAACGCCTTTGCTTTGAGAACAAACAAATGTTGCAGAAATCAGAAATTATACCAACGGTCACTTGAAAGAAGATACTTGAAAGAAGATACGCCAAATAAGTGCCATGGCCACAGCTACTCACACAAAGGACAATCGTATCTCAGCTCAAAGGAATGAGGACTTCTTCCATATCTTCTGGATAGGCTGAAACCATGATAAAATGTGTGCAATTACCAATCATCCCCATGTCTTTTGACCCCTTGCTCTCAGAGTGCATCGAACTGACCTGGCAATGCTGATTAACAACCATCCCCTTCAATGTGAAGCTGAGCATAGCAACGAGCAGCCCCTCTCTTGTTTGGATTTCGAAAGAATATCAAAGACAATATCCATCCCACGGAAAAGAGACCTCAAACCAACGGCAATGCATCTGGCAATGGCCTGGCCGTGCCCCACTCCGGCTCTCCGGCTCGCCGTCAGAAAGGCCCCCCCGCCGTCCACTGATCTCCGCAGCACTCCTTGATCACTCGGCACCGGGACGCGCCGTAGCCTGAGTCCAAAGCCACGAGAGAGAGCATCCCAAAGAAAGGCGATTTTCCGAAGGACATAACAATATGCTTGTAAAAGGCAAAAGCAAAGGAGCAAGCACGTGCGATACTTAGAAACACTTGCATCTGCATGATTGGGGCAGGGCCATTTACAACTCGCTATCCACTTGAGTAGCTGCATTGGGGAGTGAGGCTTCTTTTGGCGCTCACAACAGAAGCCTGCCACCAAACCTGGCAGCAATCGAAGGTATTGGGAAGCCGAACTTCGGGGACTTCGGGGTTTGGGCAGCCTCCGCAAACTGAAAGACCAAAATTCACCAGGGGTCTCGCACCTCCCCTCTCGCGAGCCCTGGAAGGGTCCCAACCAGCTTGCGCATGACGCTTGCTGCTTTAGTGACTAACCGCTTAGACACCATGTGCAAGGCCGAAAGCTTTTCCTCGCGGGAAAGGCAACTGAGGAGGCGGCTGAGTTCAATAACTCTTGTGTCCGAGCTTGTGCCCACATAGACCTTAGCTCTCAAAGTGTTGTTGGCAGATGCCAAGTTAGCAGAAGCAATGAGCGGAGACACACACCCTCATCCTCTTGCAAACAAAATGGGAAGGTAGCGCCACCAAACCCCCCCACTTCACCGGCTCGGAGGGGAAGCTGAGACTTTAGCTCTTGGCAGCCCAACATCACTTGGAGACAGCCTGAGGCCCCGGCGTTGAAAGTACCAGGAAGGGTGAGCAGCCCTTCAGTGGTTTGCGAATACGCAGAGTTCAGCGCCGTCTCCTCGCTTCGGCGCTTCGGCGCTTCGGACGTGCCCTCTGGGTGATCCCCATGCCAGGGATGACAAGAGTAGATCATACCGTCATACCACTCCCACCAAATCAAGCAATCCCCAAAACCTCGTTGGTGCCGCAAAAGGCCGTTGACAGCGCAAGTCCCCAACCTTCTTCTGGCCTCATTGTTTTACCATGATCAAAGTCACCCCCTAAGTAGTGGGTTAAAGGGAAACAACACCATTTTCTGACTTTGGTAACTCCCAGAAACCATCAAAATAATGACCCCAGCTCTTGCGCAGTGCTTCACCGGCACACCAGCATCACCAAGCGCCAGGCGGTGCAAACCTGCATCACGCGCAACTCGTAGGCGGTGCTGGCCTCAAGCCAGCCGATTGATGCAACAGGCTTTGGGAACTTGTCCACTAATAGCATCCTGCATCCATAGTCATATATACACTTATATATACCAATATATATATATATACTTATATATATATATATGTATATATATATATATATATGTATATATATATATGTATATATATATATATGTATACGTGTATATATATATGTATATATATATATATATGTATAAGCACCATGTACATATGTTATCTTGTCTTGGCGTTATTCAAAGCCAGCCAACGGCGGGTTTACGCTAGTCTGTCTCATTCTCACCAGTTTCAAACAGTCTGCCAAAAGATTCTTGTCGCCATAAGGCACGCGCATCCAGGCCCGTCATGGTCACGGACGTCCCGGAGCCGCTCTCCACTGACGCCCAGCTGTTCGCGCCGTAGACTTGCCAATCAGCCTGGCCAGAGACGGGTTGCAAATTCAGGTCCAAATGGGAAACACGCCTGCAAGTTGTGGGTGTGGATCAAAATTAAACCAGCAGGGGACTGCAGGTGCTAGTCCATGTTTCCATTTACCACGGTTCCATTTTGAGTACCTATTTTTGACTCACAGCCTGGTGAATTGAGGGAAATGCAAAACTGACCGAGCCCTGCAAGCAACGCTAGGTGTCGACCGCGGCCAGCATGGCGGTGTGCCCAGCAAGTCAACTCAAAGAGGGACCTTGTTAGTTTGGATGGCGTTTCAACACGAGACCAGGAAGCCAAACGCATGTTGCCCCTGGCTAAAGGAAGCAAATGGCAGGTGGAAAGTTGCTTGGTCCCACTGTCAGACCACGTGCCTATGACCAACTGCAAGGGAGCCCTGTACTTTGTAATAGTTGCTTCTTGGTAGCTTGCATTCTTTGGGGGAGCAGCTGTGTCATGGCCTAGTTGCCAACGACCCACAGGCGGGTCATTTCCTCTGAAAACCCTTCAAAGGGCTGAACCTTCAGGGGCCCTTCACCCGAAGGCCTTTATGCAACTCCATCGGACGATCTGACACCAATTGCAGCATGGAGCCAAGCGACCCTGTCTACTTGCACTACTCAAGCGTCAAGTCGGCAAGAACGCCACTGCCTGCCAATTTGAAAAGACGCAGTCGCCATCCCCAGCAGAGGACCACGAGACAGTCATGGATGTTTCGCCTGAGTTGTTCAGCACATGCTCGGAGCACGTCACAAGTGCATCTTGGGTCCTGGCCAACATCCGAAACCACAATGTTCGGAGCACTAGCAGTCCTGGGCGAGCTTAAAGGAAACACATCAACACAAGACCCTTTGTAGAAGCATCGTTGGGGGCGAAGCTTCCCAGCCAAGCATCCCGCCAATCTCAGGTCACGCATGCCGAGCGAGCGAACCGAGGATGGGGCTGGGCCATCACGAAGACGGTCGCCTGGGATGCCTCCGAGGAGTTGGAATAAGTCGAGGCATTCGAGAAGTTCGTCGCCTGGCCCACGGAGCAACTGGTCCGGCGGAAAGAAGCTATCAGCAGCCACCGCAAATTGGACCTTGCAAACATCAAGCAAGCAGCTAGAAGGAAGCCTCGCTTTGCGCTAAATTAATTGCATTGGCCGGCACACAAGCGAAGGTGACAATAAACATAAGTGCCGAAATCCTGTGTAGATACCTTCTCAAGGCCGCAAGTTTTGCCTCCCGTCTTTTCCTCCCACCCGAGTGGGTGGGACCAGCACCTACGTATGCGGAGGAAATCAGGCAAGACGATCCGCTTCGGGGTGTGGCTCAAGAATAGGTCATCCCCACCACCACCACCACCACCACCACCATCAAAAGTGTCCTTTGGGCTTCCTCTTCCACAAGCCGAAAAGTGATCCCTACATGAACAAAGATGGTTTCCTCTGGGTCTCCATTCAAAAAAAAACAAGCGGAAGTCCCTTTGCAGCTTCCCGCCCGAACCCGCCTCAATGAAGCAGCTCTCAAGCACCTGCGGAACATTCGAGCCAGGCAACGAAACGCGAGCTGCTACCTCCCCCCCCCCCCGAGGCAACGTATGCGCATGCAATCACAGCTTTGTGGCACACGAATGAATCTTGGGACCTCAAAACTGGCCAGGCGGTCCAAAGCCTTCCAATGACCCTTCCCATGGCGAGTCCAATGCTTCGGGCAGCAGGAAACCAGGAAAGCCACAATGCGTAAGGTTGGTCAAGCTAGGGGGCGTTTGAGGTGGATTCGCAGGCGATCAGCCAGCTGCAATCTGGATGGACCACCCAATACCCACGCAAATTGCCCAAGGCATACCTAAGCAACAGACCTAGTTCACAGAATGTCAGCCAGCAAACAGAAAAGAACCCCGTCAGGACTACAGTACGTGCTCAAGTGCTGCAAGACTGCAAGACGTTTGTGGGTCCGGTTCATCCCGTCCGATGGGCTCGACACTTGCCCTGACATGGGCCTGTCAAAGAATGTGAAACTGACATAAACCCAAGGCAGTGAACGCTTGCCCAGCCCGCAAGCGAGGCCTCAATGTCGAAGTAAGTGTTACTGGCCAGAGCGAGTTGGCAAGAATGGCCTGCCAAGCGCCAAGCTGATGCTCAGAAGCCAAGAGACATATGGGTCTGTCTGTTTCTTTGGGGGGTGCCCTGTTTCTGTGTTGTTCTAAAGGGAAAGCAAAGGGAAACCGCCATTTTGGGGGGTCCCCCTAAGAAAGGGCCGACCCATATTGACAAATGTAAAGCTCTGGGGAAAATATATCTGGTGAATGCGGGATTGGTTCAATTGATGTCACCCACGATATTTCTTTGACGGCTGAGGGGGTTTGCCGATCACGCGAATGACATCCATCCTTGAAACCGGCTTGGAACCCGGGAAGAAAATTCCATGTTTGACAGGTACCCTTAAACTGTTTGAATTCCTACCTAAGAGGCTGATGACCGTCCCTACCTGGCCCAAGTGAAGGGAGCTTTTGACTTCTGACCGTGAGCTGGCGCCAGTGATCTGGCGCCCTCCTTCTAAGTTTCAGCCCCTCCATCCTCGACACACGGAGATGCACGGAGAAGACCCCAGACTCGCGGCTAACCCCCAACCTTTTGGACCCAAACCAAATACGCCAACTACTCATTGCCTGGCCAATCAAATGAATCTGCGGCGAACCCGCCTGTCACTGCCGTCGTCGAGGGGGTGCAACTCGCACCCACCTGCACAAGTTGAGCAATTTGCTGTGGGGTTCCAAGGAAATTGCCATTTTTGGAGGTCCAAAACGTGAGATTGAGGGTGCAATTGTGGGGGATCTTTGCATGGATCTGCCAGACAGGATCTCATACCGGAACACAACTATTTTCAACTATACGGTATCATCCACTACTGTTTACCGAAATATGTCATCCAAAGATATCATCCATGTGTAACAACTGTTGTTTACAAAAACTATAAAGATATCCCTGGACCTTCCGACTTTGCAAATTTCACACCGTTTCCCACAACAGCAATATGTTTTTGGCCAGCTGCTGCAAAACGCTCTTTCGGAGAAAAAGCGCTCGCCATGAGTCCAGCTCGTGACCAGGCAAAGAAAAGCCGTTTCGCCATCATGCCTTTTTGACGGCAAAGTATGTCGTTTTGCAATTTTGATTGATGCTAGAGCGTGCAAACACTGAAAGCTGCCGGCAGGCGAAAATAATCGCCGTTGGGTCAAAAAACATAGTTTTAGACAAAACGGCAATCATGTTGCACATGTTGGAAGACCCAGGTATACGTGTGCATATATATATATATATATAGATCGTTCTCCATGCTTGAAGATACCACGTCGAGAGGATCCAAGGCTCCCCGCATCCACGGTTGCGGGGCTGCCTCCCTGCTCTGTGACGGTGAGAATCCAGGCCTCCGCAAGGCTTCGAGCCGACTCGAAGTCGATCCGAAAGCTTAGATCGAGGCCAAGGGGGACCGGACAGTTTCGAGATTTTCTGGCTTGGCAATCGCCTCCAAACCCCAAGCAATCTTCAAGAGACAAGAATCATACTGGCAAGTCCAGTCATGCACCATATGCCTTGCTTCCCCCCGCGGACATGGGACAGTCTGCCATAGTTTTCAGGTCAGTTCCAAAACACACTATATGAGCACCAACCGTGCAAAACGTATAATTCAGCAATGTTGTCACAACTCCAAATAGATGTGTGTGTGCATATGTATGCGTATATATAATTATATGTATATGTATATGTATATATATATATATAAACTATACAAATGCATATATGTGTATGTGTGAATTCTGACATCATGTATTAGGGCTTGTCTCCAAACGGCTGTTTACCCTTCCACGAGACAACTTTCAAAAGGGGCAAGCTCAAACATCCTAACATGCCCATGTCAACCCCCCCCCCAACCCCCCGCAAGGAACGTCGCCCGGCGTCCAGCTCAAGGCAGCTGGACTCCGATGCCCCGGAGGCGCCAGCCGACACTGCGGCGGCGCCCCAGAGCACATCCACGACGCCTGAGGGGAAAACTCCAAGCCTTCAGTTTGGCTTTCTGAAGCGGCTTTTTGGTGGGTTTCTGTTGGCTTCTGTTGTTCTGCTGGCTTCTGTTGGCCCATGTTGGCCAATTTGTTTGGTGGGTTTCGGCAAAGCGTCCAGAATCATGGACGCTTATCCTACAAACAACACAACAGCACATGTACCTGCGCAATCAGCACCAGCACTTCTAACTCCTTTCAGCTATCTGCTTAATAAATCAAACCCGAAAGTGGCCATGAGAAGAAAGCCAAGTCGGAGAAAGTGCCACATGTGTTGGAAGTCAAAAGCATTCTGCTAAGTTGGCCACCTCAATTTCAATTCCTTTCGATGCAACTCCCAACGAAGGACAACACGCTGATCGCCATAGGGTCCTTGGCATAGTATGGTTGAGCCTATCGGAACAATGGCGGTGCGCGGGTCGAAGTGTCCAAGTAACGTCACAAAGATTGGGTTGGAATGTGAAACCGTGATGGACCTGGGAAAGTCAGTGCCCCACCCCTGGCAGTTGCGGTTTACACTTTGTGGGTCTCGTTTGTCCCGAACCTCCAGTTGCCCGTGCAAACCTCACAGTGTCACAAACTCTGCTTCGATATCCCTCAAGAACGGCGGGACGTAAATCCCCGGAATGATGTCCACCCAAAGGGCTCCGAACATCGCACCTAAGACGACCCCCCCGCGCCTGGCGAGGGGGAGCTCACAGAGAGAGCTAGGAGCTCAGACCCCGTCACCTGCACCGCTTCGTGCGGCACGTCTCCTTTGTCTTCCGCTGGAAACACGACTCAACAAGCTTGGCCGCGTCTCGCTTGAAGTCAAGAACCGGAAATAGAGACCCTTGGCCCGCATAAGGAAGCGATTTCTGACATCTAAGCCCGCTGCATACACACATGTATAACCCAACGCACACTTCAATGTGGACGTCTTGTGGTTGGCGGAAGCATTCTCGCTAACCGGAACTGGTAGGCACCATAGGCACCACATTCAGATAGTCCATGCTAGGCCAAGCCATGGGAAGCACAATGCGCTTACACCCCGAATCTTGCAGATGAATATCCACAAGATGTGGTTCAAAAGAAGCTTGTTGCCTGCATTGCCCAGAAAAGAAACATTATTTGAAGGGCGACTGAGTGGCATCTAAGACGCTCCGAGACCATTTACGCCCGCCCTGTACTGTCCCTTCCCATCCAGCACTTGTTTTTAAAGGGGTCTGGACTCTCTCAGAATGTGCAACTTATTCGAAAGCCAGAAAGCATCTTCTTTTCTGCTCTATGAATGCTCAACTGGCATAGGATTTAGAAAAGTAATCCCCATGTCCTCAAGATATTTGGTGAGATTACCCGATGTCATACCCGTTACCACTCTAAACAGAAATGAATCTGGGCCCAAATCACCGACAATCCGCGAATCCATCTCCATCCTGCCTGCGCGATGGAAAAGATGAGCAAAGCAGCCAACCGCATCCGCCAGAGTCTCAAGTCCGCAGAAAGCAGGCTGCAATGCCTGGCAGTTGCCCCTCGGCCCAAAGCCGACTGAGCTGTGAAAAAGACTTTGGAGCGCTTTGATCTTGCTGACAAAGAAACGAAGCACCTAGCGAAAACATGGTTTGATCCTCCGCACATTGTCAGACCGTCGCAAGCCAACCTGTGCCTCCCATCATGCTTGCCCGTCTTGACAGGGTCCTCGCAGAAGGCACTTCCAGAACAGTCTCAATGCGCGCAAATGACCAGAAAGCCTAGTGCTACATGGCCAAGCTCCGCATGCTCAAGCACACGGCACACCAACATTGGGCATGGGCCTGCCAGGTTCAATACAGTGACATACGCGTGCAAATGCGCGAGTTCCCTGCCGCGTCCTGCTGCGCCCTTTGCGCAGCTCGCTGATGCTGGTTCTTAAATCTGCTGTTGCAGCTAGCTGTCTACAGAGTTCTGAAAATCTCGTGTGGGCCATCTAGGATGTCCAACAACCAACTGAATCAAGAGTTTGCTGATATGCCCACCTACATCACTGTCCATAACACCTGATTTGGTTGAGCGAAAACGCGCGGCGAGGACGTGATGCAAGAGTGCCACGAACAGCCAAGTATCAAAGAGCTCACCTCTCACGTGCCCAGCCCATCCGGAATGTGACCGAGGGCCGGATGCACCTTCAGCCCAGCAAAATGAATCACGCCGTCAAACTTCTGCTCCGCAAAGAGCTTGTCCACGGCCTACGAAACAAACTCCGCGCGGGCGGAGTTCAGAAGCCCCGCCTCCGCGTCGCACATGTCCACCTTGAAGAATGGGATCTGCGCAGGTGCGGAGAAGCACAAATGAAAATAGGAACCAACATGGGTTTTTGAAGTGGGCTCTATGGTCTCGTCAAATCCGCAGATCCACACAAAAGTGACTTGCTGAAAGAGGTGGCTGGAAAACCTTGGCCATTTGCCAGAGGGATCAAGTTGGCTCTGGTGCCTCCTTCCCGGTCAGCTCGTTGATTCTCGGCACCACCTGGAAGCATCCTACTTTGGCCCGTTCAACACTGGGGGGATGCATTAGAGCAATCTAGCCAAAAATGGCGCGCAACGGTTGGCCAACTGAATCTCCAGATTCGTGAGTTGTAGTATTTTTTCGTTGGACAGCCACAGCTCAATCCAACATGCACACGCTCAACAGGCTGCAAGGCTGGTAGCATGGTGCGCCAAACGGGTTGCCAAACCTTTGAGAGGATGGTATGCAAGGCTTCCTCGCCCTCCAAGGAGAGAGACATCCTAGAACACTGGAAGCGCGTTCTTCCTGCTGCAGCCCAAAGCTTGAGACAAAACCCTGTTAACGACGGACCCATTCCTTTGACAACCCCTGCTTGGCGGGGAAGCATTCGTTCAACCCTCCCTCCCCTGCACCACCTTCGAAAGAAAGGCTAAAAGCGGGCAAATGCAGGCCTTCTCACTGGCATTAATCAAGCTGTCCATGATGGACACATTGTAGCCGGACTCGATCAGCTTCACAACCGTGTGTGAGCCGATGTAGCCTCAGAGCAGTTGTTTAGTACCCGGCAGGTGGCTCTCACATCTCTCAGGTTGCACCAAACGGCATGAGAAAATCTCTGCAAAGCTCGGCAAAAAACATGACACCTCCGACTCTCCATGGTGCAAATGTTTCTGTGTCTGTGTTGACACGCAGCCGCTACTCAGGGGAAGCTGTACCATCCATATCAGCGCCCAAGACGTGGATAAATTGCCAGCCGCAATCAGGGAACACAAGGTGCCAGCTCAACAACTGGCAACTCACACGACCCATGGCCGAGCCCCGGTCCAATTCCCTCTGAGCCCAGAACCCGCCCCGCCAGTGCAGCAGATGTGCTTTGCCATAATCACAGCCTGCGCGTGGCAGGCTGAGGTTACACAACCCGGCCCGGCAGCCGGGCGCGCCAGAGTCTCAGTTTCCGGCCCTGACTCGACAACAAAAGTCAAGGTTTCTATTTCTTGAGCCAAACACACCGGCCAATCTCGGGCCATGAGTCCCACATGGACGTTGCACGACTCGCGAACAAGAAAATTGAGCTGCGACCATGAAAAAGGCTTCGATGCGCTCCACTCAGACCATAGTGTCGTTTCATGCGCCGGTCACTTGGATAAACCTGTAATAGCGCTGAACAAGCCAGTCAAAAGCCCATGCGGGAAACAACCTATATGCCAGAGTATGTTACTTACGGATGGCTTGAACGGCAAGGGAGCGAGTGGCTAGCTCTTTTTGATTGATGTATTTATTTATGATGTTATGTTGGCTAGTTTGTTGGCCAGTTAGCTAGCTGGTTAGTTAGCTACTTAGCTACCATCTCCAACTAGCCAGCTGGTTTGGTAGGCAGTTCGTTATGAAACTAGCTATTTGGTCAGTTGCTTGCCTAGTTAATTTGTCAGACAGTTGGATACTTGCTTGGTTGGTAAGCTTGGTAGATCCTGCTTCGTTTACTTCCTTGCTTGGTTACTTACTCACACTATATGTCACCTCCGGGCCACAAGCCTGCTTGAACGGCAAGGGCGTGAGGTTGAGGATCAGTTCGTGCTAGCTAGCTAGCTAGACGTACTCACTGGCTTTCTTACTTCCTTAACGAAATACGGGTTGGTGTGTTTCGGAGGCAATAAAAAAGTGCCGGCTGGTTGTTTGGAATTGCAACGACGCAGGGGTGGAGGGATAGTTGGTTAGCTACGCTTTATGGGCTAGTTACTTGCGGGCGCATGGTGTTACCTCCAGGCGACTGGCATGCTGGAAGGGCAAAACACCGCAGATTGATAGTTGGCTGGTTAGTTAGTTAGATAAATACAATTGGTGAGATAGTTCATAGCTTCTAGCAGCTAGCTAGACAGGGAGTGAGTGAGTGAGTGAGTGAGTGAGTGAGTGAGTGAGTGAGTGAGTGAGTGAGTGAGTGAGTGAGTGAGTGAGTGAGAGTGAGTGAGTGAGTGAGTGAGTGAGTGAGTGAGTGAGTGAGTGAGTGAGTGAGTGAGTGAGTGAGTGAGTGAGTGAGTTGAGTGAGTGAGTGAGTGAGTGAGTGAGTGAGTGAGTGAGTGAGTGAGTGAGTGAGTGAGTGAGTGAGTGAGTGAGTGAGTGAGTGAGTGAGTGAGTGAGTGCGTGTTTGAGTTCGCGAGTTTGTGAGCTTGTGAGACAGTTAGTCAGTTAGTCCGCTTGTGAGCTTGAGATAGCAACTTAGTGAGTTCGTGAGGTAGTGAGTTAGTGAGTTGGTAAGCCAGTGAGTTAGCAAGTGAGTGAGTGAGTTCGCGAGCGAGTAAGGGAGTGAGTGAAGTAGCCAGTTAGCTAGTTAACTAGTCTGTTGCGTATTTACTTGCTTACTTACTTACTTGCTTACTTACTTACTTTCTTACTTGAGTATTTACTTACTTACTTACTTGCTTACTTACTTACTTCCTTACTTACCTACATACTTACTTTCTTTCTTACCTACTTGCTTACTTGCTTGCTTTCTTGCTTTCTTGCTTGCTTGCTTGCTTACTTGCTTACTTGCTTACTTCCTTACTTACTTGCTTGCTTACTTCCTTGCTTCCTTACGTTCTTCTCACTTAGCTAGTTACCTACTTACTCACTAACTTACTCACTCACTCACTTACTTTCTTACGGGTTCGTTGCTTAGTTACGTGTAGTCACCTGCATGCAGGAGGGTTACTTATTTATGGACTGCTGCTTCGGGGGCAGTAAGAACCTCCGTCCCCAGATTTATCAAGGTTGCCTGGGTGTTTTCGTTGTGGGGCTGTTTTGAGCCGTGCTGGATTTGGCGTGTGTTGGGTCCTGTGGGCAAGAGCGATGCTGATCTAAGAAGGTATGTCTTCCTGAAGCCGTTAATTCGGCTCAACATCTTTACAAAACACATATTTCAAGCTCCTGGCCAGCTGACCTTTTGCCACGTTTTTGTGTCGCAACATCTACATCGTCTGAGGCACGGTCAAAATTACTTATTTGCGGCCGTTTCGCTACCTGGTTCAAAGGCCCCCGATCGTTTTCCAACGTTGCCATCCATATTCCTACTAAACTTAACAGAAGTATTCTTGACGGTACTTTCTTCGTGTTTGTGAACGGAACACGCCTTCTCGACTGGGATGCAAAATCCGGCAACAGTCCCAAACTGCGTAACTGGCCACAAATCACTTGGCCTCCAACTATAAGAAACGCAGCGTTGTTTCAAACATGATGTCAACCTGCCAGTTTCGTGTAGTTCGTGCTTCAGGTACAATGTAACATTCCCACAAGTTATGGCCTGGATCACGTTGCTGGGCATTTAACCTCAAGCATGTCCGAGACTCTTGCGGGTTCTGCCGTTCAACCTCACCTAGCAAAGCCAGCGGGTGGACAAAATCCCGCACTACTAAAAACCGTGGAAAATCATTGTGCGTTCGTATCTACAGCGAAAGCATCATTCCCGGGTTTTTTGGCGGTGCGGAAGGTGGTTTTGTTTGTTAAAAGCTTAAGCAAAACTCTGTCGGAACATTATTTTCCCATTGGGATTCCGAATTTGGAACAGCGGCGTTCTTCCTTGTCAATCTAGTTACTTACAGCTTTCACCTCGCAGAGTCAAGGTCGCAGGCAACACCGTGATGTAGCCCTGGCTGCACGTCTCGGCAATTGCCTTGTACTTCCACTCTCCTCTTCCTGCATGGTCCAGCAAGGACTTCTTGGCCTCTTGGTTCGCCAGCAAGCCAGCTGTCGTAGGCTTATTGTCTCGATTGGCTCGGATCAGCATCTCAACACCCATCTTCTGGTCTACGAATGATCCAAAACCTTCGAGGACCGCCGCCTGCAGGGCGAGCTCACTCGGGGAGCGCCCGTGCTGGAGCGGCTGATAGCTGATGGGATCGCCGGCACGTTCCCAGCGGAGGAGCCCGACCTCGAGGACTGGAAGGATGCGGCAGAAGGCCCAAGAGCTTCGGCTCAAGCTTCGAAACCGCTCGAAACAACGCAGGGCTCGCTGCGCTGCTCCCGCGACTCATGAACGCTTGGTCGAGGAGGACCGCAAGGAAGAGATGGAGCGCAAGGAAGAGACGGACCGCAGGGAAGAGATGGAAGCGCTCCGCGAGAAGCACGCAGCCCTGAGGCAGCGCCGCTGTCGCACGAGCGACATTGCAATGCTGGCCCAGAACTCTGCGAGGTGGAGGAGCAACTCGTCGGCAAGAAAATCGCCGAGCGGCTGCCGGTCACGGTGGCAGCCAAGAGCGCCACCCTCGCCGCTCTGGAGAGGGTCGACAAGGCGCGCAAGGAGCTGGAGGAGGCCTCCAGAGAGCTCCTTGCCTCGCTGCACATGCAGGGCGACACCGCCGACTCGCTGATGCGGTAGATGGGCACGCACAGAATCCCGGACAGAAAAAAACAAGCCTCGTTCGCCCGACTGATTATTTTTTATGTATATAGAAAGCAAAATATTCGGCTCAAGATCAATTCGCACCATGACCTCCGAGCTCTCTGAACGCATCTTGGGCCGCCTGTGGCTTAACGCGCGCCGGGCGGTGGCTTTGGAAGAGCGGCTGTGACCAAGCAGAGTCGCTTGGACCCGCGAGCTGTGCTGGTGGACCAGCTCCAGGACATGCTGGCAATTTGGCTGCCCTTCCTTGCCAAGGCTCCTGCTGTCCCGCCCGACCAAGGATGACGAGGGGGTGAGCACTACTTCCTCAAGCTGGCGCCGTGGATCGTAAGGCCCGCGCGCCTGTCGGCCAACGCCGGAACCATGATGGCGGCCATCAAGACGAAGTTCAAGGTCGCGCTCGAGCGCTCCCGCTTCCCCAAGTCCAACGAGGCGGGAGGCTGCAAGAAGGAGCTGCCCGAGAGCCTGGCCAAGAAGAAGGGCGTCTCGAACCCTCGGAACGAGGACCACCGCTGCTTCATGCGGTGCGTTCTCGCGCACTGCCTTGGGGTCGACGGGCTCACCAAGCGGCAGCGGTCAGAGGCCACAAGCTGCTCGGGCCCGAGCTGACCCGCCGCACCGGACGCCGCCCCACGGGCTGGCAGCCCGCTCTGGCCGACGTGGGGGTGGACTTCTCTCCGGCCTGCCGACGGACCGCCCGTGGGCTTCAACATAGAATCCATTTGGGGAACCCCCTCTAAAAAAAAAGGCCTTGGGTTGCCTTGGCCATGGGCCTGGGCGTCGCGTTCTCGCCGTCGTCGTCGTCATCCCCTTCTCCATCGCCTTCTTCGTCTTCGTCGCTGGAGGCATCGTTGTCGCTGTTCTCGCCGAGCTCTTCGCGCGGCGCCCGGCAGACGGGGAGAGCCCGTCGTGGCAGCAGGAAGTGGAAGTCGTAGCCCGCGTTGTGAAAGACCACGGGGATGGTCTTGGGCGTCTGGGCCGCGATGTTGCAGGAGTGGCACAGGAGCCTCTTCTCGGCGGTCTTGAAGGACGTGAGGCACTCCCTGCAGTGCGAGTCATGCTGACGGGCCGAGAAGGTTGTCCAGCATGGAGCGGACGGCGTGGAACTTATCGCTGCCCCGCTCATGGTGCGTGAGCCTCAGCCTCAGCTCCTCGGGAGGCACGTAGGCGACGTAGCAGGAGGAAGCCGCGACGGTCTGGCGCGCTGGCTGCTGCTGCGCGATGTGGACCGTCGGGGCGGGCGTGCTGTAGACCTTGAGGTCCGCGTAGCACGTCGCTCTGCGGAGGCCTTGGCCCTGTAGCGCAGGGTTCGGGCAGCGGCGCTTTCCAAGTGCGCTCGGCTATCTCTCGATAGCACTGGGTGCGCGGTGGCGCCTTCAGCGTGAAGCGGGCCATGCATCTTGGACACTTGTACTTCTCGCAGCCGCCGCGGTTGCTGGGCTGGAAGTTGTGGGTCAAAGAGAAGTGGCCGCTGCGCAGGAGAAGCAGCACGGTGCGGCGCGCTGC